ATTAGAAAAAAACAAGAAAAATGATATGTATCAGCCAATTTTAAAGACTGAAATCAGATCGACGGGTTACTGTAAAATGTATCTCTTCTCTACATCCTATGGCCCTGAAAGTGAATGAAATATATTATTTAGAATAAATTTGTATACTCAGGACACCGCAGGGGCCTCAATACACAGGTCAGCACCTAAGAGTGCAACTTGTCTTGAATGGACATCATACAATAAGGACCTTCATGCACATTTTAACATTTTACAAGGAAATCTGTAGAAACGGAATACAAGGGAAATCTGCCGAAACTGAATACCCTCTCTGCTAAACTACCTAATCCAATTACTATGATAGAACCTGTGTAGGACGATTACTCTTAAAACCATTCTTAATTCTATCAATATCTACACTGTCATTTACAGTGACATCAAATAGACTACAATGCCTCAATTTTTAACAGTAAGGATCGCATCATTTATCTATACTGTCCAACTTATCTTCCCAAAATATGTCAATGCTACAAAGGTTAGATTGGTATTCCTCAGTTTTGTGTTTCACTTGGTACGCAGTTACGACAGGTTATGGAACAGAGGAAATTTAAAGTCAATAATGGCGGGAATGTTTCCAATAATTTTCCAATGGCCGGTTATAAACTTTTATTTCGTGAATTATGGCCTTTGAGGTTATAGCCTTAACAACATAGAAAGGTAACCAATAACATTCCAGCACGTGACATGACGTTTGATATTACAGACTTATAAACAACTCAAAGTAACCGATGGCATTCATAAAAACATGAATGTGTTCATCACGATCTGTAGTAGTCCGTCATATCTCTCGGTATTGGCACCATACAACAGAAAAGTACTGAAGGTACATTTATGTGTACCTATTTATAGCATGTCCTTTGATAAAAATACGACGTCAAGCACAAGTTTATAAGCCGAATGTTTAAGCTTTAATTACTAGGCTTGACACTTCCGGCACATTCCAGCGATGATGTCACACAATTCAATTTCAATGTTCATTTCAATGAATTGACATAATTCATTGAAGTATTAAGAAGGCCGTCTCGATAGAATGATATTTTCATCGGTGTTGAAAGTCACAACGTGACGTCATAGCGTGATGTCACGTGTCCACATTGTACAGCATGATTTTGACGTCTCCCTCCCCAAGCACACCGAACACCGACCACAACACGTTATACTCGTCCAAACCCAATGCACGTGTAAATACTCTGTCTGTATGCACGAGCCTGAGGTACTGGCCATGTCCGGTCAACAGGTGGATACAACGCCTGTCCGTATCACCTATGACCAGACAACCGTCATTATCATATCTTGCGTCACAAGGATAAAACGAACTTGTTTCACCTCTCTCATAGTCAAACACATCATTTGGAGTGTTTCCATGGTATCTAAATAACTCTTGGAAGTTCTTATTCATCACAAGCACGTGTGGTCTATCAGTTCCTCCATCGTCCGACCAATCCAAATCGACCACAGCAACATTTCCGGTCATGTGACACTCTGAAATTCTGTGAGGCGTACACACACATGATCCTTTAAAACGCGTTGGTCTACAAAACATGGGCAGACAACTCCATGACGAGCTTGCTCCTGTAGATAGAACAATTTTACCATTCGTAGTGTATTTTGTCACACGTTTTTCCATACCTACAATAACATGTTCGTCCAAAGTGATACATATGCAATATAGCTTGTAGTCCGTTTGGAAACGGATTGATGGTGTTTCCGAAGGGCATTCCATGACGCTGTTATCTTCGTGCGAACATGCCCAGAGGTTGTGTGTTGTTGGGGAAACGTTGACGTCTTTAATGCAGACGGCGTAACTTATGGTGACCTTGACCTGTCCGTTAAGGTCAATATATCTCACGTTCTTGCTTGCGTAATCACATATCCACGCCCCGCCTTCTTGGTCAGGACAAATGACGGTGACGGGACACGGGGATCGGAACTGGGACACGATGTGCGTTTTTGGTATATGTTTATATAAGCTCATAGGTAGTGTCGAGGGCATTACGTCACGTTTCGCAAAAAGTGTGCAAACACCAAGTAAAATTAATACAGACTCACAAGAGCACAAATCCAGGTAAGCACCACAGCACTTGAGCACAAACTTATTTGAGCAAAAACTGTGTTGAGCAAACTATCAAACAAAACTTGCTAATCTCATAACCGCTGTGTCATAAATATGATATCCTAAATACGATGTCCATTTTCTCTTCTTCCCGAGGGCGACAAAGTATATTCCAACAAGGTTTGTAGATACGATATACACAACCCCTTATCAATACTTAGCGTAGCCATGGGAATTGTTTCTCAGTGTCGAAAATGATGATGCCCTAGATGTGTGTATCCACGTAATTTCTTGTCATGTGTCTGCTCAAGTTGTCTACGTGTTAACATTCCTGTAACATATTGTATGCCTCTCTATCGGTTCCTATAGGTGCCCGAACGGTTAATAACACATCTCTCCCTTCACGTCAACATGTGTATACATGTATAATTAGTTCGGTCTTATGTGAGCTCTCACCATGTTGTGTCAAAACTGACCAAAATTTACGAGATATGCATTATACTCTATACTCACAACTCTAGAATTCCCGCACGCGATGAAACAAGGAAGCAGTGTTAATTTCAACTTTTTGTGTTATATGTCAACAACACGAATGTCAAATGTCGTTTTAGCATAATCATAAAGAATCTCACATCATCGTATAAAACCGCGCTCATATAAACCTGTGTATCATAGATCAATTGATTCCTCACAGACCGTACACGGTGGTCATAAAAAGACATTGGTAAGGCTATTGCGAAATGTTATCATAGATCATATTTCACCCCTGGCTTCCTGACACACGTTCATCTACACGTCCTCTCCAGCAGCCTTGAAGAAACCAAGAGTTTCACGTGCGATGTGGATTGTTCTGTACTTCAATTCCCAGTACGGAATATATACAAACATCCATTTTCCTCCGCTGCTTTTCGTATTTCAATCAACACTCCCCTTGGACGTGTCAAATCGAGTTTACACGTGAATAAGACACCCTACCACGATATACATGCATTCATAACGAGACAATGAGAACACAATCATATGTGGATTATTTTAGGATATGGAGAAACCAGTCAAGTGTGATTCTGATAGATCCCGTTCATTATTACAGTCAACACATAGTCAATATTGATTTGACCTTTAACCTTCGGCAGATTTTGATGTTACGTCATGATTTTAAGATTTCATTGTTCACTTCGACAAGCACCAGTGTATAGGACATCGCTATGTTGAAGACAAAGATTCGTACACTTACCCGAAAAAGATCTGGGATTATTTCGTAAAATAAACAATATCGTTTTCCAAAATATGTTTCAAACATGTAATGACACACTTTGTTGTAAACAATGTCACCAAGTGGAGGTAAGCGTTTCGTCCACGAAATAAGTAATGTGTCCACTCTAATAAAAATCTATTGTACAAAGTACCGAAATGTTCGGATTAACGAGTTGTGACCGGAAATAATGTCACAATACTTTGACCCTTCATTAGCATATTTACGGATGTAACGTGAAACTCCTATAAAGCTGGACAAGAAAGTCTTATCAGACAAGGCTATATTTTATTCATTATATACATGTATCTTATACAGTCTATAAACTATCATTTTATAACACAATGATTCACACTCTCACAGACATATGATTATAAATTAATCAGATTTGTACAAAATAATTAATCAAACGAAGACAGTAGCATATATCTGACAGAATGTTACTGACAATTTCACCACTTTCCTAATGTGCACGAACAATTATCTTGTAAAGTTAGTGACCGTTTTTGAGAGTATGAATAATACAAAGTCACATATCACTAAAATTCCGAGCTCGTTTAAGTTTGAGATCTCGGACAGAGTGACAGGTTCTGTCTTGATAGATTTACATCACTCCGATTTTTGAATCACCTCATCTGTTTCATTCTACGATGTTTATCTCCTAAATGTATTACCACAGTAATACACCGGCACTAATTAATTATCTATTAATTACTACATGTCGACCCCTGCTATTCATAGCGTGTTGGATAAGGCGTGCAGTGAAACAATCGGTGATTTGTAACAGATGGCGTAGTTCACAGTGGTGAATGAGCTAAATTAGAACCAGCCGTGACACAGGGACGTGTTTCGCTGATCCCGTGGTGGTAGGAATGGTATATATGTTTAATAATGTATTTATATTCTGTAAGAATTATCTATCAAATGCCAGGCCCCTGTGATAAATGTTATTTGCAACAGAAAACGTTAAAAGCGAATGGATCAAATTAATTCCAAACCAATATAGCCATATATGTTGTATTTAAATTATAACTCTTTTTATTTCCCAATTCGACTTGCACGAATAAGTGACATCGAAGGAGATAGTTTAGTTACATCGGCAAAATCCTCTTTGTCAAAATTCATTTTGGTAGTGAATGAAACATGGAGAAACGAGAATTTTCGATTCGACTTGAAATTATACCAGCTCAAAAAGTCGTGCACAACTTCCAGATAGATTATTCGAAATATGTAGGAATTCAAAATTTCATATAAACATGTTAGTCGACATAAGCAAGGTTTTAAGAACCGATAGGTTGGAATCAGGAAGTTAAGACCACGAATTGAGAGATGTCTTGACTTCCTCTTCCTGTTCTGATTCAACAACAGGAAGTCAATTAATTATCACTACTTCCTAGAATTCTGGATTTCATAGGATTGAGAACAGTCCAATGCTACTAATATTCTACTAATATTAACGGCACAAACGTGAACACAATGCACAATGCTATTTTCCAATCGTAACATCACTAGAAAATTAAAAAGCATTTGTATCGACATCAAAGTCGATTATTGGGATATCAAATTATAAATTTAAATAAATTATAAAATTGTCACAACGTTCCTCGACCTGATTTGTCGTCTATCTCAGTCTGGTAGAGGTGACAAGACACATCCGGGAGTTTTATGTGAGGAACGCATCATACTTTATTCTTTTGCACAAACACACACCGGAAATGATGCCGAAGAGCTGAAATGATATCAAATGGTAATATTAAAACAAATATTTAAACGGCCAAGGATAAGATAATTCACATATACTGTTTACCATTAAGGGTTGTACAGAACTGCATTATACATCTGTTTCATTCTTCTAGGACTCCTCAGTGAAAATAAGGTCCTCAAGTGATGAAACATAGAAAGTGTCAAAAACTAGATGGGCAGGTGCATTAACGTAATTTTGAAAAAAAATATTCGCAAGATTTTTAAATATCGGATGATATCAAAGAACGTGAAGAGTGTTTATTCTGAACTGTGTGTTACTCATGTTTCGATGAACCTTGGGGACTACAAGCACCACTTGCAATCTCAAATGATTGTACACAAGACACATAAAAGAATAAGGGTAATTTGACCTAATGACAATGACTCAGTGTTCATGTAGCCGGTTGAAAACAGAAAACATGCTTACTGTTCTAAATCACAGAGACCGAGAACAAAGACGGATTTTTTCAGTGATGAACGGAAAGATGTCTTGCTAGAATGCATTGAATTCAATAATTTACTCTAAATATTTCTATATTATTAGAGTGTGTGAAACTGACATTTCAATTTTCAAGGAAATCTATTGTTATCTTGTTCCAAAATTGTGGGCGGTACCGACGGTAAAATAATAACTTTATCTATATGTGGCGGATCGTCAGTAACACAAATAAAATTATAACGTATCTTTTTTCGGGCGATAAAATTATACGTAGTATTATTCCAGCGATAAAAATTAAGTTATATGTTTGCTCTATAATGACAAGTTATGACTACAAATCCAAAACGTTGACTATTCGGGAATTCTCCGATAAGGACTTTTCGCTCCACACAGACCCATCTTCCGTTTCTACTATAATATAATCCCTACTCCTGGGAGAATCGCGGGAACGAATAGGACAAGACACGCGAGGATGCACGCCAGTAGTTCACAGAAAACTGTTAGAAATGAAATGTTATGACCAAAACAATAGCAAGAAGAAAATGGTTGTCGACCGTTTGGGATAAAAGTGTCTAGTAATGTCGGGGTAAAGTGTTTTGACGATATCTTACGCCTTCTCGGCATTTGAGTAAACATTTCACGCATGCAATATTAAAGTGTTTCTAAGTGGATTTATCTGTTGATTTCGTCTAGATATCAATGTATTTATTTATTTTAAAAACCAAACACAAATACAAGATATCAAACACTGAAATAACTCTACGCCGGAGTATTTGCTGAAGTATAAAGGTATGCAAAATACGTACGTCTTTTAAACAGCATGTATAATCAAACACAAAGGCGTATTTATTTAATTACATTTCATTTAGATTACAACGTTCAGAAAATAAATTTAGATAAATAATCAAAATGTAATTTTGATTTCACAAAACATCTGCGTGTGAGTGTTTGGTATTTACTTCAATTCAATTGATTAACCGAAATATCGCGAGGTAATTTCCTACCATGCCAAAGGTACTTATGTCAATTACATGCAGGTACGGGAAAGTCACTCCAAATGAAATTGAAACCGTGTCATGTCTCTCAATTCACAAATATACAATTATTTCAAGACGAAATAAAATGAGAATCTATCAACAATACCACAGTGGTTTACAAAAGGATTCTATACAGTGTATGTAACCTTCTGGGCAATCACCGAGAACAGAATCTGGCATTGAATTAAACATCCTACATGACGTCTGAAAAGGATATTGTCTGGACAGGAGCAGTAAACCCACAAAAAATCAACACTTATTGCAGCTAGAAACCGGAGCGTCCCGGGGATTGCGCTGTTACAGTGGCGTGTGCTACACAGATCTGGGCCAATATTCATGATACCATTCTCATGCTCTAGCATGAACTCTGTGCTGTACTCAACCTCTTTAAACTAACTTAAATAAATAAAACAAAAAGTTAAAAATATAAGCTTTAAAATTGAAAGTAATATCTTACTTGAAGTCTTTATCAAATTCTCTCAAATTATTTAAAAATCACCTTAAGTTTTTGAGCGTGATGCTACCACGATCAATTTAAATGCAGCTCCATTTTATACCACTTCTAGATTTATTTCAGCTAATTACATTTCCGGTCTCACTTCCGGTGTATCAACTAGACTTCCGTTTGATACTTACAATGATAACAACTGCAGCTAATGCTCCGCCTCCGATGATAAGGGCGTGGCTCTGTACATAATGGACAACCTCATCATAGCAACCCTGTAAATAACGCACACTGAAATACACCGCACGTCAGTAATAAATTACTCCTGACAGAGAAACTATATTTAGTAAATTAGTCAGCCACCTTGTCCTTGTGATTTCGGCTCTTCAGATTAATTGGTGATAAATTTGAGAGATACAGATTGATTTTTTGTTTTGTAGGAGTTAATTAAACTGATCTCTATAGTTTCATAACGCAATCGTTACTTAGACTGGGAGAGTTGCTCAACTATACAAGAGGCATGCTTGTGAAAAACGAGTCCTCGAAAATACATATTCACGAAAACTGATAGAATTTCAATTACAAAACAACTTGTCGACCTAGCATCAAGTCGTCATGAGTTGATAACTTACTGTGTCATACATGTGCGGATTCCTGCCGGTACCGGGGAGAAGTGGGACATCAACTCCTGGGGGACCAGAAAACTTCCTCATCCCCGTACACAGCTCCAAGTCCCCCTCCGGGCGACAACAACTTTCTGGCACGTACGGAACACCTGTTAGGAAGACAAATAAGTATGAAAATCAAACCAGTCCAATAAACCACATGTGGTAAAAACAAATATCACGGATAAAACTGTCCGAAAATGGCTAAATGACAGTGTACTGTAACTGGTCGCCAAGTGAAAGTGGTATGACAGCACAAGAATCGCCTATATGGTGAATATTTTGGGGAAAGTGATAGTATGCCTGCATGAGTTTTCGAAGTTCTTTCACTTTAAGAAATCATTTCGTGAACTTACCAGCTGAAAATTGTGCATACCACTTCGATTCCAGCTTGTACGCAGCCCAGGACGTGGTGGAGTTAACTCCCCCTGATATACCACAGCATTGCAACTGTTAAAAAAAAGGAACAAGATTTAAATCACTGTATGAATTTTACAATGACAAATAACACCTGAACTCTTAGCAAACTTACAGGGGGCACAACAATTCTGTTCTGATGTACTGCGTGTGCGTGCGTGTGTGTGTGTGTGTGTGTGCGTGTGTGTGTCTTCATATATCCTGTTCAGGATGGTCCAAATTCGTCATCCTTTTCTGAATACTTGATACTTGTACAATGGATTTTCATCTTAAGATTTGGTGGAGTTACGCTGGACTACGTACAGATTTGGGGAGAGAAGCGAACTAGGGTCGACAACTAGTGGGGCATTCCTACGCCTTGACAGTAGAAATTTACGCTGTGACTGATGTATGTTTGTGGATAAGAACCAATTTTCGTCTTAACGACCTCCTTTGTTGTCTTAAACATATTTGTCGCTTGTTAATTTGTTCATTAGATTTCAGTGACACTTTGGGTAATCTTTTACGCTTTTGGACAATGACAACTTGACCGCGTATGCTCGTATTTAATTCGTTGTCGGTATTAGTTTTACAAACATCGTATTTCAAGAGCCTTAAGATAACTTTTGACTTTGATTGCCGTGACAATGTAAATTTATCATAGCTAGTACAGTTTTATCAGTCAGGGTATAACACACTTCTGTGACATCCTTTCTACATATGTCAATGTCCTGTTCAGTGGCAATATGATACTTACTTACAGTCATGATGACAAAATCAAAATCGTCGCGAGCGTGACAGAAATGAGAGGCAATTATTAATTACAGCCACTAGGAATCGTTGAATGTGTCATTATATCGTACAGAATAGATCGTGACGTCAGATATCAATATTTCATACAGAAATGATGCTTTCTCACGAAACATGAACTGTCATTTACAATGACCTAGTAATCAAATGAAGGAACCTCATCTGATTTTCAAATTATGAAATACGAAGACGATTTCAGCATGGAATGCTTACAGGTCATTGTTCGACAGCTATGGACACTAAACAATGCAGCGCTGTGCTGAAGACAAAACGCGATGTAGGGGGAATAACTCCTGCTATTGTGTACCTGTTTCTGCATGAAATTCCACATATCGGTCACCACCCTGTTGTCGGCGCGGTCGTCTAAATCCACCCCGTACTGCTCTGTCAGAATTGAAGTCATTGATATTTTGGCATCCTTGGAGATCTGTAATTATATATAAGTTATAGAGAATCACTAGTCTCGCTTTGTTATAAATACTATAATAGTACATTATTTATGTATAAATGGTAGAGAAATGTCTTGTTTTATAAGTTAACATTATGTCTGTATAAGTTATAGAGAATCATTAGTCTCGCTTTTTTATAGATTATATAATACGATATTGTTTCTGTAGAAGTAACAGAGAATGACTTGTCAGACTTTGTTATAGATTATGTAATATTACATTTTTTCTATTAATTACCAACCAGTCATTGTTGATCTATTAGTCTACACATTTAAAAAGTGTTTCCCATAAAGTATGAATTTCACTGAGAGCTATACATATGTATATTCCATATATGGTCATTTAGCTGATAACGTTTTGCTATACAATCTCTATTCGTAGGTAAGTGATACAAGACAGAATGAGAATTACATGTTAACTAAAATTAACAAGTATAACGTTTAAAATAGAACAGTAAAATGTGAAAAGAAATCAGATCTAGCGAAGTCTACATTTAATGCTGTATGCACCCTGAAACTACTTTAATTTGCTTTTTATATAATGATCCCCTCTCGTTAAACTGATAAATAAAACCAAGTAGAAACCATCTACTTAAAATTATGTCATTGTGTATCTTTCAGAAAGACGAAGGTGAGACGGAAAAAATAATAATCACATTGTAAGGTACCATACAGCCTTAAGTGTATATTTTCGAAACAGAAGTACATTTTATTGTAAATGATTGTAAAATACATCCGTAATCTGATCACTTGTACTTACTTGTCCAAGAAATATGAAGATAAGGACGGCTGAGGTTAGTAACACGACAAAGATGAAGCTCATGAATACCAGGTACTGGAAAATGAGATAAAGAAAAAATTAGCTGGAGTACAAGAACAGTTGTATGTAATACATACGTTGGTAGAGACTTATGTAGGGATTTCCCATTTCATACGTGGTTTCAGACGAGTTTTCATATGCTTCAAGAAAAACATCCTCATGTTGCTTTTAAATTGATATGTTGTGTGGCATATCCTATCATGGTAAGCTGTTTTCTTTTTCCATGCACGAACAACTTCTTTCTATCGCTATATTGGGCTTCATATAGAGCGTATTATACGACATTGACTCAAATGTCTCGGACGAGTCGCCATTTTAGACATGTGATCTCGGTTTCAAGCTCTCCTGGTTGCTTCACGACAAAGAATTGATATCACACTGCTGTACAGTTTACTAAATTAAAGCAGATATTGTGAAAAAAACCAATCACATCACTACATAAATAAAGGTCAAGGCCATACAGATCAAACATTGTTTTCCATTAACCGTTGTTGAGGAAAAGCGAGAAACCATGTGACCGAAGAGCAAGATCACAGGAATTATCATAAAAAAGCTAAACTTATGATGTCTCGAGTAAAAATGATATTCATGTCATCGGGTCATTGTTCAAGTATAAGGAACAAAAGTGTGTCGAAAAAATCCAATTTACCTTGCATGTATGAAATGTAAAAGTACGTTTATCAGTTCCGGGAATCGATCACATGATCACTTATAGATAATCGATCATCTATAACATGGGTAGGCGTTCAATGGACATGGCAGAGGGTATAATCGGCCAGACTATAGCTACGGACGGTAGACAGAGGGTCTTATCGGCTAGTCTATAGATACGGACGGTAGACAGTGGGTCTTATCGGCAGTCAAAAGTTACGGACGATAGACAGTGGTTTTATCGGCTAGTCTAAAGATACGGAAAACAGACAGAGGGTATTATCGCCCAGTCTAAAGATACGGACGGTAGACAGTTGGTCGTATCGACAGTCTAAAGATACGGGCGATAGTCAGAGGGTATTATTGCCCTGTCTAAACATACGAACGGTAGACAGTTGGTTTATCGGCTTGTCTATTGATACGGACGGTAGACAGTTGGTCTTATCGGCTTGTCTATAGATACGGACGATAGACAGAGGGTATTATCGTCCAGTCTAAAGATAGGAACGGCAGACAGTTGGTCTTATCGGCTTATCTATAGATACGGACGGTAGACAGTTGGTTTATCGGCTTGTCTATTGATACGGACGGTAGACAGTTGGTCTTATCGGCTTGTCTATAGATACGGACGATAGACAGAGGGTATTATCGCCCAGTCTAAAGATAGGAACGGCAGACAGTTGATCTTATCGGCTTATCTATAGATACGGACGGTAGACAGTTGGTCTTATCGGCTTGTCTATAGATACGGACGATAGAGAGAGGGTATTATGGCCCAGTCTAAAGATACGAACGGTAGACAGAGGATATTATCGCCCAGTCTAAATATACGGACGGTAAACAGTGGATCTTATCGCCCAGTCCAAATATACGGACGGTAGACAGTTGGTCTTATCAGCTAGTCTATTGATACGGAAGTTAGACAGTGTGTCTTATGGGCCAGCCTATTTCATACATCATAATGCTATAAAGATTACATACAAGTTGTCTTATGGAAAGTGAGAAAGAGATTATCCATTATATTGTTTTAATATGTCTGTGATTTCCTTTACACGGTGTTGTTTTTCATTTTGTTGGCACCACAAAATGGCTGTAGGTGAATCTGATAAGATTATGATCATACAATGTAAATGGTTATATGACCGAAGAAAAACACAATATGTCCAGTTCACATACCATTCCCAGAATGCACTTGCTTTCTTTAATGGAACCACAACAGCCACACATAGATATAGCCGCTATAGCGGCGCCTGCTGCTATAGAAACGTAGGCAGCATCATGATACAAATCGTTCCCGAGCACTGAGGATAACTGTTTAGCACCATAATCCGAAACTAGACTATAAATTCCGAGTGCCAGCACTGCAGATCCTGCAATCTGAAACAGAACGGAAAAATGATATATTTATAGAATATCCTTTGTCAATCAGCGGGTTGAAAAATAAGATTTTAAAAAAATCTACGATTCATCGAATTGCTAAGGAGAATCAGTTTCTGACACTGAAGTGCTAGAAAGGGAATTTTACAAGTTTCTTAATTGATCAGAAAGACTTAAAAAAACAGGTTTGTAAAGATAAAGATAAGATATACTTACAAATACGATGAGATTAAAAACGATGATGGCTGTTTTCATACATCCTTTACTTTTGGATCCAGACATGGCTATGGTAGAGAAAGAAAACCCGTTAAGATAAAATCACATGTCAAACCTCCGCTTTTGTTAAGAGGCTTTGTGAAACGGTTGTCAAGTGAAGGACTCAACAACGCATTCACATCATTAATGAGACATGCTTCGTTAAAACGATCAAAAGTTATAAAAATAAATGGAAAACGTATATTTTATCAAAGTAGTAATAGTCATTAATTTACATTAATATAGCAAAGTATTTTTGTCAAAGGGTTGAAAATGTCATGGTCTGAAGCAAAAAAAAAACATAGACTGTAGAGAAACAGAAAGTACAACGGTTAACAATAACACCAAGTACTACTGGGTCATTCTGTACCCATTCACCCCGAGTGCATCATCTATACATGTCACAAGTCAGTGACGTCACCTCCTTAATTAGCTCTACACATCACGATCAAGCTTATCACTGATATTTTTTTAGTGTTTCCACACTTATTACACTTCAAACCACGTGTTTCGAAACATCAAATTGGTACTCGGATAAAAAAAATCGAAAATTCACATAAAAGTTTAAGATACCTTTAATGTCCATTTCTTCAGGAATGTGATTCTTAATTTTCGTTTAAAACAAAAGAGCATGCAGCGTTAAGGTAATGTTTGCTATAATAAGTCACTCACGTGAAGATGTTTACGAATTTTGGGTACTGTAATGGAAAAACACATCATCTTTCGCTCTCTAAGAAATCTCTACGATTTTCGGAATGATTTATAATTTGTATTATACAGTAGCAAGCAATGATGTTATAAAGAAACAGCTGAACATGTTCATATCAACAAAGTCGTATGTAAATGTAAGATTCAATTTGTTTTGGGAAAAGGCTCAATAAGTAATGTTGTAAGAATTTGTGCCTATTCCTGTTGCTGATGATTAGAGGAAATAAAACATGTTTGAAACGAAAAACAAAAAGTCACTGGTTCGTTTAATTCCGATGAGATATCAAACTAATTTGGGTCTTGTTTGTCCAATTTCAATAAATTCAGTGACCATCTACAAGGAACAAACACACCAGGAAACAATACACCAGGGGCTGAACAGTTCATTATTTCAGTAATGATAAACGATTATTTCTTTGCAACTCATCACTGCCTTAACTATTTTGTCACAAAAATAATTTATTCAAGACATAGATTTATATTATCTTGTGTAAATATTTAGGTGCTGTATATTATTTTAGGGGGAGGGTTTGATATAAGTTGTGCCCGATCCCCATTGTATTTATTTGATAAAATGAAAATATTTAAATCAGAAACTGTTGATACATGTACAGGAAAAGTGTCACAGAGGATGGCGAAAAGGGATGTTAGCCATACAAGGTGCGTGAGAAACTTTATCGCAACCATTCTATTAATCAAAATGACTTTTATGTTTAAAAGAGTGACAAGGACATGAAGAATGACTCCTTATATATATATATATATATATATATATATAAATTAAAGAACAAAAATCCACTTACCCGGTTTTGTGTTGTTCCTAAATATTGTCCGATGTACCGTTATTTCACAGCTGTGTGTATCAGTATACCCCTACATTGATTTGGTAGAGTTGGCACACTTCCGTGTTGGTCACGTCATACGTGACGTATACCCTGGGGCTAACACATACCTGAGGTGTACATCTTTCAGATCGTTCATCATCACCTCATATTCATAAATTTACGTCTAAAAACTCATTCATTCGATTTAAAATGGTAGATAACTCCGATAATGTATCCTAAGGATGATCGGGTAGCGCCTTGGCGCTGTCACTTTTCACACTGGTGGCCGGGGTTCGATTCCCAGTTGGTATGTGTTGTTGGAGATTTCACATCCTCACAACTACTAAGGCGCGGTGTGAAACGGTATATGTTGACACTCTGTTACGTATTTCCCGATATTACACCGATATGTTCTGTCCGGGTCAATGATTGAGATAAATGATATTTTATGTAACACTTAAGACAATACAATAAACAGGGAACTCAATCCGGCCAAAACATCACCCAACATCGAACTAGGCATAGCGTCTACAAATATTTCTTTCGTTTATTTGAAATTGTTCTGCACAGTGATTCCAACCGTCTTCTTCATTCCAATAACTATGCAAACTCTTTCACGATTGTTTTGTAAATATATTCAATCTCCGCCAATCACCCTTTTCTCACGAATACGATTTCCTGTTACTTTACACAAAGTATTGAGGTACATGAAGCATGGAAGTTTCCTTCGTATTGAAACTAGCCAAAAGAAGATGGACGTATGACAAATTACACGACGGGTGGTCGAGTGGTTCAGTGGTAACGTACTCGCCATTCATCTAGTTGTCCGCAGTTCGATTCCCGGGATGCATGTGGAAAAATATAGTCACCTGTCAGACCACGTGGGGATTTCCCCGGCAACTCCGGTTTTCTCCAACAGCAAGACCCCCTCGCGCTTCCATCCAGAAGCCATCAAGAGTGATTAATACAAGCCGATAGTTTGTTTCGCAATAAATAAAGTTTACCGGTATATATAAATCACACATAATGACACAAATGGTAGAAATTCGTTTCCTAACAGATACCTGTCATTATACAAAATCATAATGATTATTATCTGCGAATTTATAGTCAGTTTCCCTCTATATTTGTTTTCCCCCCGAATAGGAGTGCGTTTACCATCCGAATTCTTCGTCCTTCATATATCTTGCACTCTAAAAAGCCATACCTGCTCATTAACTTGCATGTTTTCAAATATTACATTCATAATCAATATGCATTTAAATTTTCAATTTGCCATATCTTGAAGGAAAATGTATTCAATTTTAACGACTTAATTATTCATGTTTTTCACACAAATGACGTATCTTGTTAATTCCAGATGACAAGACGCAGCCGAAGAAACTCGAATGAAAGTTTAACTGTAACAGCTGCCGTGGAATTATGTGGTCTTCACACAATCTTTATACAAGTATAGTAATTGAGCTCAACTTGAAATATACTTAAGCTTGGTAAAGCTAACCATTGAACTAAATACGCGTATTTCTGAAACATGAAAGAAAACTGGATATCTATTGTAGAAGCCCTGTTGTGTCGGTTATTGTACCGTTATTGTAAATGTAACACATTGTATTTAATACATTGAGAGCTAGATCTTCGAAGATGCAGTTTTCCCGCGTTTAAAACGTGTGTAATTTGTTCAATAGTTAGGATTGCAACAAAAACTTAAAAATACCTGTAGCACGACTGTTAAGAAGACATTTTAAATCTGAAATAGAATATTGAATGACAATATAACCGGAAGTACTGGAGAAATCTGGGATATTCTATACTCGCCACTTGCCTAGTGAACAAGTCATGTGTACACCGAATTACGTACGATGTATACCTTAGACTAATCATATTGCAAGACATTCCAAAATTAACGTTTCCGGTGAAATCGGAGAAAATAACGACTAGTGTGAGTTGCAGCATTAAGTGTAGGAGAAATGATCGTTGTGTTTATAACAATCGGTTACATTTCAATAATAAAATCTTGGACGAAATCCCTATTGACGGACTACATGAATTACAAACTAGGCATTCGGGAAGCTATCACATGGAACTGAACTCCTAAAGCGAGTGATAAAATCAATTATGTTAAGAGCCCTACAATAAAATATTTACCTGAAGTTTACACTCTTTAAAATGATAACGGAATTGCTCAGTGTTATTATTTTACATGATTTTCGCGACTACTTCTGTCTTCAATGCTTATGGAGTATTTTTGTTGGCAAAAACTGGGGTTTCTTTAAAATAAATCATAGAGTATTATTTTTATTTCCTGCTGAGCTCCAGTGTATAACATCAAGTTGGCCAGTAATTTTTGGCGTTATACAGGGAGGTGATGTTTTTAATTGTATGCAGTACTTAAAACCTTCATTCTAGAAATCTACAGCTCAAACTATACAAAATCCACAATGTACTTTACTTAAAGTGCTGTTTGATGGGTGAAATTAAGTGCTTTCAACAGTATAATCCTAATGGGTTGCAACACAGGCCCTATGGACCTCTTAAATGTTTTAATCCTATTTCATGGGTAGTCACTCAAGGTGCCTACAAATACCACATACTTTTATTTTATTTGGTGCATGGGCAAAATCCCATTGTTCCTGAGAGATCCTTTGGAAAAGATCCATGAAGTACCTACAAGAAAGAGTGATAACCTTTCCTCCCAGGTCTGGACACCAACCATTGCTTGGTCTTCACATGTTCCTTCAAAGTTGGATCTTTTCCAATCTTCCTCTTTTTTTTCATTTTGCTCTTAACGATATGAAATTTGAAAATTCATTAAAAGAAATATGATGGTAGGACCACCAGCACAATTTGAATAGTCCACCATCAGATGATTTTGGGCTAAAAAACACACACACCAAAAAATCAGTTATACTTAAACAAGAACATTTTAATTGATTCAAACATTGCTTTATACAAACTTCCTTTCTCAGGGCACCAAACAAAAAACACCTTAATGGTAGGCATAGCACTAATATTGTTGTAAAAGTTGCATTATGGGTGTTGTCACCAACAGTACTGAACATGTAACATTTATGACAGGTGCCAACACAGCACATACTAGTGACACATGTCAACATTGCATATAAACATTAACAAAACATGGTAAATCTTCTATATAGAGAACATGTTTCCATGATGCTGGTTTGACAGTTCGGTGGGGATTACTGGAAACAGGGTTTTCAAAAAACATTCAGCATTAAGATCACCAGTCACAAATCCCATGAGTGAAAATCTCCACTTTTCAGTAAGACTTTGTGAAAAAGTTCTGGTTTGCATTGGATTCTAATGGGACATCCTTAAATTAAGATTTTTTGCTTTCCTTTCTGTCAAAAGGGCAGATTTATAATCGTAGATTATGATATCTATTGCTTAAACACATGTTTTTGTTATTCAATCTTTTAAACCTAGTACAATGTTGTAATACAAGTATATATTCTTAAGGGTTACATCAATTACTATCTTAATAAATCGTATTAAAAATAATAAAAATTCAATATTAGTTAGTACCTAGAAATAAAGAAGTACATGTCTTCTGGCTTTCTAAAACTGAGGAAACTTCATATCAACACAGCTACTTATAGGCTATCACTATACATACTTATTGTGAAGGAAATCTAGGTTATATAAAGTTTTTAACATCATTTAACAGTCTTATAAATTATAAATACATTGATATTTTTGTAATGATTGAAGCTTGGCTATGACTGGTATATCAAATTCCTTATATCTGTTGTTGATGAATGATAAAAATGGATGATACAAAATTATAAACAAAAACAAACTGCATTTTATCTTAATGAAGAAAGCATAACTTTCACAAATGGTTTGATTAGAACATTATGGCAAAACACAAACTTCTGACTACAGTGACAACAGTCCTACTAATTTTTCTTAGTATATTTATTTTGCTTTGTGCAGCACAATGAAAAATTGCAAGGAAAGGCTTTTCAGTGTAAACTAAAGTGAAAGTAAAGTTTAAAATTGGTATGCAAAAATACGTATACCCCTTTCAGAGATGTATTTCTTCATTTGTGTCAACAAAAGCAAGACAAATACACAAGTCTTACAAAATTTTCTGCATGTGCACAGAATACAAGTTTTTATAACCAGTATCTAAACTGAAGGCTTATGTTGTTAAGACAATGTTACATGATGATATGATATAATTTGCACAAAGAATTACAGTTTTCCGTGTCTATGTGAAAATACCTTACCAGGTGACTGAAATAGCTATTCTATTCACATGTATGTCAAGAGCTGTTGTGACTAAAAATAGACTAAGTAGACTTAATTAATATTGGATATTTCCAGCAGTTAAATAGGGAAAAAATATGAAATGAAAATTATGCAAAAATCTTAACAAAATAATTTTTTTCCCCCAGTGATATAATGTTTTGATAAAATGAATATTCTTATATTGTCTTTCAACACCTATACTAATGTTCAATATGTGTAATGATAAAAGAACATAGTTGCAATATATAGATATGTTTAGGTCTAGTCTACCTGTAACATTCATGATTCAAAATAAATGTCATTACATTGAAAGCCCAAGTGATTTTAGATTATAGATCAAGAATTAAGATGGAAGTCAGGTTAAATTTATTTGTCAACTTGGATATCAATCATGATCTGCTCTTATATATAATGTAAGTTTTACCATATGTAATACTGACAAATGACATCGTACTCCAACTTATCAAATGTACTTAAGATGTACTTACTACAGTTACTGACAAATGACATCGTACTTCTACTTATCAAATGTACTTACAATGTACTTACTACAATCCAGAGGATATGAACAGATTTTTCCAGAAAGCAATCTTTTTCTATCTTAAAATCCTACTTCCACAAAGGGGCTACTTTGATAATTAAAATCTTACAAGCAATTAAAACTAGCATTATCCACAGAAGACGTAATATTTCATAAAGGTATTTTCAAACTGAAGCAAACATGGTGTGTTAAAATTTTAATCAGTGATGCTGAATTTGATAAATTCTTTCTTGTGACCTTCCAGATACTAAAAACAAATGAAATGATTTTACTGAATTTGCAACAAATTGACCGCAGCAGTTATTTTGGAAACACTAAAGTTTTAATTCACAGGATAAAACCATTTGCTCCCACACAGACATATGCAGGGAAACAATCCTGTGATTTACTATGAGAATATCCCTTTAGATGCAAAAAGCATGTCATTTTAAAAAAAGAACTCGAAAAAACAGAAAAACGACAAGAAAAAAAATACTCACACAACCAAATTTTTCATAAAACAACCCTTAGATCTATTCCCATGATTTTAAGATTTTACTTTCTGCCCTCTTTTTCTCATTCTTCAGGACTTCTCAGTTTCTTTTATCTCCTTGCCATGTTCCGATAAGCTAGAATTCCCCTCAGAATCCCCACATGTGTCTTGCTCCCGAGTCACATCACTGGTATCAAGCTGTTCGATCTTCTCCTCTCCAGAATCTAAAAGTTTACTTGTACCTGTGTTTGCTTTTTCATCTGCACTGTTCTCTTCCACTGGTTCAGAAACATCATCCTGTTGCGATTTATTTGCTGGGTCAGATGAAAGTTTCTCAACTGAGTCCTCCTCCACTGATTCCTTTGTTTTGGCGTCTACAGCTGTTTCTTCCTGAGGCTCGTCTTCTGGCAGTTCTCCAGCAGTCACTGTCCCTGTTGTACTCTCTAACTCAGATGTTTCCTCTTCATCACCTTCATCGCCATCATCAGAGTGATCTTTACTACCCTGTCCATCAGTGTTTTCTGTAAGAGAGAGGTTTTGAAGTTCCTGAGTAACCAATTCACCAGCAGGTTCCCCCACAGTCTCCTTTTGATTATCATCCATGTTTGTGTTTTCTTCCTTCATGTCTTCATCTAAAACTTTTTCACCCTCTTCCTCTTTTTTGTCACTTTCACCAACTTCTTCATTGGTTTTATCCACTCCATCTTCATCCTTTTCATCTACAGCTTTTCCGTTTTCATCATCACCTAAGTCAACAGTACCCTCTTTCTTTATACCACCTTTTTTATCTAAAGGCTCTTCACCTTCTTTTTCACTTTCACTATCTTCCTTGCTGGCGGTGTCATCTGCCTCTTTCAAATCCTTAGACTCACCAGTTGATCCTAGTGCATTCTCATCACCTTTCTCCTCTGCATCATAGAATTCATCATCTGTTTCATCTTTTCCTGCTAAATGGGAAAAACATGCACATTTTATTTAACTGACCTTTTTTTCTTAGCGATTTATTAAATATCTATTCCTAGATTTTCCCTTCAAAACCCAGACATTCTCTTTCTAAAATTAGATTTCTCTATTGCTTTTGATTTTTGGAACTTTTTAAAATTGGATCTCTCTTCTTGAAGATTTGTCAGAAATAATGAACTTGATAAAAATATTGAAGAGATCTGATGAATACACTACAAATACTTAAACTGTACTTAAAATACCAATATCATAATCACATCCTATTCAATATACTATGAATATCTGTACTAAAGTAAAATATCAATATTATAATCACACACTGTTCAATATACCATTAACATACAAAGAATGTTCTTAACACAGTTTCAACTGCACTCTTATTATATTTGGACAAACTCGCTTCAAAACTTGAAATTTCGTTTCTAGTGAATATAAACGAAAATTTTTACATCTTTGAGGTCCTATAAGCTACTATGGACCCATCTTTGTCTGTTCTATGGGTATTGGTAGTGTTACTTGACCTATCCTTGTCAGTTCTATGGGTATTGGTAGTGTAACTTGACCTATCCTGGTCTGTTCTATGGGTATTGGTAATGTTACTTCACCTATCTTTGTCTGTTCTATGGGTATTGGTAGTGTTACTTGACCTACCTTGTCTGTTCTATGGGTATTGGTAGTGTTACTTGACCTATCCCGGTCTGTTCTATGGGTATTGGTAATGTAACTTGACCTATCCTTGTCTGTTCTATGGGTATTGATAATGTTACTTGACCTATCCTTGTCTGTTCTATGTGTATTGGTGGTGTTACTTGACCTACCTTGTCTGTTCTATGTGCATTGGTGGTGTAACTTGAACTATCCTTGTCTGTTCTATGGGTATTGGTAGTGTTACTTGACCTATCCTTGTCTGTTCTATGGGTATTGGTAGTGTAACTTGACCTATCCTTGTCTGTTCTATGGGTATTGGTAGTGTTACTTGACCTATCCTTGTCTGTTCTATGGGTATTGGTAGTGTTACTTGACCTATCCTTGTCTGTTCTATGGGTATTGGTAGTGTTACTTGACCTATCCTTGTCTGTTTTATGGGTATTGGTAGTGTAACTTGACCTATCCTGGTCTGTTCTATGGGTATTGGTAATGTTACTTCACCTATCTTTGTCTGTTCTATGGGTATTGGTAGTGTTACTTGACCTATCCTTGTCTGTTCTATGGGTATTGGTAGCGTTACTTGACCTATCCTTGTCTGTTCTATGGGTATTGGTAGTGTAACTTGACCTATCCTTGTCTGTTCTATGGGTATTGGTAGTGTTACTTGACCTATCCTTGTCTGTTCTATGGGTATTGGTAGTGTAACTTGACCTATCCTTGTCTGTTCTATGGGTATTGGTAGCGTTACTTGACCTATCCTTGTCTGTTCTATGGGTATTGGTAGCGTTACTTGACCTACCTCGGATTTTATCAAGTTGTTTGCCAGATATGAAGGAGAAGCTGTCAGAGGCACCTGTTGTTTCCAGCACCGATTCTTCCATCGTCATCTTTGAGGTATCAATGTCTACACAACAGAGGAAACAGGTAGATCTATATATGTATATTTTTAAATATGGGGAAAATAGAATGCAATGATAAAAAATAATAAATTATACATGACTCCTTGTTATGTCATATCACCTGTTACCTTTCATAAATGTCATTTGTCTTCAGTCACATTTCATATAAAGTCATTTCTCTGAGGTCACATTACTTAAATGTCATCTGGCACACATTTCAGCTAATGAAACTGTGCCAGTTGTTCCCCATGTCACAAGTAAAAATACTTTGCAAAGCAAAGAAATATCAGCAACAATGATGCATATAGAACGCCATTAATGCTCTGTTCACATCCCAATGTAGAGTAAAACTTTCGATTTAAGTCATATATCCATGATATTAGGACCATAGAGAGTGAATATATAGTTCACCTTAATTCTTTGAAAATATGAAAGATCAACTGAGAGCAGACAATTTTCAGATATGATCCAACATTCTGTTAATTTCATGTTTTGGATACTTTCACATATTGCTTTATATCACATATTGCAAGAATATGCAATACATTAACAGAAATGCAATATACATCTGAATTCTGACCTACCTGTAGTTTCATCATCACTCCCAAAGGAATTTTCTCTCAACAAAGAAAGCTCGTTAAAGGAGGTTTCTGTAACATAAAGGCATTATTCACAAGATGTAGCATGACTGTATTCATCTATTTCTTTATTTGAAAGTAAACAACTTTAACTGTAAATGAACACTCTCTGCCCTTACATAAATGCTTATATGCTGTGTGCATCAAAAACAATTTCCAGACAATGACTGTTAGTACATTTGGCATGCACTGATGATGTCCTTGCTGTCAACACAAACATGGTGCATATTTTCAAAATATATACAGTCAACAAAATTAATCATAAGAGGCCCATGGGCCTTAAGGGTTATCAGACCATGTAAAGACCTATATAGGAATGAGCCAAATTGGCCTAAAATAACTACACAACAGCTTACATAGAAGACATTGGTTGGTTTGTCAAGACATTTTCTACAAACTTAAATCATATTCTTTATACATGCTGTTTTCCTGTTGAAAAAGCATGCTACAGGTACAATATCAAGACCCTTGTCCTTTTGTTTATTCAGAAAAAGTTGTTAACGCATTTCAACACATTTGACCCCTGTGACCTTGAAAGTGGATCAAGGCCATTCATATTTACAACTTGGTAGCCCTTCATCCCATCATGCTACAGGCCCAATATCAGTAACCTGGGCCTTTTGGTTATTGAGAAGATGTTTAAACATTTAAACATATTTGACCCCTGTGACCTAAAAAGTGGCCGAAGGTCATAACAAACTTGGTAGCCCTAAATGCCATCATGCTACAGGCATAAAATCAGCATCCTAAGCCTTTTGGTTATTGAGAAGAAGTTGTTTAAAACATATTTTAACATATTTGACCTCTGTGACATTGAAAGAAGGTAAAGGTAATTCATATAACAAACTTCGTTGCCCTTCATCCCATCATACTACAGGCCAAATATCAGTACCCTGACCCTTCTGGTTATTGAGAAGAAGGCAATTGAATGGGAAGTTTATGCAAGGAGGACAGCGCACGGTTATGATAGAAACATTATGGCCAACGTTCATTCTGAATTTGGGTCAGATGACCTAATAAATAGTCTGTTGGTATTCTGTCCTATATTCTTTTCAGAAAGAGATTCGTAAAGTTAATGTCAAAAAATATTTTTCTAAATTTTTCGGATGAAATGATATTTCAACTTCTTACAAGTTGATACAAATGTAGATTTCTAGTTTAAAAAGCCTGTCATTTTGATATGAACATATCTATGCAAATTTTTTTTACCTCTACATTGACAAATCATTTGTCAAAATATAACATGCTATATATTAAGCACTTTTGATTAAACTGTAGATATCGCAATAATAATTCCAGTTTTGTAATCAAGGAATGAATCAGTTGTATGGTTTATTTTAACATCTATTGACTGATCAACAATGTTTATCATAATGTAGTACACCACTGTGTAATGAACATATTTCTAAGTTTTCGGTACATTCCAACTTTGCTAAAGGAAATTTTGACCATATGCAACGATTTGTCAATGGCTCAAAAAGCTAACTTCACCCCTGATAATGTTGTTCGCTTAAACTAAAGACCTTGAATGTAGAACCAACACAACTTTATGTTTATGTAAAGGTACCAGTTTCATCCATAAGTGCTTCAGACTCCAATGTGGACCCAGGTACAAAATCAGCAAAGCCAAGTTCCACAAGCTGCATATTAAACATCTCTCCTTGCTTGGCTCCGATGACGCTAACAGTGACACTGTACGGTGGGCTGTCTCGCTTTGTCAGGGGGTCAACATAAAGGGACACAAGACTATACTCCGATGACAGTGCTGTAGAATGAAACAAGGTTACTTCTGAGTGTATCCCTATATACAAATTAACCCAATAACTGTGTACAAAATGATACATCAGATTCACAGAGCTAGTATTGCTTCTGCTATATATCTGCAAAAGTCCATTATATCTTAGCAAATATTTTCATTTGGACAAAAAAAATCGTTAACAAAAGCTCAAAAATGTATTGTTTAAAACCATGTAAATTATTCAGGATTGATAAATTAAACATTTTTGGTATTCTACTATAACAAAACTTGTTGTTGAATATGCAACATCTTAACTTGGCATTCCAGCTGTTCATATTCCATTCCCTTACCTAAAACCTGAACAAACCAAGAACAGTAGACAAGATATTAAGGACATAATTGTCACATCCACATCACTAAAATTAATGTTAATATCTTGTCCTTCTTTCCATTATTCATTCCATCAGTACATGCCGATAACAACTTGTGAATTCCAGACAAAAATTGAATTCATTGATACAGTGGAGCTGGCTTATTATAATATCGGATATTATGTTATGTTGCATAATGAAATATTTTTTACCATTTATCAAAATTTCCCTCTATGATTTAAGTAAAGGAAAAAAACTGTTTATTATGATATATAGTCCAATAGGTGATATCTTATATTTTTCCTGTCGAAATCAAGATCTTATCAGCCCAAATCTCAGGTAAGGGCCCCTGGTATGACACTAATTACCGCCATGGTCACACTACACACTTGTCCAAGTATATATATCTGAACCAGCGGGGACCATAACAATAGAGGTGGCCGAAGTCCAACACCTCCAGACGTAATCCCATTATCTTATAATCCCATACTGTTCATAATTGATTTGTTTGGTAAACATGTTGATGTTGCAAGAAATAGGTCAGAAGTGATGTTGTAATAAAAAGAAATAAATTCATATGTTTGTCAAATGATATATTATTCCGGTTATTTTCATAAGGTGGTTCCTTTTTTGTATTTCCTGTTTGTTTTGACACACCATATCACAACATGAATCATTATCATGTCCTGACTGTTTTAATGAGAATGAGTGAATGAGTATACAGGTTATCCAATGAAAACACAAGGTTATAGGTCATAAGTCAACCTGTGTCAGGATACACAGAATGAACCAACTGATGCATACACATTCTTTCACGAAACACATACATTTCTCTGTGAAATGATGTTTATTTATCTACGATATTTCTTTCATTCTTGTTGAGCATCTACATAGGAATCTATCACTGCCTCTGAGAAAAAAAAACTGCAATGGAAAGTAAAAATGACAGGAGATTGATTCCCATTACGACATGATAAGGTCTAAGTAACTGTATTGACAACTGGTTTAAACATTCACATATAATTTTTTGTTTTGTTTATTTCACCTATTAAGCTATCATATCAACATTGTGTTGTGTTGCCTGACCACTGAAGGATATCCCACTTCCACTTTCGACCAAATATTTCATCTCAAAATTGCTTTCTAGAATATTATGATATCTTAAGTATCAGAATATTTTTTCAGCAAAATAGAATATCATAATAAGCAGGTTCCACTGTACGACATTATTAAGAAGTGTGGAATACTGAACCTCATATTACATGACTGCCCGATTATTGTATGCTTTGAAGTAACAGGTACTACCCAAAGCTTACTTTGAGAGCCCTTCATACTGTCCTCAGACCGTTCCGTAGTCACTACCCAAAGCTTACCTTGAAAGCCCTTGGTACTGTCCTCAGACCGTTCTGTAGTCACTACCCAAAGCTTACCTTGAGAGCCCTTGCTGTCCTCAGACCGTTCTGTAGTCACTACCCAAAGCTTACTTTGAGAGCCCTTGATACTGTCCTCAGACCATTCCGTAGTCACTACCCAAAGCTTACCTTGAAAGCCCTTGGTACTGTCCTCAGACCGTTCCGTAGTCACTACCCAAAGCTTACCTTGAAAGCCCTTGGTACTGTCCTCAGACCGTTCTGTAGTCACCACCCAAAGCTTACCTTGAGAGCCCTTGCTGTCCTCAGACCGTTCTGTAGTCACTACCCAAAGCTTACTTTGAGAGCCCTTGATACTGTCCTCAGACCATTCCGTAGTCACTACCAAAGCTTACCTTGAAAGCCCTTGGTACTGTCCTCAGACCGTTCCGTATTCACTACCCAAAGCTTACCTTGAAAGCCCTTGGTACTGTCCTCAGACCATTTCGTAGTCACTACCCAAAGCTTACCTTGAAAGCCCTTGGTACTGTCCTCAGACCATTCCGTAGTCTCTATGGGCTGAATATCGGCCAAACTACACATGATGGCCTGAGCAGGCAGGTGTAGCATATCACTAGGGAGAGGCTTGAGGAAGGCACTGTCTACACACTGGCTGACTCCATAGTCCACCATGTAAACCTGATGAAACCAACTTATTATCTCAGGAACTGAATTCAATCACAAAAAGTATCATAAGGTAACAAGATTGACCAAGTGACACTTCAATTAGTGTCTGGATATCAATGGATGACATTTAAACAGGAAGTATATGGAGGGTGAATTGGGTAATGGAAAGAAATCAGGGTTTATAAACTTTGATTAAATCAGCCTTACAGAGCTCAACAGATGTGTACAAAAATTTTTCTATTTATAGGAACAGGGACATTGAGTTTTGACCTTCAGTAGTAAAAAGCAAGCAGTTTAAAGAAGAAGCATTCTATGATGTCATATAGAGATATTTCTATTTTGAAATAAATTTTTATCTGTATCACAGCGACCTTGACATATGACCTTTAATACCGAGGAATTAGTCACTAGAATGCACTTGCAGTGAAAAACCCTAACCTTACAGAATTCAAAATACCGGTAATGTCTGGAAGAGGAAACAGGATAATTAAGTGGAGACACCAACAGAAGCAGGTACAACATCACTTTTTAATATACACAATGGTAATAATTAAGCATATCCTCAATGCTCTTTCAAAAGACTGATATGTAAACATTTCTGTGAGATAAACAATGGACATCCTTACCTCTGACTGGAGTACTAACTATGTCCATACATTGCTACTACCAAATGACCATTTATAAGTTCAAGGATCATACTTTTCAAAGTTCCAGATTTATCAACTCCTTTTCAAATTCCCCTCACCTGAACATTTTGGTCAGTGGTTCCTGTAATTACAGCACGCCCATACCATTTATCCTCTTCCAACTGTGCCAAGCATGCTGTGCCTTTTAAGATCTCGTCTGACAAAAGGACCTCGTCAGCATGCTCCAACACATATTCCTTTATGTTAGTGACAAGGTCAGCTCTGTCCGCCTTGCCCTGTTCTTCAAGGACTACATAAAAACACCCTGGTGATATAATGTTAAGTATAACAGCAGTATAGTTTTCGTCTGTGTTCACTGTCAGTGGTTTAAAGGGTCCTAGATCTAGTTTTTCTACAGTATCAGATTTAATACTGTGGAAGTCCTCATCATCTTTTGAATCATCTGAAGGTTCTCCTGTCCCTGCTTTCTGTTCCTTCTTAACAGCTTCTTCACATGGAGTTTCCTGTTTCCGATCTGACGAGAACTTGGCATACCCACCTTGTACAAGAGTGTCTGCTAAACAAACCTCCCCATCACTCATTTCCACCCTGTAACAACAGTTTGGCAAAATTTCACAAATTTTCACTTTCAAGTCTTTTTCAAATGTTAATTCCTCTAGTCTGCTACAGGTGATTTTCTCCCATCCTTCAGACTCCGACTCGGGCACAATGCCTTTCATACAGCAGCAAAATGCCTGTCTTGGGAATAAAATGTCCTCAGACTTGATTCCCCTCAGCTCAGCAGGTGTCACAGTTTCTGAATTGCCATAGTCTACAAAGAGGACTTCTACAATTGTGTCCTGTTTGTCTATAACTACGGCCCGGTACCACAGCCCATCCTCTCCATACAAGCCTACACAAGGGAGACCACGTTTTACCTCCTCTAAAGTCAGCGCTTTTTCCTGGCTGTATTTTTCTTGAATTCCGTCCATGAATGTTTGTAAATCTTCCTGTTTTTCAGACAACTGTAGCCATAACTTTCCAGGAGAGGCGGCATGGCTTACACAACAGATATATTCTGTAGATGGTGCGAGCTCCAGAGAAGGATACCTTTCAAGGAAAAGCATGATAATATTAAACCAGCAACCAATAGAAACCATCACACAAGTTCCACACTTTTCCTATAATGATAACTTTTTCAATGGAACAGACAGACTCAGTTTCTCATGGTTGTTAAAGCTGCTATTAATAATTTTTTCCAAGAAATGTTGAAGCGAAATTCTACTTGAGTACACAAGTTACATTTGATAGTAAAATATGAAATATATTGTGTATTCAGTGACCAGTTACAGAAAAACCAATTAAGGAAAGAACATTTTTCTGTTTTTTTTTAGATATCAATAATCCAATTTTACATAAAAAGCATCAGCGAAGCAATAAGATATAAAAGAATCACATGATGTTTAATATGTCAAATTATAAATATGGTCCTACTTTTCCTCATTCAAGTCTGGCTGGGCATCAGCATCTAAATCTAGGACCTTCATTGGACTGGAGTCAGAAAACACTCGTTTCGTTTTCTTACTGACATAGGTGGGTGTGGATGCTTCCACTCCAAAACCCTCATCAATGAACTTTTGGCTGAGTAGTATCCCCATGTCAAATAACTGAACAATGCAAGCATCATCCGTGCTTACACACAAGATATCTGCTAACAGGCTCCTACAGATAACAAAAATCAATAACACAGTTATAAGATTCTTTAGTTATGGCTAAAATGGCAACTTTTATATCAATAAATTTTCCTTAAAAATCATTAAAAATAATTCAATGACCATTCATACTGGGATACTATGCAATGAAACTGAAAGTATTGAGCTAAAATTGGCTATATGATAAAAGCTCTTCAACAGAACAAAAATTAACCTCTATTAGTGTGGGTTAAAGAAAATTTATACTTAAGAGGACAATTAATTATATGATCCCTTGATCCCTGCAAGCAGATTTTGAAATGTTTGCCAGTTGGATGGAATATTTACCTGTAAATTTTGAAAAATAAAATCACTTTATCCTTATTCTTGACATTTATGGATGAAGAATTTCACTGTTTAGCTTAGCTATCAGACAAGTTTCTGTTAATGTTTTCCTTCTACACTTACTTTTCATGTAAAAGTTCAGAGAAGAGTTCCAAAGCCTCATCACTCCATGGGCCATCAGCGGATCGCACTCCACCTAAAGTGCAGTGCATGGTCTGCACAGGTAGATTAATGAAACGGGTCAGAAGCTTTCGGATCGCATCCCCAGAACATTCCTCAACGTTGCCATGATCTAGGAATTCCACTTTAAACTTGTCTGATCCTAGCACTTCCAATACCTGTGCCCTATACCAGGATTCATCCTCCGTGTACTTCACAGCACACAACTGTCCAACTTTAGGAAACTCGATGTTCAGGTCAATTCCTTTGTATTCTGAATAGAACTTGAACATTTCATCTATCAGACTAGATAGAGCATCCTTGTTCCTGTCTAGATGGACATAGAAAGAGCTCGGAGAGTTGATATGACTAGAGGTCACCTGAACGCGATCCCCTTCCTCTAGGGCAAGATGTGTTAGCTTTCCAAGGTCATCAGTTGTTTCTGTTGATGAAGCATCACCACATTCATTGGTCGTTTCTGTTCCATCTAAATAAAATAGATACGAATTACTTATCACTTCAATAAAAAAAAACAGGAGCGTGCTTGTCAATGAAAATAAGCTATAAATGTAATTAAAATCGCAAGATCAGTACAAATCAAGTTCCTCTGATGAAGATGTATCTTTAAATCAGACTAGTAAAGGTATCTTTCCTGATACCACTGGATAGGTAACTTTATACTTAATTACATACTGGTCTGATACACTGGATAGCTTTATACTTAATTACATACTGGTCTGATACACTGGATAGCTTTATACTTAATTACATACTGGTCTGTTACACTGGATAGCTCTATACTTAATTACATACTGGTCTGATACAGACTGATATTTTAGTTTAAGGGTGCTTCACTTTATAATTCTAATGTTTTCTATTTATGCTTAAAAGCAAATATTCAAGTAAAACACCTTAAAAATTGTAAGGCAAATTTAAGTTCCAAAACTAAAACATCAAAACTTGCACAATGCACAGGCAAGTATGAATATCATAACAATGAAAATAATTGTATGTACATGAAAAACAAAATAAAGACAAGTTCCATCACAAAACAGTCATGACAGAAAAAAAAGATTCAGCTGGCTTGGTTTCTTACAAAAATCAACCTGAAAGCAAGAGCGCATATAAATGTTAGTAAAATTTAGCAGCAAAGCAAGCTCATGCAGCGACAAGTGTTTAAATGATAGTGACTTGAGAACCCCTTCTTTTTATTTACAAAGAATTCTCTTTGCATTTATGAAGAATTCTTCGTATTTTTATTTGATGATCTCATTAGCACTCTATAATGATGAACTGAAACAATATTAGTGACAACACTTGGTAGTGGGAGGAGGAATCCAGGATACTCATATCTCATGTAGTCACATCAACATGTGCTCTCCTGTAACCTTCATAAATCTAACTCAATTAACGGCTAGATTTATTTCGATGTTTTTATCAAGCAGGAATTCGCCTGTATACATGAAATAAATTCATATCTTTTGTATTTATTTATGTTACAAATGTACCACATTAGGAAATGAAATTTCTGTAATAAGGAATTATAAGTAAACATATATATCCTTCCAACCAGTGTATGTACTAAAAATAAGCCTATAGTCGGTAATAAGCTATCAATGCACAATTGCTATTTCAATGCACTGTAATAATCCACCGTTTCCTGTTTGGATGTGTTATAGGATATATACATACAGCATGTCGTAAAGGATGACAAGCTTTAGTTAGTACCAGAATGTGCACACACCCCACTTTGGATCTTCAATTTCTCAAGTAAAACTACACAAATTACAAGGGTTTCAATGCTACAACTGTAGCTGCAGGTCCTTGTGTAGAGACACTGCTACACATATATTTGACAGTTTTTCAGATATCTTTTACTTATTTACTTACAACATCTGTGCGTTAACCTACCACCTTTATCTTATATCAATTATGAAACAATATACGAGAGCTTATAATAAATACCCTTGTTAGTCTGAATTGTGATGTCTTACTGTTGGAGGAAACTGGATAACCTGAAGAAAACCTACCCTGTACAATGTCTGGCCAATGAACACTGTTATGTATTTAGGGCATGTTGAGTATCCTGATGCCACCTGACCACCCACTGTTATGTATTTAGGGCATGTTGAGTATCCTGATGCCACCTGACCACCCACTGTTATGTATTTAGGGCATGTTGAGTATCCTGATGCCACCTGACCACCCACTGTTATGTATTTAGGGCATGTTGAGTATCCTGATGCCACCTGACCACCCACTGTTATGTATTTAGGGGATGTTGAGTATCCTTGTGCCACCTCACCACCCACTGTTATGTATTTAGGGGATGTTGAATATCCTGATGCCACCTGACAACCCACTGTTATGTATTAAGGGGATGTTGAGTATCCTGATGCCAACTGACAACCCACTGTTATGTATTAAGGGGATGTTGAGTATCCTTGTGCTACCTCACCACCCACTGTTATGTATTTAGGGCATGTTGAGTATCCTTGTGCCACCTGACAACCTACTGCAACCTACTGTTATGTATTTAGGGCATGTTGAGTATCCTTGTGCCACCTGACAACCTACTGTTATGTATTTAGGGCATGTTGAGTATCCTTGTGCCATCTGACAACCTACTGCAACCCACTGTTATGTATTTAGGGCATGTTGAGTATCCTTGTGCCACCTGACAACCTACTGCAACCCACTGTTATGTATTTAGGGCATGTTGAGTATCCTTGTGCCACCTGACAACCTACTGCAACCCACTATTATGTATTTAGGGCATGTTGAGTATCCTTGTGCCACCTGACAACTTACTGCAACCTACTGTTATGTAATTAGGGCATGTTGAGTATCCTTGTGTCATCTGACAACCTACTGCAACCCACTGTTATGTATTTAGGGCATGTTGAGTATCCTTGTGCCACCTGACAACCTACTGCAACCCACTGTTATGTATTTAGGGCATGTTGAGTATCCTTGTGCCACCTGACAACCTACTGCAACCCACTATTATGTATTTAGGGCATGTTGAGTATCCTTGTGCCACCTGACAACTTACTGCAACCTACTGTTATGTAATTAGGGCATGTTGAGTATCCTTGTGTCATCTGACAACCTACTGCAACCCACTGTTATGTATTTAGGGCATGTTGAGTATCCTTGTGCCACCTGACAACCTACTGCAACCCACTGTTATGTATTTAGGGGATGTTGAGTATCCTTGTGCCACCTGACAACCCACTGTTATTTATTTAGGGCATGTTGAGTATCCTTGTGCCACCTGACAACCTACTGCAACCTACTGTTATGTATTTAGGGCATGTTGAGTATCCTGAATAAAAAAACATGTAGGTATAGGATAAACAAACTATTGCCAAGAATGGCTGAACTAGTGTTCTCACCAACTTCATCATCTCGTAAAACAGAGTCATCCTCGCAATGGGACAAGACGTCAACATGGCTAGGCCTGTCTGTGACCGACTTAGATGACGCTGGTGATGGGGATAAAACAGTCATGTGACACAGAATTGCATCAATAAACTTAAAAGAATAGTTATTGCATTTAAGGTGAATGAAGACTGATGTTAAGTCTGGTGATTTTAGTTTGAAATAAAAAACAATTTAGATGAAAAATATTTGTACATGTAGATGCAGCAATGTTTGCAATACCGTCTTTTCATGGTTTAATATATATAAGTCATCTTACTAAGTTTTATTGATTTATAATTATAAATATCCACTTCCAATGAGTACATCACATACAGAATAATTCATGTCTCTCAATGTTTCATTATACATAATAGGTTATTTATCAGATATATTTCACGACAATATGAATTACATTCCGTAGTCTTTAACTAATGTGCTGTACAAATGTCTATAATTATACCTCCTCAATAAATGTCCTATGGAATTTTTCAGAAATTTGTTATTTATTAATAGGAAAATCACAAAGTTTGAAAAAACATTTATTTCTTACCAGTATTCTTTAACCCCAAGATGGAATCTGATATACCAGTTTTTTGTTCATGTCTGGTATTCAATAGTGCCTCTGGATAATCTCCTTTGGATTTTGGATGATCAACCAAGGACCCCGAGTGATCTGTAGATATTGACAACTCGGTCAATATCTGCACTGGTGCATCAAATTGTGATACCTCAACAATTGTCTCCACTGGTTCACCTGATGTTTCCTTCTCTATCATGGTATCCACTGGTTCATGATATGTTACTACCTCGATCGTCTCCAAAGGTTCATGATATGTTACTACCTCGATTGTCTCCACTGGTTCATCAGATGTTTCTACCTCTATTGTCTCCACTGCTTCATCAAATGTTTCTACCTCGATCGTCTCCACTGGTTCATGATATGTTTCTACCTCGATTGTCTCCACTGGTTCATCAGATGTTTCTACCTCTATTGTCTCCACTGGCTCATCAGATATTTCTACCTCTATTGTCTCCACTGCTTCATCAAATGTTTCTACCTCGATCATGTCCAATGGCTCATCAGATGTTTCTACCTCTATTGTCTCCACTGCTTCATCAAATGTTTCTACCTTGATCGTCTCCACTGGTTCATGATATGTTTCTACCTCGATTGTCTCCACTGGCTCATCAGATGTTTCTACCTCTATTGTCTCCACTGGTTCATCAGATGTTTCTACCTCTATTGTCTCCACAGCTTCATCAGAAATTTCTACCTCAATCGTGTCCACTGGTTCATCAGCTGTTTCTACCTCTATTGTCTCCACAGCTTCATCAGAAATTTCTACCTCGATCGTGTCCACTGGTTCATCAAATGTTTCTACCTCGATAGTCTCCACTGGTTCATGATATGTTACTACCTCGATTGTCTCCACTGGCTCATCAGATGTTTCTACCTCTATTGTCTCCACTGCTTCATCAAATGTTTTTACCTCGATCGTCTCCACTGGTTCATGATATGTTTCTACCTCGATAGTCTCCACTGGTTCATGATATGTTTCTACCTCGATGGTCTCCACTGGTTCACCTGATGTTACCACCTCTATCTTCTCCACTGGTTCATCAAATGTTACTACCTCTATCATCTCCACTGGTTCATCAAATGTTACTACATCTAATGTCTCAACTGGTTCATGATATGTTTCTACCCCTATCGTCTCCACTGGTTCATCAGAAATTTCTACCTCAATCATGTCCACTGATTCATCAGATGTTTCTACCTCTCTCATTGTCTTTATTGGTTCATCAGATGTTTCTACCTCTCTCATTGTCTTTACTGGTTCATCAAATGTTTCTACCTCCTCTGTGGTCTCCACTGGATCATCTGATGTTGCTTTCTCTATCACTGCCATGTCTGGTTCATCTGATATTTCTACTTCATACATTGTAGTCTCTGCTGGTATATCAAATTGTTCTGCCTCTTCAATCATCCCGACTGGTTCATTATAAGTTTCTACCTCGATTGTCTCCACTGGTTTATCAGATATTTCAAACTCTATCGTCTGCACTGGTTCATCAAATGTTACTACATCTATCGTCTGCACTGGTTCATCAGATGTTCCTACCTCTATCGTCTGCACTGGTTCATCAGATGTTACTACCTTTATTGTCACCACTGGTTCACTTGATGTTTCCTTCTCTATCATGGTATCTGCTTGTTCACCTGATGTTTCTACCTCTATCGTCTGCACTGGTTCATCAGAAGTTTCTACCTCGATCGTCTCGACTGGTTCATCAGATCTTACCACCTCTATTGTCTCCACTGGTTCATGATATGTTTCTACTTCCATCGTCTCCACTAGTTCATCAGATGTTACCATCTCGATCGTCTCCACTGGTTCATCAGAAGTTTCTACCACTATCATCTTCACTGGTTCATCAGATATTTCAAACTCTATCGTCTCCACTGGTTTATATGTTTCTACCTCTATCGTGTCCACTGGTTCATCAGATGTTTCTACCTCTATCGTCTCCACTGGTTCATCAGATGTTTCTACCTCTATCGTCTCCACTGGTTCATGATATGTTTCTACCTTTATTGTCTCCACTGGTTCACTTGATGTTTCCTTCCCTATCATGGTATCCGCTGGTTCACCTGATGTTTCTACCTCTATCGTCTCCACTGGTTCATCAGAAGTTTCTACCCCGATCGTCTCCACTGGTTCATTAGAAGTTTCTACCTCGATCGTCTCCGCTGGTTCACCTGATGTTTCAACCTTTATCGTTGTCTCAACTTGTTCATCAGATGTTACCACCTCTATCGTCTCCACTGGTTCATCAGATGTTACCACCTCTATCGTCTCCACTGGTTCATCAGATGTTACCACCTCTATCGTCTCCACTGGTTCATCAGATGTTACCACCTCTATCGTCTCCACTGGTTCATCAGATGTTACCACCTCTATCACCTCCACTGGTTCATCAGATGTTACCACCTCTATCGTCTCCACTGGTTCATCAGATGTATCTTCCTCTACTATTGTATCTATTGGTTCATCAGTTTCTACCCCTATCATCGTCACCACTGGTTCACTTGATGTTTCTACCTCCACTATCGTCTCCACTACTTCATGATATGTTTCTACCTCTATCATTGTCTCAACTTGTTCATCAACCTCTACTACCATATCTACTGGTTCATCACTTTTTATGTCTTTCATCCTCTCAACTTGTTCATCTGATGTTTCTACCTCCACTGGTGTCTCCATGACTAGTTCATCACATTTTTCTACCTCTATCATTGTATCCACTGAGTCTGGTTCATAGGTAAATATTAGTTCTCGAGAAAAGCTTTCTGCTGCTCCAGCAATTAAGTCCTTTGCATTTTCCTCCTGACTATAAACGTCTGAATTAGTTTTAACCGATTCTAAATACAAACTGCTTAAGACATTGTGGTTTGAATCTGGTTCTGGTAAAATGTTATCCTTTGTGATAGCACTTCCTGAATCAATATCTATACCTACAAATGTCTCCAATTTCCCCTCAGTGTCACAAGCTTCGTGAAGCCGACATCCAGTTATAGGAATCTCCGTAGCTTTATATTCTTGCTCCGATGTATTCTCAATGCAGTTTCCAAGTACCACTTTGAATGTATCGGGTAACTTGTCACAATCAGGAGATTCATCTCTCAGATCTAGTAGCTCGATGTCACAAACCTTAACTTCTCCCAAGTCACAAAAATTTACAGTAAAATCAGCAACAGATTTACCTTGTTCTTGAACAATATATTCTACACAGTCTACAATAGACTTATTTTCATCCTGACCACTTTCAACACAGGAGGTTGAAATATCCTCATCCTCTAGAACGGAGTCAACTAACCCGGTTTTGTCCAAGGTAATGAAGGACCCATCTCCTTGTGGAGTCTCATCTAGATCTAGAGCCACTATGATAAACAAAGGACAAATAATGGGCATGGTTTTTTATGTACAAAGCACTTCTGCAACTAAAGAACCTGGCCTCTGAAGATACGTCAGAAACAAATTTAAACCAGATTTAATTACTTTGCAACAAGATCCTTTATGAGATATTGTATATCCACTTTTAGACGTTGTCATGGTCACAAAAGACCCGAAATATTCTATGATTATAAAGGGTTAATTTCATGAGTAACATGCAGTACATTACAGTTTTAGTTACAAGCGGCCCCAGATCAAGTTAGTTCTAGGACTATTAAAAAAAAAAAAAAAATTAGTTCTAGGACTATTATCTCCATCTCGCTGTTTCTCACGGACACCTTTTCCCATTAAACTATGAACATGTTTACCTCCTGAAGAGTTTTGTGATGACATGATTCCTCATTATTTCTTTTCTCATACGTATTATGTCAGAAAGATTAAAAGACCAATGCAGTAAATACATATGACCTGTTACTCCTACACATGTGTTGATACAAGACATTCTTGTATTTATAAGACTTATTTCATGATTACATAAAACTAATTAGGAAACTCTCTCCTTTCAGATATAGTTTCTGAATATGGTAGTCCCTACTAACACTCTGATTATCATCAGATCTAGTTCCATCAGAAAAGCACCAAAATAATTACAAAATAAAAAAGAAAGTCCTATTTCAGTAAATCCCCCTTCTCTACTTGCCTCCAAAACTACCTTTAAATCTCATTAATTCATTTTTCATCTGTTCCAAGATTTTAAAGGCTATGGTCCTTATATGGCATGAATATAAATGTGTTTCCTTTGTCAATTGATGAACTATTTATAGGTTTTATCATAAAAAAAAATAATCAAAGTAATTCAATAGCTACCATTTGTTATTTTTAGTAACATTTTAATTAATAAGAAACTAAAAAGATTAAAACATTCTTTGTTTAGATACTTTAAACAGTATCTTCAAAATCATAGGAAAGCAAATAATGCATAATATGAATTTTCCTTTTTCCTAAAGCAAGTTTGGAAAGTATAAATTTTTCACTAACTTAACAGCAGCCATTGGGATGGTAAGGTGCTTTTGGTGAATATAGCATAAAAAAAAACCTTGGTTTAACATAAGATCATGGAGTTTGATGACTCAAAGCTTTATCCAAACTTGTGTAAGAAAACAATGTGAAACTTAAGTCTAAGAAAATTATTGAGAAAAAGTGATATTGAATATTGTAAAGATAGGGGCACACCAGAATGCATTCTTGGAGGTTCTATTTTATAAATTGAAAAGTAAATTAATTTCATATTTATCACACAATTTGCCTGTCATCAACTTAAGATTTTTTGTAATATATCCTGGAGCGATTTTCATTGTCTGTTCCAGTCAGAAATTGATTGATGTCATTCATGAATTCAAAAATGTTGACTTTTTTCCTTAATATCTTCACCAAAATTTTCATTTGCAAAATGGAGCCTCCATAAACACAAAACATTGCACTACACCACACTATATACAGCACTAATTATATCAGCATTTTCAGAAAACATTATCCTACCTGCAGCTTCAGCTTTCAAGAAGTCTTGACCAATGTCTTTGCCCTCGTTTGTAATCAAGGTCACTTGGAAGAGGCCATCATCGGTCATCTCTTGGAAGTTGGTGGTCAGCTCCTGATCCTCAGTTAGACGGGAGAAGAGGGTCTGCTGTTTGTCAGTCATCCTGCCAATCCCCTTCATCACTGCTGGGTAAGCAAGCAATGCTGGTGTTAAGAGTTCTGCATTTAAAAGCTTCAGTTGATCACATGTTACCATATCACAGTTACCAAAGTCTAGGAAACGTACACCAACTTCCTCCCCAGATACCTTGGAAACAGTTGCTCGGTACCAAGCTTGATCTTCCGAGAATTTGGCACAACAGTGTAACCCTTCTTTGACCTGTTCAGGCTGTGGGCTACTGAGGTGCTCACATATTGTCTGGAGATTTTCAGAGAGTTCTGCTAATTTATCTTCATCAGTACCTAACTGCAGGTAGAACACATCCTCCACATGGGAGACGAAAGTCGATACCTTGCTTTGTGGTTTCGTCTGCAGTAAGAACTTCATCTCCTTTGCCTTGACTAGTTTTGCATGTCCCTGCACTACCAAATCTTCAGCCACATCTCCATCTTCATTTCTTAGGCAGACTGTAGTGTTGGACACAAATTTACATCTCAGTTCCTGATCCATAACTAAGCTCTCAAGGTGGGCAATGGCCTCCTCTGACCACTTATCTTCTACTGATACAAGGCCATCAAGTGCACACCTGAATGCCATAACTGGTTGTGATGTAAATTCAGGAGTCAGAACTTTCAGAGAGCTGCTATCCACCTCCTCTGCATTACCGTAGTCTATAAACAAGACATGACACTTGTCAGCACATACATCCTGCACCTCAGCTCTGTACCACAAACTATCCTCGATATACTTTGTACAACAGATGCACCCACTCTTCAATTCTTGTTCAGAAATATCACAGACACTAGCTGAATATGCAGTTTGTAACTTTGCACTCAAGTCATTTAAATTGGTTTCCTGACTGGCCAACTGTACATACAGCATGGACGGAGAATGTACATAGCTTGCAAACACCTTGGTGTTAGGATCTGTAGGAATGCTTTGTGTTGGTATACCCATGGCTGCACTGGAGTTGGAGGATAACAACTGTGACAGTGATTTTGTGTTGTCAACAGAGATGTCTACAACTATTGGACTTCCAGAACTGATAACTTGAACTTGCACCTCCTTATCCATAGTCAAGTCGGTGAACTTCGAAATGGCGCTGTTGTCTGCTACCTCACTGCAGTTCTTTAAACAGCAAAGTATAGCCTGTGGCGGCAGTGACAGGCAATCCTGTGAGATTTCACGGATTCTGTCAAAGGCTACTACTTCAGAATTTCCATAATCTATAAACATTACATCAGCATTGTCAGTGTTGACATGTGTTACAGTAGCTCTGTACCACATTTCATCCCCACTGAATTTTGCAGCACATGCCATACCTGGCACAATCATCGATGGACGAGACTTTTGCCCACATGCCTTTTCCAGTCTTTCCATCAAGGCTTCCAGTTCAGAAGCAAGTTTAGCAAGCTGAATATAAAAGTTTGATAAAGAATTTACCTGAGATATATAAGCTGGCTCAACAGATCCATTGTCCAGTGTTACAATTTTAGCAAAATTCAGTCTCTGTTTGACACTACCCTGACTGGCTGTAGCTTCTGATCTCACGGGAGATACCGGTATGTCCTTTGGAGGGGATTCTGGTTTCCTTGTTGACTCCTTTTTAACAACAGCTGCTCGGACTAGTTCCTCAGCAACACTTATTCCATCAGAAACGATATCCACACTGAACCCATTTGGTATTGTGTCTTTAAATGTACAACTGACTGCTTCCTTCAACATACTTTCCATGATGTCTTTAGCGTCCACATTCCAATTCCCAGGCTGAAGAGGCTTGACATCAGCGAGACTGCAGTATAAAGCCTGGGCAGGAACTTCCATCAAGGTTGCAGACGGCAATCTCAGGGAGTCTATACTAACCGAGTCTGAATTACCATAGTCAATGAATCTCACACTGGCCATCTTTCCTTCAGATTCCACCACAGCTCGGTACCATGCTTCATCCTCAGAGAACTTAGCCACAACAGCCATGCCTTCAGATATCTTGGAGACTTTCTTGTCTGCAGAGGGCCCTGTTGTGTATTCCTCCTGCACTTGCTCTGCCAATTCCTCCAAAGTGGCCTGGTTTTCAACTGGTTGTATCCAGAACATAGATGGATCTTCTATCCAGGAAACATAAACCTCCTTCTTGGAGCCGATACTGATGGGAATAGCTGGGTATGGTACTTTTACTACCACCTTCTGTGGTTTCCCTGAACCGTCTTGAGTCAATGCACAGTATCCAGCTTCGTGAAGTTTCAGCGCAACATCCAATTCACCTGATGCATCACCCAAATGGACTAGGTACGATCCTCCAACTTGACTTTTGACAGCACAGATTAATTCCTTATCTGTAGTTAATGTTTCAAAGTCTTCCATAGCTTTTTCTGACCATGCTGACCCAGAGCATTTCACACCACTTAAACAACAGCGAATGGCTTGAAGTGGTAATGATGTGAACTCCTTTTGGATGTGTTTCACACTTCTTAAGTCTACCAACTCTGAATTACCATAGTCTATGAACTGGACTTCAATATTCTTGTCTTCAAAGCTCAAGATTTCTGCCCTGTACCATAGTTTGTCCTCAGAAAATTTAGCAACACACGGCATTCCTATTTCAGGCTGATCAATGGTTGCCTTGGTTGGGGATAAGGAATTGTAATGTTCGTTCATTTGGTCCATCATGGTTTGTAAATCTGTGGCTTTGTCTACAAGTTGGCACCAAAATTCTCCAGGACTGTTAGAATAAACTACAAACACTTGGCATGTTGTATCAGCAACAAGTTTCTGGGAGGTAAAAGTGACACTTCCTACGCGACGCGCCCATGCGTCAGATTTCTGATCTGAGGATGCTAATGGAGGTGTTGATTGACTAGTTCCTCTAAATCTACTCTTGGGGATAGCAGAAGTTGTAGCTGGTTTGTCTGGGACAACAGTTGTTATGTCAGTATCCCAGTCACCATCAGCAGGAGCTGCATGCTGTGGTTGACTGAATCCCCCACTGGAGAAACCATCTCCAGAGCCTCCATCTCGCTTACCACCAAAACCTTCTCCACGATCTTGATTCTGTCCCACAAATCCTCCACCACCTCTGCGATCGTTTGGTCTTCCACCAAATCCACCCCTTTCTTGATCACGGTTCTGTCCTCTAAATCCACCTCCTCGGTCATTCGATCTTCCACCAAAACCACTACCATCACCACCGCCACGGTCTCGATTCTGTCCCATAAATCCTCCACCACCTCTGCGATCGTTCGGTCTTCCACCAAATCCACCCCTTTCTTGATCACGGTTCTGTCCTCCAAATCCACCTCCTCGATCGTTTGATCTTCCACCGAATCCACCTCCACCTCTTTCTTGATCACGGTTCTGTCCTCCAAATCCACCTCCTCGGTCATTTGATCTTCCACCAAATCCACCACCACTCCTTTCTTGATCACGGTTCTGTCCTCCAAATCCACCTCCTCGATCGTTTGATCTCCCACCAAATCCACCACCACTCCTTTCTTGATCACGATTTTGTCCTCCAAATCCACCTCCTCGATCGTTTGATCTCCCAACAAATCCACCGCCACTCCTTTCTTGATCACGGTTCTGTCCTCCAAACCCACCTCCTCGATCGTTTGATCTCCCACCAAATCCACCGCCACTCCTTTCTTGATCACGGTTCTGTCCTCCAAATCCACCTCCTCGATCGTTTGATCTCCCACCAAATCCTCCTCCTCTGTCCTCATCACGGTTCTGTCCTCCGTATCCACCACTTTTGTTGTTGTCTTTATATCGATTACCAAATCCATTTCCTCCAGACCGATCACTTCCTCCAAATCCTCTATTTCCACCTCTGTCTCCGGACCTACCTCCAAATCTATTCCCTGTGCTTGGCTGGGACTCGCTACCTGCATGATCAATCCATTCATTGTCTTGCTGTACCTCTATTCTCATGTCTATCCCCTTACCCATGGCCACCTTGCGGTCAGAGTGCTCAGCATAGATTGAATTGGTACTGGTGCCATATTTGTGGTTAACATCCTCCCCTGCTTGATTGTGAAGTCGAACAGTGTACAGATCATCTGTCTCCCCAGCATAGTCCTGGAATATTGCAGTGAAGTTTTGGTCCAAAGCAATATCCTCAAACTGGGCAATATGTTCGGGGGACCAAAATCCCTGAGTAGCCTTCACACCTGGAATACAAAATGTTGATGCATATAGCTTGAAAGTATGAAATGTCTTTTTGTTAAAATATGCATGTCTCTTTATTTGCCAGGAACATATTTGCTGTTCATTACCGACAATTTTACATGTCAAGAGGTAAGTTGTGCTTAATGTGAAATCTTGACCTATGGTAATAAAATTTTACTCCTCATTAATGACAATCCTCTTTGATTCATCATATCACAAATCATTTACAAGTTGCAAAATATCAAATTTGACCTAATGGTGACCTAATTTCAGTGCACGGCACACTGACCGTGGGTATGTAGTTATATTTCAAGTTCAAGATGTCTCTGTTGGTTCTGCAGTACGAAGGAGTAATCAAACACACTACCCTAGCTGGGGTTCAACTAGTCACGCTCAAATTATCAAAACTATCCATGGAGTTGTCATAAGCACCAGATCTATTATTTTTGAAGATGCATTAAAAACCCCTGCCTATGCTGGGATTCGAAATAGCAATACATGGATCTCAAGCCAGACACTACCATTTGACGAAAGAGAAATTCACACTAGCTGAAACTAGTAAGGCGATCTCTACAGATTAAATTGTACTTAACAGACTTTTGACATTAAGATGAAGGTTACAGTGACCTAATTACAGTGCATCCCACACAGCTTGTGGGTATGCAGTTATCTTTTCACTTGTTTGACCTTTGACCTGGAGGTGAATGTCACATTAATCTAATTTCAGTACACGGCACACCATCAGAATGTGTTTATTTTGGAAATGATGATAAGAACTTCATTTGCAGGGGACATAACTATTCTTTTTTTTTCTCTTCATGTTGCCATCCTTATAATGCTTGTAGCTAAAATCTTTTGCCAGTCAAAAGTGATCATCATTATGTATATGTAAAATGCACTGGATTCTAAGACATCCAGACAGGAAGACAAAAAAAGTCCACAAGTAAAACATGTGAAGGAGTTTGTATACACAATGTACTACAAAGACCCAGTAAAAATTTGATTAATTAGTAATTAACAATATAAATACTCCATTATTGCTTACCAGACATGCCACAAAATATCGCCTGTGTAGGAAGCTCCATGAACTCTGGATTGGCTCTCTTCAGTGTCTCCCTCTGTAGGCACTCTGTGTTACCGTAATCCACAAATGTTACCTCTGCCCGTCCATTATTCAGTAGACCTGTAGCATAACAGAACCATCAATAACATATTTCAAGAACAATCTAACTTTGTGCACCTCTTAATTTCTACACACAACAAAGCATCTGTTATTTCCCTTTGACCAACATTTCAAGGAACAGCAACTCAAACCTTAAAAGTTGAATCATATGACAAACATCAGTCAAACCATAGTGTACTTTGTGTACAATATTAAGACAGTGACACTGAATCTAAAGTTATTTTTGCTCTGGTACCATTACACAACACAAGAACTCACCACATGTTCATTTCGTCACATCACCTTAAATTTGCTTTAAGTGTAAGTATTTTGGTATATAGTAGTTTGTTTTCAGGGTTTATTAAACCACTCACATGTTGAAAAGGAGGACAATTAAGCCTGATTATCAATCTATTTTACTTCCAAGTAAGATTCTATTGCTTTAATAAAAGACAGGGATTTTTCCTACCCATTTGGGAAGGGGTCTTTTTTTAACATTTTGGAAAGAATAATACTATAAAAACCTGCATAATGTGCACAGTCTTTTCTTGATAAATTACATTAACTATAAGATTTTTTTTTCTATGGAAAAATGAAAAATTCTGCAAGGCTGTTATCACTGATTGTCATGATTATCTGGTATGCAAAAAGGATTTGACAATTCATACAACTGATCGGTAAAGACAGCGGCCTATTTGTGACATTGAAAAACATTTTGATTACAATATGATTATCTTCTGAAACACTAACATGTTCAAATGTTTAAAAAATTTACAGGTTTCAATTTATTCTCTTCCATATTAGATTGAGCAAAGAAGCAGCTAAGATCACATGCATCTGTCCTTAATATATTGTAAGACGTTAGCATTGACATATTAGTATATGGAGTGGATGGAGACTTATGACTGGACTTTATATCTAACAACTCAGACCCATTAGTCTTTACCAAGCATGAGTTTTACAATTACCTATTCATTGAAATATATAGGGACAGTCTAGGCTGAATTATCTTACGAAAATGGAATGTGTAGAGAAACACCATTACTTTTTTTTACAATACACACATGCCTACATTCCGTGCTCTGTATATGATGCAGTGTTGGGGCTTCAATTGATGTCTGCTGGCATGTGCACAATGTGACATGAAGATAATGAAAAAAGACCTGACTGCAGGTATCATATAATTACCTAGTTTGGCCATTAATAGGCAAATAATTACTTGTGCCGGTGATTAAAAATTCTAAACATGTACACTGTTAATTTGGCCATCTGTTACGACATGGGTTTGTGTACACAAGGTACATAATTCTAGGTTAATTGAATAGGTGCGTGTACAGTGTAACGTGTCTGGTGTTTAAGAAAACAAACAAGAAAACGTGTCTGTTTTCATGGAAACAAACAAATGTACACAAATTTGGCAGAATTGGTTCAGTTGTTCCTAAAATCAAAGAGAGCAGGGTAATTAAAGTCAATAACAGTGATGAAAATGGATTTTGATGAGAATTTTATAAGTTTTGGACTGTTTATGTCACTGGTCTAGAGTGTTATCTGAATATTCTTGGCTTCCGGAAATAGTTTTTTTGACTGAATTTTCAGATGCACAAATTCGATTTTCATGGTAATCAGTTAGGAAAGAAAATTTTATGGAGTAAGTGGTATATTAAGGGAATCTGTCCATTTTATAAAATAAATCCACGTGGGGATGAGACCCATAATCAGCCCCATAGCACCTCCTGACAATGCCAAGAGACAGAATATTTCCTTTTGGTCAGGTTTACATACCCGAGACCTTTGCCCTGTACCAGCTGTTATCATCTGTGTATTTTGCGATACATGGCTGTCCTAGGTAGGGATTCAGCAGTGTCTCTTCTGTATCTGTGAGACTGTCATAATGTGCCTGCAGGTTGTCCATCACTGCATCTAACTGTTTGGCCATGCTGGTGACTTGGACATGGAAATGTTGTGGATCAACTACATGAGTGACCATTACCTCCTCGGAACATCCTGAATCAACCTGTAAAATGTTGTAGCCATCTCCTCTGTATATAGTCTTCACTCTGAGAATAGAAATGAAAAACTTTTGGACAAGGACCAACTAGAATATATTCCTTTAAGTTCATAGATTTAAGAAATAACATAAAAATTTAAAAGATTACATATTCTCTTGTTTATATGTGTACTTTATTAACAAAGCTTGTTGGGGCGACACCCTCTTCCTTTTTGAAATTTGAAATTTACTTAAGCTACATGTGATGCTTTTACCAACAAATTCAAAATTTGCTCTTGGAATCTCACATCAAAGCAGATGTAGGCTGTGGCAGAAAAGCTTATAATATTTCATGCAATATAAGAAGCAGTTTTGAAAAACATCAGTCTAGAAACAAAATCATTTCATCTATGATGATGTCAAGAGTTTGCTATCTTTCTCTTTTATACAGATACTTTTAGTCAAGCTACACTTCCTAATTCCATTTTTGAAATTTTTTTTAAAAAAATGCAACTATTTTTTCATGTTTTCTATCAAATTAGGTCATTTCAAGGACGGGTCTAAAACGTGGCCCCAGAGTTAGCAAAATCATCCACTCCTTTAAACATATATTTTGTAGATTTAAGTAGATCATAATGGAATCAATCACAATAGAATACTTTTTTAAGATATAAACTTTCATCAATCATTATTATCATTACATTCTTAACAGCCCGTAAACACATCGAAGGCCATCAGGGCCATCAACCGGTGAAACTCACAGCAATCAAAATAGGAAAAAACATCAAACTAAAACATAAAAGACAAATGATAAAAATCTTAAATGATTATATTATCAAAAAAGATTAAATTGGTAAGTCAGAGTCTATAATACAAACCAACATCTTTCAGATAACTTAGAATTTTATTAATTTCAACAAGATTTGACTTTGGCTGAATGGTGTATTGCAAGCCAATTTATTTCATCGGCTATATAGCTACGGTGCGATAGCCTCTACATAGAGGCTTGCTGTAAATGTGGTCGTAAAAACTCCGAGAGCGAGCCTCAGACCCTGGTGATGAATAATGTCTGATATGGATGTAAATGGAATCATAGTCTAAGTTAGATCTGATAAGAGCTCTATAAAGTCTCAGCAAAACTTTTCTATCAGCTCCCTAACCAGTGTGGGATACCACCTTTAGAGTATTCAGTGCCTTAAGGCATTTGGCAGTAAGGTATTTTATATGTGGAAGGAACATTAATTTCCTGTCGAATATTATAAACCTTTTTCCAGTATGTGATCAAACCTCAAAGTTTGGACACTGATATCAAATATATCATTCCACTTAAAAAATTGTACTACCTAGCATCTTTATTTACTGTTGCTGCTTTGGGTAGCCTGGGCGGTTGTTTTAAACCGAATGAACTTCCTTCAAGCTTCCCAGCAAGGCCCTGGTTTCGAATACTGCTCGTGAATTCCACATCATATGTGGGATATACTCCATCTGCAATAGAGATATCGAGAAAGGGAACATTTAAAATTCATTACAACTTATTCAAACATTTTCTCATATTATAAAATTGAGATGAAAAAATAAATGTTTATTACTCTGTTCATAAATGACTGAATAAAATGAACTTTCTGTGCCCTCAAACTATTGAAATAAATTAACCTTTCAAATCCAGAGCTGCATCAAAAAATATTTTCAAGGGTCCTATTTTATCATTTGAATGCTTTGCCTAGGGCACATGCATATTAAGGTGTCGAGTTCAAAGAAATCTTGCGAAATCATGAGTCTAAGACTTCCTGATATTGTTTCAAACTTGCTTAAGACTTAAAAGTGTATCATTTTTTAAAAAAAAAATCAATAAACTTAGTAATTGTTTTTTACTTAATCCTTTGAATTCATGCTAGAAAGTTTTATTTTCAGAACAAACCTTTTTTGGATAACAATTTGACTTCTATCACTTTGTTGAGCAGAAGCTTTTCTGTCATCTCCTTGCTATTAGAAGGCGACACTCTGGGTAGCTGACAGAGGACACACTGCTGTGGAAGGATACCAAACTCGGGAAGCATTTGTTTCAGTTCTAAAGGCTGTGTGACAGTCTCATCCCCAAAATCAGCAAATGCTATCGATATGTTATTACCCTGTTTCTGTGTAACCAAAGCTCTATACCATCCCCCATCACTATAACGTGTTGCACAAGATGTTCCCACTGAAGAATCAGAAAGAATCATTTCTCCGGCAGTCATGTTATCATATTTTTCATTCAACCTGATCTGAAGTGACTCAATCTTCTTAGCATTCGTCTTGGTGAGTTGCCCGTACACAATACTAGGTGACTTGACAGCTGTGATACAGAGCAATTCTTGACCACCTGTTGTGATTTCAGGTGGTGGAATGGGTACAGTACTGTGCATAGGCGCTGAAGGTTCTGATCTCATAGTTTCCATTTTGATTGTATGTGCCTTTTGAGCTGATTTGCCAACGCCAAACATCTCGGCATTGATGTAGCGGTCTTCATCTCTATCTCTCGTGTCATACAAGTCCAACTGATAAAGATTATTTCTACGTGTTGTAACTTTAGCAACTAACGACACTTTACTTTCAAAGTCTTTCAATGTCTTTATCTCTGTTGATGACCAGAACTTATCCAATGTTTTTGTCACATCCACAGTACACTCAGTGGTATAGCATGGCACATCCAAGAAGACAGGAGACATGGCACGTAATCTACTTGCTTTTATATTCTCATCAAATCCAAAGTCAACTGCATGTACCGTCATGTTATCTCCAGACACAGATTGAATAACACACCTATAATGTTGGTCATCGCTTAACTGTCCTATACAGGCAGTACCAGCTGAAAGTGATGGGGCTGTAGTACTAGAGTTGAACTCTCGAGTTAGTCGAACCATTACCTGATCCAATTCTGGTCCATTCTCTAGCAACTGTATAAAGAATTTTCCAGGGTGTTCAACGTGTGATAGACAAACATCATAAACTTGGGTGCTATCCAACTCCAAAGGAATGAAATGATGGCTATTATTTTGTGGTGTGGTTAAAGGAATATTTTCTATTTTGTCAATTTCGACATTGTACACATCATCTGTTCGACCCAAAACTCGTACAAGAACACCATCTGACTCTGTTAGCTCCTGTAATTTTTCTTCCAATGTGTTATTGTCAACTTTAGTTCTTTTGTAGCAACATTTTACACTCATTGCAGGTAATCCATGGAATTGCTTGGGCAACTTCAAAAGTTCTGAAACATCTTTTGATTCTGAATTTCCATAATCAACAAACTGAACAAGACTTGTGTTTCCGTTGACAGTTAGAATAGATGATCTGTAGGGTGCCTGATCCTCACTATAGAAAGTCATACATAGTGTCCCAGCCGACACACAATCAAGCTTTTCTGCTCCACCAGCAGCTGAATCTGCCAGGCTGGTCATGAGATTATTTAACTCATTTTCGTGGTCAGCTAGCTGAATCCAGAATTTATTGGCACTGTCAACATAAGATAAATATGCTTTATATTGCATACCAATTTGAAGCTCACGTGCAGAGGATGATTTAATGCCTTTGATTTTGGTCGTTGGCTCTTTTCCATGTTTGAATAATCCAGTGTCACTATAAAGTCTTAATCCTATCCCGTTTTGTGACCCTGACTTTCTTGACCCGACGACCTCGACAGTGAACTCAAAACCAACCAGTAGAGATTCTAATTGTTCTATTTCAGCTTCTGTCCATGTATTATCGTTTGGAAGTATGTCTACCAGGTCGCATTTTGTCGCTAACCCTTCTATAGTTCTTAATTCACTTGTAGCCACTTTAATGTCAGAGTTGTTAATTTTCTCTTTATTTCCGTAGTCAATAAAAAACACTGATGCGACACCCCCATTGTGACTCTCGATCCTTGCTCGATACCACACCCGATCTTCATTGTACAAAGCCAAAACAATATCTCCTTTATTAAAGGAGGAAGCGGGTGGTGATTCTGCAGCTGATATTTCTACCTTTTCAGCAAGATCATCAACAGTTGCACTGTCACAGAGTTGACCATAAGCACAGCACCCGTTGCCCGAGAATTCCACGTGGGTGAACACGGCCGCAACACGAGTGCCAACTGTCAAACCGGCCATTGCTGAAGTTCGGGCGGTTACTCTACTTCTAGATAAAGTAAACTACGAATGAATGATTAACATGCTATTAGAACTTAGCTTTTTAGGGTCACGATTACTTGTCATCACCAAATTCCATTCATTCACGGAGACAGATGAGGACAGGACTTTTTCTTCTTTGACGCCATAACACTGTGCTTAGTCACGTGACATCTCCCGCGCTGTATTCACTATCACGAAGGTGTTTGAAATTTCTATAAACCAGTTAAGTAGTCTTTCTCTGTGGACAATTTTGTTAATGTTAGATTTATAAAGATATGATTCATTACTGGAAATATTTGTTGTACGTGCATAAATTCCTAGTTCAATTTTCCTAGATCATAGCAGGGACATCTCTGATCAGGGACGTGTATTAGCTGTGTTATAATATATGTATTCCAAGTCCGTGATTATACGTCCCTGCTCTGATCGGAGTTTGCAAATAAAAAATATTTCATTTAAAGATATCAGTAACTTGAATTATTGATATCATTAAAATTAATTATTGATGTCACATTTTGAAGATACATTTTAACACGGCGCCTCGTATTTTAGGGCAAAGGCCTTCCCGTCATTTTCACTTGGACAAATTTTATTTAGATATAAATATCAAAGGGGTTCGAATGAAGACTAAAAACTCTCCGTGTTCTCTCTGTATTTCACGCGTATTCAATACTTTTTTTGTTCGGATGAAGACAAAAATACATGGAGTAGGAAAAGTAGCTCGGATGTTCGTTTATGTGATGTACAATATGTAGTACTTACATTTACAAACTTCAAGGATGGGTACTCAATATTCATTTGCTTATAAAAAGATAACGTGAGACATTCTTTCCACTTGCCACGAAGTTATTAATAATTATCCCATGAACATGTACGTGCGATCTTACGTTTTGAATCGGCCCTTTGTTTTCAACATACCGCAAAATTTTAGCTAAACTTTAAAAACAGTAGAAAAACATACAAAAGTTACTTCAGGATATTTTTTTCATCACTGACCACACGGGAATATGTCAATAAGCACAGTTTGGATGGTCGGGTGTCTCGGCGGTAACACGCTGTCCTCTTTCACCTTGCCGTCCAGGATTGGATTCCATATCGGTCTTGAAAAGGTTTGCGGTCATCTGCCAGATCACGTCATGAGTTGGCATGTGGTACTCCGGTTTCGCCTTGTAGTAAGACATCACACGCGCTTCCACTCGGTCTAACAAGAATAATCATGATATAAACTTATAGCCCCGCATTTGTTTGTGAAACATATCATTTTAAAATGTTAAATGTGTCATAAGATGGCAAGACATTCTGATAGCTGGAACATTTTACATTTTACACGTATGTATATAATGTCACCACACAATAATGATGCCATATCTCACAAGCTGTCTGATATGTACTGTCACCATACAAAGAAAGATGCCATCTCTCGCAAGCTGTCTGATACGTATTGTCACCACACAATGAAGATGCCATCTCTCACAAGCTGTCTGATACGTATTGTCACCACACAATGAAGATGTCATCCCTCAAAAGCTGTCTGATACGTATTGTCACTACACAATGAAGATGTCATCCCTCACAAGCTGTCTGATACGTATTGTCACTACACAATGAAGATGCCATATCTCACAAGCTGTCTGATATGTACTGTCACCATACAAAGAAAGATGCCATCCCTCGCAAGCTGTCTGATACGTATTGTCACTACACAATGAAGATGCCATCCCTCACAAGCTGTCTGATACGTATTTCCCCACACAATGAAGATGTCATCCCTCACAAGCTGTCTGATACGTATTGTCACCAGACAATGAAGATGCCATCTCTCACAAGCTGTCTGATACGTATTGTCACCACACAATGAAGATGCCATCTCTCACAAGCTGTCTGATACGTATTGTCACTACACAATGAAGATGCCATCTCTCACAAGCTGTCTGATACGTATTGTCACCACACAATGAAGATGCCATCTCTCACAAGCTGTCTGATACGTATTGTCACTACACAATGAAGATGCCATCTCTCACAAGCTGTCTGATACGTATTGTCACCACACAATGAAGATGCCATCTCTCACAAGCTGTCTGATACGTATTGTCACTACACAATGAAGATGCCATCTCTCACAAGCTGTCTGATACGTATTGTCACCACACAATGAAGATGCCATCTCTCACAAGCTGTCTGATACGTATTGTCACTACACAATGAAGATGCCATCTCTCACAAGCTGTCTGATACGTATTGATATAATGTCACCACGCAATGAAGATGCCATCCCTCACAAGCTGTCTGTGATGACTATACTTTTGAAAAGGGCACACAACAACATGTTGTACAATGCCATATACATATATTCTCTTATTTGAAGGAAGACTAACATGAGAAAGCTGATCAGAGGAAGACAATGGGACCAAAAAACCCAGGAATCTATCATCATGGATGACCTGACAGTTACAACAATCCGAGTTCAATGCAGGGAATAAACTGATGACATCACCAAGTTGTATCTCCCGCTTTAATTGACGTTCTGTAGAAAGACCGGTGACAGAGGAACACGAGAAACACATTCCCACAAGATGTGTGACGGGGAAGAGAGATAGGAAACGCAAATTTCACACCATGTTACCTGGACTAACCCAGCCAGTACTAGTCTGGGAGATGGAAACAGACCCCAACAAAAGTCTTGACAATGTGCCCGCTTAATGATACCACCTGACATACTAACGAGCATCAAACAATTATAACTTGATATCGCTCGTGGATACCACCTGACATACTAACGAGGAACAAACAAATATACCTTTATATTGTTCAAGGAACCCATGGTGGCACCATAAAATGTCCATGGACTTAGGGCCTCATTTCTATCTAGAGATAGAAAAGCTACAGTTGGAAAGACATAGTCCTTATTATATATCTTGGCGGAAAACGGGCCTTGTTTGTATAGCTATTGGTAAAGTAATCTAGTATCAAGCTTTTAGTATAATGCAGCACCAGTCGTAACAATTCTAATGTTACTTACAAGTGGTTACCGGCCAATTAGTTTGATGCTGGTCCCAATTGGAAAGACTGATTATATAAAATGTGATATTGTACTACACAGAACATGTGACTTATGGTTTCTTAAAGAAAAATGAAAAATATATCTCTAAGTAAGTGCAAATTCCACTAACGCCAATATAAATATACGCGAGTTGTATACGTCTAGAATTAGAGATCTGTCCTGTTCTGTATAAACAGGCTGGTAGGTATATAAGAAAAAGAAGTTTGTATGTCAACCAGTATTTCTTACATGTTGTAACTTATTAACTTTTATTCTATAAAATATGCTAAAAATAATTTTGAACTTAAATGAATTCCAAAGTCATGAAGGACAAAAACGCATCTATCCAGAAAGAATAACAGAACCAATTCTCACGACATCGTGACCACCGACATATTTCTTGGTCAAGACTCTTTACTCCAGTTGTTTTCGATAGTATGTGGTGGGCCTCCCGCATGTTGAACAGTGAGGTAGTCATCACCTGCCTCGGTGATACTCTGTCTAAGATGACAACGCGACTGTTTCTCACTTAGTAATAAAGACAAAATAACACAAGGAATACAGGAAATGTAATATCACCACTGGAAGAAACAGTGTTTATGTGAGATGATTTCTGATTTACACGAATTGTTTCAGTATACATATATGTCACACACATAAACTGATGTCTACATGTTAGACATTTATATGAGACACGTGAGAGCAAATGTTAGATAACGTTGTGTGTATTGTCGGTATCTCTTCACTATATAGGACAGCTATGATAACACTAACGGGTAGATGATGCTAATACACACTTACTGATACTTTGAACATTCCAGAGTCCAAGCTCCTCCATCGTAGTGGGCTGTCCAGTTCTAGAAAATGGCGGTAAGACTAAATATTATTATTGTATTCACACACGGTCCCAATATCGTATGTTACATGCGTCACAATATGCATCTTTATTGTGTGTTTCTCGACATTTTGTGATTTTGTTTTACACTATCTAATATTTGTTGATAGATGCTTGCATAACATATAGATGTTACTGCTTTCATTTGTTTCCATGCTCTCATTAATCTGTCACATATCCCCTATTGCGTGCTTGTTTGTTTTAATAGAAAATATATTGCAATATCTGAAATGTGACATATGAATATTATGTTGTTCCGGAAAGTTAGACAATGAATGGTTGATTCGTTCCGGTCAATATAAAAAAAATATTTTGCATTAATATTACTTCAAATATTTAAGTAAAAAATTCTTAATTGGTTAAATATTGACCTCTGTTATATTGTTCATTAAAACATTTGGAATTAACAATTAGAGGCTGAACTGATATTACGTGAAACTAGTATGTCTGAAACATGTTCAATCATATTGATTTTAAGTAACTCTACAACAGAGCGTGTCATTGTTTCCATGAAGACACAGGGAGGAACGTCTCTGTCAACAATGTGTTGTTATGGTTCCTGAATATACCATGTTATTTTTCAGCGGTGGTGAAGGGGTGGGGGCAATTTTCTTTCTCATCGAGGTTGAACACATCGAATCGGTTTAATCGGAGATACTGTTTATGTTTTTATATTTATAGTATAATCGTGTTTGTATTTCCTAATATACCCAGAACTATCATATTATAAATGTAATGACAACAATTACAGATATTTTTTATTTCACATATGAAATATGTCTTAGCGAGGCTGTGATTGGCTGAAATTTTGGTAAATTGTTTCTAATATGACATCATAACTTCATGGTGTAATATGCATTGTGACGTCGCGAAAGAAAAGGGTATAAAATGCTAATAGCATCAAATTGGAATTCCGATCAGTCTTATCACGAATGCCCGTTAGATATTTAATTTATATGATAAACAGAATATTACATTCGTCACAATTTCATAAAAAAAATTGTGAGTTCTCAGATTCATTCCGTCAATCTCACACCAATGAAACTCCTGTGAGATCCCCTATCACTTTTATCGGGATATTCTCATACCAATGAAACTCGTGTGAGATCCCCTATTACTTTTATCGAGATATTCTCATACCAATGAAACTCGTGTAAGATCCCTTGTCACTTTTATCGAGATATTCTCATACCAATGAAACTCGTGTGAGATCCCCTGTCACTTTTATCGGGATATTCTCATACCAATGAAATTCGTGTGAGATCCCCTGTCACTTTTATCGGGATATTCTCATACCAATGAAATTCGTGTGAGATCCCCTATCACTTTTATCGGGGTATTCTCATACCAATGAAACTCGTGTGAGATCCCCTGTCACTTTTATCGGGATATTCTCATACCAATGAAATTCGTGTGAGATCCCCTTTCACTTTTATCGGGATATTCTCATACCAATGAAACTCGTGTGAGATCCCCTGTCACTTTTATCGGGATATTCTCATACCAATGAAATTCGTGTGAGATCCCCTATCACTTTTATCGGGATATTCTTATAATTATATAAGGAAAGAATTTCGCTGTATTCAAGAAGTTTCTGTCCACTACCTATCACATTGTTCGTGATCAAGAACAATATCGAACATCACGGCCAATAATGTAACTCCATAAAAGGATGAACCAATATATAACAGTGAGAGAAAAAAGAGCAACCTGATACGTAGGTATATCAAAATAATAATAATAAATTTGATATACTAAAATAAAAAGGTTCAAAAATAAAAGTAAGCCTGGCTGTACCTAACTAACAGATAATAGAGGTGTTCAAAAATAAAAGTAAGCTTGGCTGTTCCTAACTAATCGGAAACAGAGGTGTTCAAAAATAAAAGTAAGCCTGGCTGTTCCTAACTAACAGATAATAGAGGTGTTCAAAAATAAAAGTAAGCCTGACTATACCTAACTAATCGGAAACAGAGGTGTTCAAAAATAAAAGTAAGCTTGGCTGTTCCTAACTAACCGGAAACAGAGGTGTACAAAAATAAAAGTAAGCCTGGCTGGTCCTAACTAATCGGAAACAGAGGTGTACAAAAAAAGTAAGTCTGGCTGTACCTAACTAACCGGAAACAGAGGTGTACAAAAAAGTAAGTCTGGCTGTACCTAACTAACCGGAAACAGAGGTGTACAAAAATAAAAGTAAGCCTGGCTGGTCCTAACTAATCGGAAACAGAGGTGTACAAAAAAAGTAAGTCTGGCTGTACCTAACTAACCGGAAACAGAGGTGTACAAAAAAGTAAGTCTGGCTGTACCTAACTAACCGGAAACAGAGGTGTACAAAAATAAAAGTAAGCTTGGCTGTTCCTAACTAATCGGAAACAGAGGTGTACAAAAAAAGTAAGTCTGGCTGTACCTAACTAACCGGAAACAGAGGTGTTCAAAAATAAAAATAAGACTGTCTGTACCTAACTTACAGGAAATAGAGGGGTACCAAAAATAAAAGTAAGCATGACTGTACCTAACTTACAGGAAACAAAGGGGTTCCAAATTATATAATTTATTTGACATTTCAGTTATTTCATAGATATTATCTGATATGTTCACGAAGGGTAAGCGTTTTGGCGTCATTGGCTGCACCGCCATTTAATCTTGATGGATCTAAGCAAATTATGTCATTATCTCAAATAAGAACCGTGTGAACGACAAGGAACCCGCTAGTCCTGTTATAAAGTAGCGAATACAGATATCACGAGTGATTTCACGAACGGCTATATGGCATGTAAGAAGTATTTAACGCGGAGACAGGATCGATGTGTGTATCTGTACAGATAACTTGTGGTAGGCAGATACTGATAACAGATAAAGTTACAGTGGGTAACACGTTCCACACTTATTTCTTATTCTCCTAATATCTTTTCTGTATTTCATATTATATAATAGTCGTTTTATTGACTTTGATTAAGATTTCTTTTATGTGTCAATATTACCTTGTTGGTTTTGAAATAGATTTTCCCATGGTTTACCTTTACCTCTCTATTTACTTAAGATGGTGTAATAAATGTTCCGTGTGACTTTTTTTTTTTGCATTAATTAAACAAAATCTCGTTACTTCTGTGAATACATATTTATTTTAGACGTATGTAGTGTTTATATACAGCGGTAGTAAGAGATAGGCGTTCGATACGTCCCTATACCTGACCGGTACATATCTATCTTATTATCTACCTGGATACACTCGGGACACTCTATCATATCTAACTGATAATACTGTATCTATACTCCCAAACAAATGCGTTTATGCATGTGTTGATATACACCATACATAACGCCATTACATAAATAATTCTCATATGAAATGTCAAATATATGTTAGGTAAGTATATAAATGAACTGAAAATCAAGGATCAGTTCAGCATCAAAGAGAAATAACAGTCAACAAACCAATTTGAAATCGACGATTAATTTGTAAATATATCCCTCGTAATGAGAGCTTACAACATTGATGATAAGATAACTCACCGCATCAACGTTCACTACGGTTATTTTATAATTTCGGGGCGATAGTACTAACGTCATGCTCTATATGTCCACATCATGACAATCAAACATTCAATCATGATTGACTATTGATTCGTGTTTACATCATATCTAAGTTCTGTTTTATAAGATAAAATGTCATATAGTGTTTAGCTACATCAGTTCCATGTGTTTTAATCACATTATGTAATACATGTAAATTGGTATTTTAGTGTGTTGTGCTTTAATTCTATGTGTTTTATTTGATGTTAAAACCGCACCTTATCGTGTTGATTAATGATGCATTGTCACGCTTTAATTGTACATTTATCTGCATTGCCAGTCTAATGAACATTTTTTAAATGTTTTTTTCTGTTCTTTTAACTTTTGTGTTTTTATTTCTGTCTTTGCTACCGATGTGTTATAATGAAAAAAGTGGTTGATCATATCATAAGTACATACGTATATATAATCTTATTCAGGTCTCCATGCGTGTCCCTACTTGGGCTTTTTTTGTGGCGTGTCTCGGGTTGAGTGCAAACGTTTTTAGTCAACAACCTTACTGTGTTCCCACTACCGGTGTTACACCAGGGCCAAACGGTAATCAACATACATACTGTGAAAATATAAACGTAGTCTTTTAACTTTTTATTGCCATTGTACAGTTTCTCTGATTGTGTCCATATCATTATTGACTTATCTTTTACAGCTGTATGAGATAGTATATTTCATCATTCGGTATATACTATATTTAGAAAATTGTACAAAAGACGTACGAGTGAATAGCGAACTTTAATACAAATCTAGAGTTAGATGCAGTAGAACTAGACTATGAATGTTGTGTCCTTCTAGGACTCCTCAGTGATGTTAAGAGCCTAAATGTTGAAGCCTTGGAAGCGACTGGGGAAAATCTGAAGTAATCCAAAGAAAAGTCAAAATCCGACTGAGAAAAACACTTATCCCATAATTAAACAAACTTCGTAATTTCCATGTGTAAGATAAATGTAGAACAACGTCCAGTCCATGCATATATTCTGAACCGTTGCACGCAGGTTACGGAAGCTCAAGTTATATGGAAAGATCCCAATTTCTTGCATGTCTCTAGAAAAAAAATCATGATATGAAAAAAAAGCGAAAACGACATCTGCTAAAGGATAGGAGAATTATTCTGTGAAATCATAAACATTGAATTTGTTTTGTTATGTTTTGTTGTAACTTTATTTCATGGACACATCGTAATCACGAAATCGGCGTATATACTAAAACATGTACATAAACAATCAAAATAACGTGATTTCTTAACGTCAACAGATCCAACATTTCCCGAACTGCCGCAGACATTTCAGACCAGGGTGGAGGCGACGATTGAGGACAAGAGCTACACAGTGTCGGCTGAGGAATACTATGACGGCAATAATAACAGAGCTACTCTCACTATGTATAAGGATGGCGAGCAGTTCAAATTAATATTCGACTATGCAAACGACCAGCTCTTTTACGCCTATCGTAAGATATTCCTTCATCGATGACTTTTTAAAATTTAGCAACCAAATTTAGTACTATCATACATACCAGGAGACAATATTGAACTGTATGTAGAGTTATTCCACAGCTAAGTATCCCTGGTATATCACACAGAAATGGTCTCGAATGTTATGTGAATGTCCATTTTAGAAATCAGTTCCTTAAAAAGTGTAAGTTAATCTTCGTTTCTTTTTTAATCTTCGTGTGTTTATGTTTTAGCGGAAGATTCGTGTGGGTTTTTTTAATCATTTTTGCGTGTTTGTGTTTTAGCGGACGGTTCGTGTAAGGTTGATAACTTAACCAATGATGATAATAACATCTTCTTTGGAAACAACGAACAAGGTGGTAAAATCCATGTATTTACTACAACTGGAGTTCTTCACTTCTTACAGCAAAACCAGGTATTTAAAATATATATAAGTATATAAAAATCGCCTCGTAATTACGTATTAATTTAAATCTTTGCAATCCATGTTTTTACGCATTATATCTTCACGGCTTCGTTGGATGTTTGGAATACGTGAAGAACTCGACTGCTTTGTATACACCACTTTGGGATTTATATGAGTCGACAAGTGTATAAACGGTAACCAAACCTTGATCTCTTTGATAAATAGGTAAGGAATCACACAACGCACAGTAGCAAATTGGCTTGATTTGGAAATTATCTTTGTTACCTCAAAAAAGTTATCAGTGATTGTGACCGTTTGTGTCATTCTATATGAAATTAAACACACGGCTGACCGGTCGCCTTTGATTTTGATCCTTTAACCTTTAATCCTTGGGCATAAAAAGTGGAAAGTGGTTTTCAGGATGATTACTATTTATGTCAAACAAGGTTAAAAAATTCAATCAGAGACCGGTCACATCGCTGACATCATGTATTTAGAGTATAATGGTTGGCTCAATTTTTATGCATGACAATATTTCTATTGTATTTCGCCTTCTTTATCGTAGCAATATATGGGACTTTCCACAATTCGAGGAGTACAATGTGATCACTGGAGAACATGCACAACATGGAATGAACTCAACTCCACCTTTTATTTAGACTATTATTTTACAAGTATGTAAAACTGTTAAACAGGTCAATGTATGGATGCATCACATTAAAGTGTTTTTACAATTATGCAAATTTTCGCGGACTTATATGGAAGTCAGGACCCGGATTAGGATTTTAACTTTGTTGTCGATGAATTTTGTTTAAACTTTGATTTAATCGCCGAAAATGAGTAGATAACAACAATTATAATATTTTAATAAACGTCATAATTGTCGTCGTCATCAATATTGCTGATAATAAGATTATTGTCAACTAATTGCGGGTCTTGTTTCCATACTAGAAGACAATGTATTGTATAACTCTAATTGAAATATGTGGCCTTTTGTTTATCATAAGCTGCGACGTGGGTTACCCCAGCGGGATGGCAACAAATTCCTGTCCGAGCGGAAGTCCAGGGACAGCAGAAGATGGCAGATGGCTCTTATGTACCATTTCATCATTTTTACGACTATACGAACTTTAGAGTCGAAATTGACGCCACGAGTGACGTGTTTTTGGTAAATATATAAATTTACTTTTACACAAGCAGAAAGTGTTCTAATTTGTGGTAAATATATAAATTTACTTTGATACAAGCAGAAAGTGTTGTGAGTTTTGGTAAATATATAAAAATACATTTACACAAGCAGAAAGTTTTCTATTTTTGGTCAATATATAAAAAAAAATACTTTTACACAAGCAGAAAGTGTTCCATTTTTTGGTAAATATTTAAATTTACTTTTATACAAGCAGAAAGTGTTCTAATTTTTGGTAAATATTTAAATTTACTTTTACACAAGCAGAAAGTGTTCTATTTTTGGTCAATGTATAAATTTACATTTACACAAGCAGAAAGTGTTCTAATTTTTGGTAAATATATAAATTTACATTTACACAAGCAGAAAGTGTTCTAATTTGTGGTAAATATATAAATTTACATTTACACAAGCAGAAAGTGTTCTAATTTGTGGTAAATATATAAAAAATTTACTTTTACACAAGCAGAAAGTGTTGTGAATTTTTGGTCAATGTATAAATTTACATTTACACAAACAGAAAGTGTTCTAATTTTTGGTAAATATATAAATTTACTTTTACACAAGCAGAAAGTGTTCTAATTTTTGGTAAATATTTAAATTTACTTTTACACAAGCAGAAAGTGTTCTAATTTTTGGTAAATATTTAAATTTACTTTTACACAAGCAGAAAGTGTTCTATTTGTGGTAAATATATAAATTTACATTTACACAAGCAGAAAGTGTTCTAATTTGTGGTAAATATATAAAAAATTTACTTTTACACAAGCAGAAAGTGTTCTAATTTGTGGTAAATATATAAAAAATTTACTTTTACACAAGCAGAAAGTGTTCTAATTTTTGGTAAATATATAAATTTACATTTACACAAGCAGAAAGTGTTCTAATTTGTGGTAAATATATAAAAAAATTTACTTTTACACAAGCAGAAAGTGTTCTAATTTGTGGTAAATATATAAATTTACATTTACACAAGCAGAAAGTGTTCTAATTTGTGGTAAATATATAAATTTACATTTACACAAGCAGAAAGTGTTCTAATTTGTGGTAAATATATAAATTTACATTTACACAAGCAGAAAGTGTTCTAATTTGTGGTAAATATATAAAAAATTTACTTTTACACAAGCAGAAAGTGTTGTGAATTTTTGGTCAATGTATAAATTTACATTTACACAAACAGAAAGTGTTCTAATTTTTGGTAAATATATAAATTTACTTTTACACAAGCAGAAAGTGTTCTAATTTTTGGTAAATATATATAAAAAAAAATTACTTTTACACAAGCAGAAAGTGTTCTAATTTGTGGTAAATATATAAATTTACATTTACACAAGCAGAAAGTGTTCTAATTTGTGGTAAATATATAAAAAAAAATTTACTTTTACACAAGCAGAAAGTGTTCTAATTTTTGGTAAATATATAAATTTACATTTACACAAGCAGAAAGTGTTCTAATTTGTGGTAAATATATAAAAAAATTTACTTTTACACAAGCAGAAAGTGTTCTAATTTGTGGTAAATATATAAATTTACATTTACACAAGCAGAAAGTGTTCTAATTTGTGGTAAATATATAAATTTACTTTTACACAAGCAGAAAGTGTTCCATTTTTTGGTAAATATTTAAATTTACTTTGATACAAGCAGAAAGTGTTGTGAGTTTTGGTAAATATATAAAAAAAAATTACTTTTACACAAGCAGAAAGTGTTCCATTTTTTGGTAAATATTTAAATTTACTTTGATACAAGCAGAAAGTGTTGTGAGTTTTGGTAAATATATAAAAATACATTTACACAAGCAGAAAGTTTTCTATTTTTGGTCAATATATAAAAAATTTTAATTTTACACAAACAGAAAGTGTTCTGATTTTTGGTAAATATATAAAAAAAAATTACTTTTACACAAGCAGAAAGTGTTCCATTTTTTGGTAAATATTTAAATTTACTTTTATACAAGCAGAAAGTGTTCTATTTGATAAAATAAGAATACTATCTTGAATTTCCCCTGTGTCAATAGCGAGTCATTTCCCTAGTCCCATGAAGTACCAAGTACAATTAATAGTACAAGTTGTTCAATTCGAATACATTGTAACTATTACATGTAATGCTCATTAAGTGCGAAATCTAAGTATGTAGGAGAGGCAACATTCATCGGTTTTTATATCTGATTGTGTTATTAAACAGAAAGCTGGGAGGATGATAGAAAATTTACATCTACATCAGTATACTTACCCCAAGACTGTATGAAGACATACTTGGAAAAAACTTTCCAATACAGATAAAGAAATTGGTGCAGTTCAAACAAAAAAATAATAATAAAGAGCACCAGACATTGAAGCCTAGAAGGCGAGTGATAAAAATCAAAATGTATCGGAAGAATTCCAATCTCGATAGGGAGGTGTACTAGAACCATAATAAATTTCGTAATATTCGAAAATATGATAAAAGTCAAGTAAAAAGTGAAGTATTTTTCCTGACCGTGTCACTATTCGAGTGAATGAAAACGTGACATCGAAACTTCTGTTGTTACACATCTTATGCAGCATAAGTTTGTTCACTTTCTTAAAATTGTCTCGGGAAGGCAGCTTGTCCCCGAATTAGTATGAAATGATCTGTTCAATAAAACTGTTTGTTGTTTCTTATTTGCAAATTACGCATGTAAATGGCGTAACCGGAAACGGAACGAATACTTCTACCAATCTTGTTCTTTCCCATTTGCTTTTATATATGTTTATACCAACAGACGCCCCCTGGCGTTGTTTGTCCCGGAAGGAAACAGACCAGGCCAGTGCCAGTTTTAAAAAAGGCTTACATCTATAGGGAGGAAATTGTGGCCCCTATAAACAATGCTATAACAGAAGCGGATGTGAGTACATATATACAATAAACACTTCACTGTCTATTCATTGTTTGACTTTAATCAAGAATAAAACCGTAATTTACCAGTACTTGCCATAAAGATTTCATTAATTACCTTGTGTCTTTATACATATAACGTTTTGTACAGTAAATGTATTTAAAAATGTATGCTGCAAGCCTTTCAAATAATGGCTCGTTTGCTTGATGTTGTAATGTAGTACCTCAAAATTTGAAACGTATCCGATATACATTGCGGGACACATTTCTCAATCTCAGTCGATATCTCATTTCCAAAATAACGCATGCATATTTTTAGAATTTATTCGGAATGTTAAGATTCGATGATGAATAGTGTTCAACAGACTATTGATGTTTAGCTTTTATACGATGGGACATTGATGTTTAGATTTGATACGATGATACGTTGTTTAAAAATGGTGAAATGATATGCTGTTGTTTAGATTTGATACTATGATATGTTGTTTAGATTTGGTGAGATGATATGCCGTTGTTTAGATTTGATACTATGATATGTTGTTTAGCTTTGATGAAAGTATACGTTATTGCGTTGTTGTTCAGGTTTGGTATGATGATGCGTTCAAACTAGTACGCTATGACTTCCGTCCCCAACCGAACACACCTCCTTATTACAACACTGACGCGGCTACAGAGATCCACGATTTCAACACCGGTGAGTATATTCTTAGACGAATGACAACATAAGCTTACAAGGGTTTCGAGGATGGTGATTATGTGAAAATATTATGATCGCTATTTGGAAATGTTCTATTTTTGCGCCATATGAAATCTGATGTTTCCAATGCTCCTCTGTAGACCTTGTAGTTTTTTTGGTTAAAAAACCTTGTTCTCATTTGTAAAATGATATTTCGTTCTTGGATTGACCCATTTTTACGGCAGGTGTCGGCTACGGAACACTTGATTTTCTTCTTCTCGTACTTTTTCAAAGTTCTCCGCATATTTTTTTTTCTTTTTTCTTTATATATATATATATATATATATATATACATGTATTTACAGCATTTCATCAATATTGAGCGAAATGAAATTTTGTTTGTCTGTATTTCCAATTTTTTTTCTCTTTTTTTTTTGTTTGTTAAAGGGGCAATATTCTTATCTGTTTTATGTTGTGGCAGTTTATGCGAATTTCATTTATAGTAATGATAAGTAATTTGAAGAAGAGTAAAACTATAAAAGTGGTAGAGTGATATTTCATCATTATATTTTCCTAAGTATTATACCCGTTCACACGGCATCGAAACTTTTGTAAAACTATACATGGTGTCGGCTTTTAGTAGGGAAAACAAGACAAGATAAACTTATTTTGAAGTGAAAGTTGCACAAGAAGAAAATTAAGAATGTTCTCTTGACATTTTCTGGGCTGAAGTAACTGATGTTTTGTCCAGTGAAAGACACAATAGTGTGATATTTTCTCTATGTTAGGCATATCTTACAATATCGACAAGACGATGGGAAACTGTACAATCACGCCTATTAAAAACACATCTTTCGACGCCAGCATCAATGTGACAACATCTATAAGCGGAAGGCCGTCCTTCGTCTTACAAATGAAGTCACCAGGACAGTTATTCTACCTAGATAATTCCTACTCATTTGAAGGCCAGGTATATATGGAAAGATAAAAAGCAAAACTAACACACGATTCTTCTGATCGCTGGGTTTCTTGAGTGTATATTATAGCTTTTAATATTGTAATTGAAAAGAGGTGATACAGTTACTATTTGCTTGATTTCGACTGATTAAAATTTCGATAGGATCACAAAAATCACATGACGCCAGAGTAAAACGTCAGCATTTTATACGTTCTGTGTATGGATGAGCTAGATTTTATTTGGAAAGTATTTGAAAGTATTGTACTCTCAAAAGATCTTCAAATTATAAATTTTGTTAATATCATTGCTACAGATTATCGTACTTTGGACGGTATTTTGGGTAATATTTTTTGTGTAAGTGATACGCATGATTGTTTTACAGCGGTATGCTAGAGATATGCTGTGTGACGTCTTCATTGCTAAACGAAGTGACTTTAAGTTAGCAGGATTAACGCTGAATGCAACTTTCCAGTTCTTCTTCTTATCGGTGAGTATTTCAAAGACACAAATCACAGTAACTTGCATTTACTGTAAAGTCGTTAGTTTTCGCGAGTTTTACTTTTTATGTTAATCTCGCGGCCAATTTTATGGGATTTTACCTGGCCAAATCATAGTAGTGACAAAGATTTTTTTTAATGCACATACGGCACGTGATCACTAATATCCGCGAGTTAGACTGCTTGGGAAAATTATTTTTGTTCAACTGATATTTGAATCCGACGAGAATGTTTTCCAATGCCACAATAAGAAACTTCTTTCAACATTTGGCTATTAACCACTGCAGCTATCGGTATGATGTATACAAGTAAAAAATAAGGAGCTCTCCAAATACATTTATACTTCATACTAAGTTCGGAAATTTTCAAAGACTTTCCTAGTTTAGTGATACCATCGGGCTTAGGACTTCATGGTCAAACCCGTGAAATGTGTTGCACCAACATGCAAATGCAAATAGTGTGAAACTAATAGGATCACTCTTGTTTTGTGTCACGCTTGAAGTCAAGGGCCCTTCGAATTTTTTATTTTGAATCGATTTTGATAAAATATTTTACAGAAAACCTATACCGAGAAGAACGACGAAGGCAACATTAACAGGGCAGACACAGATATTCCCATCCGCTTAGATATAAGCGTCACAGGGGTAATTTTTGATATTATTTACCACTTACAAAGGATTTGTTAAGGTATGATAATCATCGGCATCTCTGAAGTAAGAACGTACAGTGTCTTTTCATTGCCTCTGCTTTATTTTTGTAGCCATTATGTTTAGAGTCATACAGTGTACAATTTCTTCGAATCCTCTGGATGTATGATCTACATGTTTTGTAATATTTGACCAACCCAATGCTAAATATGGTTATATAAAGCGTGAAAACATAAGAATATAGTTAATCTAATGAAGATATATTTTAGGATTTACGTCATGATATACGTAATGGTATACCATACGTCATAATATATTTATGATATGCATCATATTATAAGTCATGATATACTCATGGTGAACATCAACATATACAATGGTATACCCGCGTTGTAGTCATGAAATACGTCATGATATCCTCGTGGTATACGTCATCACATACGTCATGCTATCTTATTGGTATACGTCATGATATCCTCGTGGTATACGTCATGATGTCCGTCATGGTATACTTATAGTACATATCATGGATGTAATAATTGTATACGCCATGATGTACTTATGGTAAACTTAGTAAAATATATTATATACATTTTGGTAGGATTATTACGTTTTAGAAAATTCACGTTTCAGTCCGATGCCTGTTATCATGTACGTGTGTTAAGATATTCATTTAGTAGTTACTTGAAATCTTAAAATATTATATTTACAGATACCTTACAGCGCCAGATATAACATTTATGACTTTTCACAAGAAGATCCAGAAATAACCAAATTTGATATTGGAACATGCTTTGAAGTCGACGACAAAATACCTTTCAAAATATCATTCCCAGGTACAGTAGTCTTATTGGCTGAAACCATCAAATTACATTTTGTCCGCAGTGAACAGAAAAAACATCACACAACGATAAAGTTTCCATACATTTCACTGTGTATTCACTAAAGAGGTTTGATGACTACTGTATGACATTTATTTTCGTTGATTCCGTTGACACAGATTCGAAAACTTTACACATTTGAAAATAGATACTTGAGGATACTGGTATATTTCATACATTCTATTTGAATTCTTAAGCGAAACTGTTTAAGTCTTTATGTATCTAACTCATCTTCCAATACTGTGATATTTGTAAGTTGAATGTAATCCAAAACATTGAAATGTTTCAACAGAAAAATATTCACATGATTAAATTATTCCTTCTAAATCTGATTGATTGATTTGGCGGAAGGCATGAACATTAGCAAAAAACCATAATTATATTTTCAAATTCGAACATTATTTGTTTTACAATGAATTCAAAACAAGGTATACGTAAGCTTATGTTAATTAAACTTGATGTCCAAGATAGAAATGTGCAAAAATTTCTTTGTGGGAGTAAACAGGAGGTCCCACATAAAAGCCACGAGATCATGTCTCATTGGACAGTCCAATCATATGTGAATGACGAGTGTATTTCTACTGCGTCACTCAAAGTTTGCTGAGATGTTGGCACATATCTAATTAATTCTGTTTATATCATCGACAGGCACGTTTGATGACAAGGTGCGCGTTTATCGGGAAGTTTTCCTGTTCGAGTCCATCAATTTGGTAAAAATGGCAACAGGAGTCTCTCCTTTAAGGATCCAAGGTGCTGACTTCCAGATGGAATACGACCAAGCCTTCTTTGTTGGAACATTGCTCGAGAAGGCGCCATCAATTAGTATGTATACAAAACTAGTCAATGAATTTACATTTGCTTTTGCACAGCATTGGTCGAATGACAAAATTAACCCATGTTAATTCACAATGATAAAAATGAAAGCAGCATGCATTATTTAATTCATGTTGATATCGAGTGACGCATCAAAATAAGAAATGTATGGTGAAAATAACCATGTAGTAGGTTTAACATGCATTTTGTTGTTACTCACACTGAAATATCATACCCATGTATACTAAGGGATACAATGAGATATATTGATAATAAATATTGTCTTTGCACTGAGTTTATACTTTGCAGTTACTCGCCCTAAAACAACCCCCATCCCAAACGAACGAAATGCTAACATAAGCCCAAACTGCTTAAAAAGCAATGAACATGTGTTTATCAATTATAAAAACACGTCACTATGTCGTTAGAAAGTATCAAGTCTTATGAAACTTATGTTTTCTATGTAATTTGTTTTATTCCGGTCGGATTAAAAAAAACAAATACGAAGACAAATTTACGTGTTTCACAATCTGCTTTATTCTTACTTTCATATAGACCTCATATTGCTTGATTGTTGTTGCTTTGATGAGAATGATATGTATTATATGTTTCCATTTTAACCATATAGCAAAGTTTAGACAGATAAAAGGCCAAGTACTTCAGTATCACAACGACAAGACCATCACTTACGTATCACAAGCTAGTGACTGTGCCGATTACTGCGTGACGAACAACTTCACGTGCAACAGTTTTGACTTCTGCGCCAAGTCGCAGGTGTGCACTCTCAGCAGGAGTCATACAGAGGACGGAACACTCGTGGGAAGCGGAGGATCATGTGATCATTACTCAAGTAAACTGGCTTACTTATTGCATTCGGAAAATATTTTGAATTGTTAGCGTAGGAAATAAAAAAATATACAATTAAACGGTAAATATGGTTTCATAGATTTCACAGAAAATATATGATTTCTTATTTAACAATAATTGATCATATTCAGTCATTTACCTCTTACCTACTAATATATGGATCAATCATAATATGATATAATACCTAACAGTATTTTTGTTGATTGTTTTTATCTATTCATCTATTTTCAATGATTATCAATCAGATATTTCATGTGTCTTGAGCATTTTACTTAAACCCACACTTGCACACGCGCTCATACATGTCTTTGTCCATTTGTTTCTTTCCGATTCCCTCTTCCTTCATAGAGATCAAACATTTCCTCAAGTCGAGATTTTCCTCTGCTGATATCTCCTCAAAAACGGCTGGTATAAAATTTCCTCAAGAAACAGGAGGAAGTCCTCGGGTAGGATGTCCTGAAATTCCTTGAGGAATTTTCATTCAAGATATTTTCAAGGAAATATTAGCTGAGGAAAATCTGGGCTTGAGGAAATCTGAAATTGAGATATTTTATACAAGTGGGGCCAGGTTGATTAAGAAAATGACGGGATTTGTCATAGCAATGAAAACAATCGTCTATTTTCTGGTATCATTATGATCTAACATATTGACAAAGGTTACACTTTCTTCGCTGAATATTGAAGTTTAACATTTAAACACAAATAGTATGTATTATATAACTGGATAACACTGGGTTGATTAATTTGATGTCAACTGAAAATAAATTGATTTGTTTGTATAGGAACGCTGGGATCTACTTTCCGTCCCGAACAAGACTTGCAGACTGTATGGGAGAAGCTCAGAAACGCCGTTGTTCGGGGGTTGTTTGTGCTGAACGTAAAGATCGACCCAGCAACAGTGAGTTGGCTATATATTCATTCACCAGGCACAGCGTTCAACAAGATGTTTTGTTCTGATCAATTATTATTTTCACGTAATTTCGACCGTTTTAATTAATTTGCAAATTATTTATGTAAATATCATCTGACGAGGGATAGTGCATCTTTCACCAGATCACACGTCATGTTTTCCGATCATACAGTACAGCAACTTATATTAGGAACAAAATCATATGACCATGTCAATTTTACTGTCGTCTTCAGGAGCGCCTGATATGTGTTCGCACGTAACGATTTCTTTTGTATACTGTGAACGCAAATATTTTGTGGTACTTTTATTGTAGTTTTCGCGCTGCATTTCCAATTGATGATTTCGGTTTTTTTATGTGGTGTTGTTCATACCGCAAATGGTGCTCGCAAATTCGTTAGTGCGCAGAAGTTGATATCATTGATATCAAGTTGTCATTGAGCGTAGCATATACGTAAAAAGCTTCGACCTGACATGCAAGGTTGAACTAAAGTATTGGAAAATATACGAAATAATAACCGAATCTTTTTTCTCCATATATAAAGATTAATGCAGCTATAATCAGTTAATTAAAGTATTGCATGAAGTGCGTGTCATATGTACTCATGTGCTTTGTTCACAAATACTATTCATAAAAGTGTGAAATACAGTTACCGATCCTATTTATATTTCCAGATTTCTTATAAGGCATCAGACATAACATCAAGCGTGTCGCTTGGGGGTGGCAGAGACCCGTCATCAAGTACGTATCTTGACATGTCATTTTGCTGCCACTTTTTAGGCATGTTACTATCAAGTAATGGCAAATTTGCAAAAAAAAGTATAGATATTGGTAACCTCTCCATCTTACTAATATTGTACAGACATACAAGTGAATAGTACTGTTTGATTCAACTTTAGAGTTAGAGTAGAGCCAATAATTTAATCAGCTTTCGTCTTTCCATGATACATCAATAAAAATAGATTAACGAAGTATTTTTTATTGTCGGCTTACTTCAATTTCTTCCTTTTGTCAAACTGGTTTATAAAACAATACCATGTTTACATTTGAGAATTATACTATATTAGAGCCGGATGCAAATTGAATTCGCTACCAAAAGACGAATTTAACGTCTGACAGTCTTTTACTGGTAAGTTAAAGCATGTGAATTCTTTCTACGAAAGCAAATGATGTCATGGTTTTACAGATATTTGATACATAAGCGAATTTCTCTTCATTTCGTTTATATTACTTTGTTACTCTGGTTCTCTCTGTTTCATGCATCAGCGAGCACGTTGCAACATTTTAGGGCAATGCATAACAAGTATGTGCCTAATTATGATGACGATATCGAAAACGGGTTATCTGTGGATGATTGTGCTGCTGCTTGTGTTGGTGAGGAGGTTTTCATCTGTAATTCATTTGAATACGAATGGAAGTCCGGGCAATGCGTTCTGTCACATTTCCACCCGGACGATGACCCAAAGAAGATTAAGAACACTCCAGGCATCGATCTGTACATACGTAAGCAGCAGACTTTCCGTTTTCTCATGTCAGTCAACAAACGGCAGGTCGGTTTGGTTATCACGTTGTCCGTCTATTATCCACTGGGGTAATGTGTCATGTGTTCTATGATATTTTGTGAAACTCGTCTTGAAATTTTAAGTATGCTCGCCAAACAAAACAAAACAAGAAGAAGAAAATTCGTTTCATTAAAACTCTTGCGTGAAAACTCATCTAAGATCATATATGTGATTGTAATGTTAAATATATATGTATATAAATGTAGATATTTTATAATATCAAACGCTTCATCCATATATTTTTTCTTTGGTGTGTAAGACAAAACATCTTAAACATAAATGACAGAGGACAGTATCTTAATCATGAGCCTCGATCTCACGATCTACGCCATCCGATCTCCTAGCCAATAAATGTCTATATTGGCTTAACCACTAAGCGATGATGTCAGATATGTATAGTATGAGAATCGTGTTGTAAAGGATACATTTACTCCCTCACTGCCTCGGCACTCTAAAAATCATATTTAAGCTTTTATAATGTATCTTCTTCTAATGGATAACTTTTTTTCGATTTATTATTTTTTTTCATTTCAATTATAGAATATTTTTACTTCATTTGCCAATTAAAGTGTTAAGATCCATGACTTGTATGAGATTATCGTTTTCATTGCAGGGGACTACACTTCGAAATTTAACCAGCAGAAAGGAACCACAGTGCTTTCATCGTCTCCGGTAATTTATCAGGGGATATATGACGTGAACCAGTGTGCCAAATTATGTGTGGACTACCACGAGTTCCCTTGCAAGTCTTTTGACTATTGCGATGAAATAGGCACGTGCTTTATTGGAAAAGTCCACGTCCTCGATGTCCCCAAGTCTGGGATAAAAGTTTCACCACAATGTGATCATTATTCCAGTAAGTCCTCACACGAACGAAAGAGAGAACATTTTTTGTCTTTTATGTTTTGTTTTGTTCAATTGGTAACAGTGTAGTCCAAATATTTACGAAATTCAAAAGAAATCTACCACGAGTAGATTAATGTCAATGCTTATAATACACTTTCCATATAAAATACATTTGATTAGTCAGTCGAAAAAAACGGCTGAATATCCTTGTAGTGTCACGCTACAGATTACACCAATAAGAATTTCTGTCACTCTTTGAATAATAATGACGTCACGCATCAGATTTCTAAAATGACGGGAAAAGTCGAGTAATTTGGTTTTCATTGCTCTTAGCAAACATTTATCTTAATCTCTTCTCTGTTTAGATTTGCAATTTGATATTTCGATAGTGTTTATATGTACTATACATAGTTTTTACCGTGCTTTTTGGTAGGACAATACATTGACGACTTTCAACATTACCAGAGAAAGCTTTTGAAGTTGGTTGATGATAGAATCATTACGGGCCTTTCTCTACAAGAATGTGCTAAAGCATGTGTGGATGAAGAAGCTGCAGGTTGTGCCACATTCTCTTACTGTGGAAATTACACAGAGTGTCGACTTAGCGGAGTTTCCCTGAGCTCTGCTGGGCAGTCTACAGTCCAGGCCAGTGCTTTCTGTGATATATACTCACGTAAGTATTATCACTCTCTCTCTAACTGACCAGTTACAGTATTGTTTCAGAAGCTATACTTTGACAGAAATATGTTCTAGAGGCATTGCATTAAAGCAATAGTTTTCCCGGATGTTATTATCATTATTGTAAGTATGTATGGAATGTATCACCTAATGAACAATACTAGTTGATTTCCGCTGAAATACGTACATAAAGATGTAAATAATAACACATGAACTGCCTCGTTTTCAAAACTGTCACGTAATGTTTCCCCAATAAAATGAGTGGTCAGACTGAACATAGGGAATCGACTGTGTCGGAATAGTATAGAAATGTAAGTGAAATGTCTAAAACACTCACAATCAAAAGAATAACTGTAATGTCGTGTTAACCGTAAAATGATTTCATTGAAAACATCTCGAACTCACTGGTACTGTGTTTTAACCTGTTTTTAACGGTGATATACTCTTAGATTCCGTGTATTTTTCTAAATTGTGCTTATTGTACATACTGTATTTATGTATATATTCCTGATGTCAGTTTTGTAATGCATTACACAGGGAAGTACTTTCCAAATGGGCAGGTCTACGCTGCTAAGGTTACGGCGCCTGCTCCATCAGGATATAGTGGCGGTATGTATTTTGACTGAGAAAGCAATTTGAATGTATAAAACTCAACGTAAAACAGGCGTGATTGAAGCATGTGGCCTCCAGTTTCGGTTTACAATTATAATCTGCAGTATTTAACTTCAATATCATACCAGCTGACCGAATGGCAATAGCTGTCAACAAATGTATTAACATTTGACCAGTTAATATGTATTAAAACTTCCATGAATCGAACTTCGATATTTCGAATTTCTCGATGTACCGAATTGTATGCAATGTGTAAGTTCATTACTACATGGGAAACTCGGTCTCTCTGTGTCCCCCTTTAATATTTAATTCCAGGTTGTCATGAGAATGTTATCTTATGAATATTTGTGAAAGCGCCTATGATCATATTAGAAATATCGTGTAACATTGTACACTATTCGTATATGTTTAAGTTATGTTCGCCCTAATTACTGGGTTTTTACTTACACAGGTGCGATGGCTGGACTAGCGTTCGGTATGATTGTACTGGGGCTTATAATAGCAGCAGCAGTGGTGGTCATATACCTTAAATCCTCCAACAAAACAATGGACGATATGAAGATATCATTTAAACGAATGGATGAAAATTCTGATTCCTAGTACCATGCCGGTCATTGGTGCTAAATACAAAGACTACTCACTAAATGCTTGTTTAAAAAAAAATGCCTACATTGATTCAAAACTTTCTAAACCAAAAGCATATAGCGATCCTCTGGAAAATCTTGTTATTCCGAATAAACATTATCCGGAAATATCCTTTTCTCGACGACCGCTTTCCATTCTACACGAGCTTATTTTCAATAATACATACATTATTATATTATGTAGATATTTAGCGAGAGGTGATAAATGCACCCCAAATCGCTCGACGATTTTGTTGTCATGCTGGAGTGAGCGAAGAGGGTTACAAGTTCCTAATAAATGTATTTCATGCTTTTCATGTTAACTGCATAACTTAAGGGTTATTCAAATAAGTTAAATGATGTGGCTAGTAATTTTGATGTATTTGTGTATGTATATACATTAAACAATCAGAAGTTTAGGTCATTGCAAGGCATATTTTCAAAATTGTAAAACAAAAGATTAGGAATTTTGCCAATTGAGAGGAACTATTGAAGGGAGAGCGTTTCATTTTTCTAACCTTCATATATATATATATAGAGAGAGAGAGATAAACGGGTGTCTTAAATATCTACAATACTTATCATTGTTTAAATGAGACTTTTGAGTTGAAATGGACGTTGAATCACTTGATGTAATAGAAATATAAAGGATTAGACTCATTGCTTATTCTTTTGATAACTGATTCATTGTCATATGTGTAATATTATGTATATCATAATATCTCGTTTCTTTATTTGCCCACATCCTGTCTACCGATATTCTTGAGAAATATATCTTTTTTTGCAATTCGTTTTCATAAATGTCTTATTACTAAAAATGTATTTTGGTTACAAGGAGTCTTGGTTATGTCGTGTGTGGAACAACTCTCGAATCAGGAAAATAATAAAAAGATGGTTTATATTTCATCGAAATAAGAAATTGAAAGTCAAGATCACGAACTTGCTTGTTTATCAAAAATAAAGTTATTGATTGGTTCTATATTTCTTTGTCTTGATTATTTTCAAATTAACTTAATTCGAAAAAACTTCAGTGATGAAAAGACATAAAAGTACTCGGCAAAGAATTTGTGATTAAAGTTGTCAACTGGACTTCATCCAAAAATAGAATATTTGCTATACTACCGTAAATGTTGTATTTTTGTGCCTACATTCAACTTAAGTGTTGTGCAGTTGACATCTTCAAAAAATACACAAGTTTTGATAAAAAGAAAGAGAAAACGTAACTCGCAACCCATCAATCTATAATCGTGTCCTTATTTTAAAATCTGTTTGTGGTGTTATATTTTTGTTTTGGTTTAACTTTACGTGTCAACTTCATATGAATGAAATGATTTTATCATAATTAGTAATATTTTGAACACTTTAATTTGATACTTATCCATGGAAATCTGACCTGAGCTACACTTCTAACCAAGAATCATAAAATACAAACAATATCCTCACCTCTCAGATTATCTTTCGAAATGACAATGACCAAAATAAAAATACTGTAAACAAACATATATCTATAACAGGAAGATAAGAGGACGAAGAATTGATCATAGAAGTACTGCCCTTATATCAATTATTACTAGTTTATAACTATACTAGATATCAGTTGCAATATTACACGTGAATCAGTCCCTCCAGTAAAGTTGAAAGCAATTAGTGGGATAGCACTAAGAGACACTAAGAGAAGAGATACTAACTAAGAGATACTAACTAAGAGATACTAACAGGGAGAAGAAGAACAAATGAAGATAAGAGACATGAACTAAGATAAGAGACACAAATTAAGAGAAGAGATACTAACACAGAGACACTGACAAGAAGAGAAACAAGGGAAGAGAAGAGACATAAACTATGAGAAGAGATATAAACAAAGATAAGAGACACAAACTAAGAGAAGAGACATAGGTAAGTGAAGGGAAGAGACACTTAGAGAAGAGACACAAATTATGAGAAGATTTGAACTAAGATAAGAGACACAAAGTGGTCAATTTTAGGAATGAGTGATTGACCATACAATGATTTCTTTAAAAGTTTGACCTATCGAATATTGAAAAGTGACATCGCCAATGTTTTTAAAGATAAAGAACGAACAAAATGAACAAATTGTTGAATTTCAAAAATTATTCATGGTACACATCAACGGAGTCACTTTGTTAAGTATTCAATGCAGCAAGGAGAGCTTATGATATTTCTGTTGATTATGATAACGTTACACAAATAGCATAGAAAAATCTTGAAATATACTGCAGAGTATTTCAAGCCAATTTCGAAAATGACAATCAAAGATAAGGAACCCTGGCTAGAGCTGCAACTGTTTTGTCTATCAAATGTACAGTAAGTAAATTTAGATCAACAACATAAAAAACTGAATTTCCCATGGGGATTTAGGTGCCCATCTCCAGTACTTTTACGAAATAGCAGTTATAAATATTATTTTTCATTATTGCAAGCATATCAACTATTTTCATCAACAAATGTCCAAGAGGATCCTGCATGATTAAAAGTTTACAAGAAATAAAAACAAAATTCCAAATCCAAGATGTTGGTGTTCAAACCTAAGATGGCCGCCATGCGGTCATTTTGTTTTTCTAATCATTTTAAATTTGAGTGACATCGCTTAGGTTTGCTTGTTTGTTTGCTGAGTTTACGGCCTTGTAGAGAGCCACTGACATTTTGAGGTGGGGCCTCTTTGTAGTAGCCAATCATTATCTCACTCAACAGTATATGGGAGGGCCATCACATCCTGTCTGGAGCTATTATGTAAAGAGTCTTGCACAACCACAACAGCAAAGACCGGTCCATTATTCATCTTCCTGTGAAATACAACCATGCACACTTCTCAAATCTTCATCTGAGGCCAACACTCTAGGAGCAAGTGTAACGGTTTTGAGGAAAATCCATCCATGCTTCGCCTGTTATACTCATAACAAGTTTTGACACAAACAAACTCCACTAGTATTCAATGTTGCTACCTTCTCTTTTTCTATGCCATTAGAGTCACTGCTCCTCTGGTGTAAAATTTGGCTTTACTACTTTCATACATCAGTTGTCTTCATCATGACTTACACTAAGGCGTACCATAACAATCTATGTTTTACTGGACGTAACCGGATAGTAACAGAGAAAGAGAAAAACCATGAATAGCCTCACAAATAAAACAAGTAAATATTCCAGGTTGAAACAAAAAGAAAAATAAGGGCATGTCAACAAAATCTAGAACCAGTAAGATAAACATACTGTTAGTTAGTACAATGATCCTTTATTAACAGATTTTCGAAAAACTTCCAAAGTTCCATTAGGTCAAGCGCCTTGATATTCATATGGAAGATGTTCCGGTCATTACCTATCAAGTTCAAAATATGAATGACCTTGACCAGCTTTCAAGGTCACAGGAATTTATTTTGGTAATTTTCAATGGCTTCTTTTCAGTAACTAAAAGGTACAAGGTGATGATGTTTGATTATGTGCATATTGGGTTTGCTTGTTATTGATAGTTGTAAGAAAATATTGTGTCAAATGTCAACTTCTGACTTTAGGAAGGAGTCACATTTGGAAAGTTGTCTTTTCTGATAACAAATAATCTGAAGTTCAATAGTCTTAAGTCTAGATATCTTGTATGTAAATTGCTTGAATAGTTAGCCATTGTGGAAATTATTGAAATTTAGGTCAGAAGAAAAATAAAAACATGAAAATTTTAATGGACAGTGATGCATGATATGAAAATGGGTTCAGCTGATCTAAGAAGTTGCTTGTTCAAGCAGCTTGGTATTGTACCTACACTGTCATCATGTGATGTGACTGTGAAAATAGACCCATTACACCATCGTCATGTGATAGGAAAACATGAACATACGTTCCACATAGTCATTCAAAGAATTTGCACTCATGAAATGTCTATTGTAATCATATTCTGTGCTTAATATTCTCGGAATGGATGAGTACTGGTTAACAGACCCCAGACGAAACCTATTAATAAAATTTGAGAAAGGTCCATCCAGTTTTCTCATAAAAAAAGCAATAACATTTTTACTCTTAAAATCCAAGATAACAGCATTTCGCTCATTTTGTTTTCCTGTTCAATCTCAAATTATGAGATGGTATCACTAGCAACTAGTGAACATCAGATGCAATTTCTTTGAAGAAAATTTAATTAGCTGAAATAATTGAAACCTATATATTCAGATTGCTCAAACTAAAATAAAAAACAATAATAAGAAATAACAAAAAATAAGAGATTTAATAGGGATATACGCCCGCCATCTGCCATTGTTTAACCTTTACCTGGTCTTAAATAATTGGAACATTTCCCTTCTTTTCTCTGTTTTTGCTCTAAATTATACATAATTTGGAAATTCGTATCAAAAACCAGTGATGATAATCTTTAATTGTCAAATTCAATATGGGTGCCTGTCGACCATTCTGTTTCACGATCAGTCCCCTAAAATGCCACAACTAGGGAGAGAGAGAACCTTTGTATGGAATCCGAGCAAGATCCATTCAGTATTTCCGTTAATAAATACTGCACCGATAACAAACATTTCAAACAAAAAACAAGATGGCTGCCTTTCAGTCATTTTGTTTTTTCTTACCAGTTCCACAATAAAAAGGGCACAACTAAGGACAAGGGATATATACATTTGTACTTATACAGGGGCTGAAAGAACTATCCTACAGCGACCGTCTCAAGAAACTCGGACTCCCGACATTGGCATACCGTAGATTGAGGGGAGATATGATAAACGTTTTCAAAATTATGGATAAATTTCACGATGAAAAAGTCACCAAAGGCATGTTTGATCGAGATGAAAATTCTAAAACAAGAGGCCACTCAAAGAAACTGAAAAAGAAATCATGTAATCTGGACATTTGGAAATACTCATTTGGACTAAGAACTATAAACCTATGGAACAGTCTACCAGAAAAAGTAATCCAATCATCAACAATCAGAGACTTTGAAATTAATTTGGACAATCATTGGAAAAATCTTGAACTGAAATTTAACCATCTGGCTCGTTGCAATTCACTAATCGGAAGTGACTATATAATTCAATTGTATGATTATTATTGATATGGATATAGAGGCACTGTGTGCCTGCGTCCATTAAATATCCTAATAAAAAAACTTCCAAGAAATGGCGATGACAAATGTTCAGTCAAAATCAAAGATGATCGCCATTCAGTAAGCATCAAAGAGCCTACATATGAATTTGTTAAATATTAGTGTACTTTCACGCAATAACTATCACATATTATACCTTCAAAAATTAAAGATGACTGTTGGCAATCTTGTTTTCCGATCTGTCACCCAAGATTAACCTATACATGAAACTTGGGATGTTCCACTTCTCTAGAAATCGGGATAAAATGTACCGCAGCTATTTTATGAGTCCCAAAATTAAACCACGGACCTAGAATAATAAGAATAATCTTCTGAATCCGTAAGGAAAGCTAGATGGACGGGAGACGGACTTTGATGGTTTGTACATACCATCATCGATGAAAGTACGCGGCTAGTAAATAGATACCAGTGTCGAAGAATCACAACTTTCGTTTTACATGCGCACTATCTATTTCCGTTATACCTGAACAATCACCGGAGGAACTGATAGAAGTGGTAGTCAAACACATTTTATTTTCTATAAATATGAACTGTAGACAACACAGATATAATGCATTAGACATAGTCTGAAGTTTGCATTGATCTTTTTATCTAGGATCAACCATGATAGATTGCTTTAATGGTTGTTGGCAGGTTTGTGTCAACGTAATCAGTACGAGCAGCAGACAAAGAGAAAACATAATTCATCTAATTTAAGGTTAACATTGGAAGAAGCAATTCTAAAAAAATATTTCATCGGTGAAATTGTAATCGATTTCCAATATATGTTTTGTATGTGGACGTTTCGATATTCTATTTCGAGAAATTTTTCGCATTGGCGGAATTTTGAAAGTCGTTCCCGCCATCAGTGTGGCTCCAAAATTTCTGTGTTGTATTCATACACGCTTCCGCATTGACTTATCGTAAATATAATTTTGGGTTGAAATATAATTTTTATTGTATCGAGATTTCTAACAACATACAATATAGTAGTATTGCACACTTAGTTTGTTTAGTTTAATCCAGAAACTAGGCGATATTGGTTTGCGTAAAGAACTATTTTTTCTGTCGCTCACTAATCGCACTGTGTTGTTGGGCAACAATGGTGGGCTCGGAGTAGACGGGCTGGATCAGAAAGAAAATGGTGCAAACGCGACATAGTACAGAGGCTAGTGGGGCATCGCCACCTAATTTATTGTCCTTTGAACGGCGAAGTGTAAGGAAACCTCAACGACTTATTGCTGCTGTGAGTCGATCTCTTGTGTACAATGTTTAAAATTGTGTACATCCAATGTTTACAAAGCAAATGTTGACAAAAATTTCTCTCATACATGCAGGCTGTTCGATACAGTAACCAGTGGTATTCTCAGTTATGCATGAATTTGTAAGGGAATGATAATTTCAATTTCGCATTAACTTCTAGAAATTGCATTTCTAAATTTCAATCAATATCATTAATGGTTAATGTTTGGCCATAATACAGGCCAGGTCTGGTAACAAAATTGCAAGGGGACAGGGTGTGTGTGCTTCTTTTGAAATCGTGGAAAGAAATGCTTTTTATTATGTCCACAATGAGATACTGTTAATGCACTTGAGTTTTTAGTAATTTTTAGTTGGCATGGTTTTCTTATGTTTAGTTTACAAAAAAATATAATGTGACTTTCTGTAACAACAATATTTCATTAATACTTCTTCCTATTAGAAAAGTGTAGTTGTCATATGTGTAAGGTTCCAAATTCTAAATTGCATTTGACATTTCCATTCTCCTATTTCTTTTATTTTTTACATAATGGCCCACCTTATCTTTGACTATTAATGCAAGTTGCTGAAAATTGCCCCATATTTTCCAATGTCCTGTCTTGAAAAAATGTGTAGAGGTGTGAGGGTGATATCAGTGATTAATGATTAAATAAATTATCAATCATAGGTAAACATATAGCACTGTCTCCTCATCTGTCATTATCTTATCTGTCACTTGCAACTATGAAATATAAAGTAGTAAGAGTTACTTTACTTTGAAAGATTTATTATGTAATTGACAAATGATAACTTTATAAATTATGTGTAGATCATGCAGTTAATCAAAACACAATATGCATTGTTGCATATTGATATTGTAAATCATTATGCATGTGTACTCATCCAATCAACAGCATGTAATATAGGACTCCAAATGTAATTATGGTATGTAATGATTAATTGCACTACTATATGGTGGTTATATTATCCTCTAATAAGAGGAACAGATATTAAATAATTTAGTATGGCTGCATTCATGTTTAATTTGTCTCCCATTGTAACTGTTCTTAACATGCCTGATCAATAAAATTTCATAGGATGATGAGAACAGTGATGACAGTGGTGTTGTTCATATAAGCAAGAGATCAAGATCTAGAGGACATTTTGAAGAGCAAAAACCATCGCCTTCCAGACCCAGGGGCCGTCCTCGCAGAAGGTAATAACTGTTAGTTCAACTGGAAGTGTCCTGCCACTTACTTCCACAAAACAAAGTTGTTGAATATCAACAGAGAACATCAGATAATCATAAAATGACTATGATTCGCAGTTGGATTAATTTGCCATAGTGTTTTATATTTTATTCAACAATTTATTACTTTTGTCAAGATTTGCAAGAGCAACAAATACTGTGATAACAACCATTTTAAGATCTGTTCACTGATCATATCATACTAATGTCATTATTGATATTATACCTGTTTGGTATTGGTGTAAACAGGACAGTTCAATATGGTAAAATTCAAAAGCATCACTGCCTTATTTAAACTTAATCTGGTTAAATTAATGATTTTGTTTTTATTACAGGCCAGTTATTTCTAGTGCTGATGATGATAGTGAAGATGAAGGTACAGTGTACAAAATTAGTAATAGATTCATAGGATCAATCTAAAGTGAAAGACTGCAATAAATATGAACGCTATGCTTATTAATAAAACATATTGAAAACTAAGAAGTCCATGCTTGAAAAAATTTTCGTTTGATTGATTTCAACATAACTAATAGGCTGCTAGGTATTTGAAATTTCAGACAGTGGACTTTTGACATATTGTGGACAGATACAAGAAGTCATCTGAACTACAGATACCTATGATTTGAAATTTACAATATTATGACTTGACACTATCTCTGGTCATGCTTCTTTAAATTCACTGCTAACCAACATTATGTCAGTCTGCTATCCCAATCGTGTTGTCTGAAGTCTGATGACAGGATGACTTTGAAGTTCTGGCTTAGTTATATATTTGGTATAAACAGTCACGAGATGGAAAGATGAGGGTGATTTTTATTTTACAACGAACAGTAAGCATGCAATATTTCATTATCATTCTTATTTTTGTAGCTGCTTCATAAAAATACAACACAAATGTACCACAGTTAAAATTTTTATTCTTTGCTTTTGGGTGGAGAGGATGGCATTTGGCATTGCCTATTGTCTGTTCCATTGCATTCCCAATCAAAACTTGTTCATGTTTACCCTATAGTATTGTAGTATCTAGTTCTGATCAGGTTCTAAATTGCATAGGAGCAGGGAATTCATGTCTATATCCATTTACTATTTAAATATTAGTTAGAAAATACAAATATATAGTCTTTGTCACTGTGTGCAGTGTTTCTAATCAATTGGCCATAATATAGTCAATATCATGTGGATACACTAACTTATTCAAAAGAAAATTTACAATTATGTCTCTGACTTATGTAGTCATAGATTTATTTGCATTAATTTTGGGTGACAAATTATTTATCCTTTTTGTAAAATATGACATTCTTGTACATTTTTTTTTTTTTAAACTAGAATCTAAAAATTTTTCTAAAATGTTTTCATTAAAGCAATGTGCACATTCTTTGTTGTCAATGAATACCAAGACATGCTGATAAATTCCTGGTTGTGAGTTAGAAACAACAGCATGTGCAACTACCCATTTGTATGTGATATATCCTGTAGTTTCAACAAAGAGAAGGCAGACAAAAAATGGAAAAAGACATAGCAAGGTAAATGGTGATATTGATGGTGGCGATGCTGCTGTACGTCGTAGTAGCAGACAGAAGAAGTTAGTATTTGGTACATGTGATCAGAAGATGCTGGATAAAGTCTTGTATCTAGATGGTGTACCTGTATTTACAGATGAAGATCGGCCGAGAAAAAGGAAGACGATGGAAGTTCAACCTGATGAAGACACTGTAAGTTCACTATCCTCCTAATCCCTTTTCCATTCTCCTTGCTCACTTCCCATCATCCCCATAAAAAATTTCTGGTTGGCTGGGTTTATCAACTTATAGACAGTGAGGGTAATTTTGAGGTTGGGTCTCCTTGTAACAACTGGTGGCTACCTGACTGAAAAAAAACATAGATTTGTTGCATTCCATCCAGAGCAATTAGGGTATAGTGTCTTGTCCAATGACCCAACAACCTATTTCCCATTTTCCTTAGAAAAAGACTTCCATGGGAAGGTCCTTAGAAAAAGACTTCCATGGGAAAGGAACGTCAAACCACAAACTTCAGATCATCACCTGAAGTTACATATATGTAGGCAGACACTCTGCCAACTCACTTTTACATTCAAAAAACAAGAAAATTGTGATCACTGTTTTAGTTCATGTAATTGAAATTATATTATTGAAGTTATTTCCCTTTTAGCGTAACAAAAAAATGAGTGTGGTGAAAAATGTACAGGTGTTGAATTTCCTTCTGGTTTTAGAACTTTACAACTTTGACCCAAGTATTATTGTCGAATTTTAGAAGTGATGTATGAAACTTAAACGGTATCTGTTCTAAGAATGATATTTATAGGTGGTAATCACATGTGTGTCTTTTGTTTAATCCTGTAGTCCTAAAGTCTTGTATGCTAGTTAGATAAATTCTATAACTATGCTTTTAAACTATTTGTAGAAAGGAGAAGACATGTACAGTCGTGTGAAGCGGGTGAAACGATCCATCAAGCGAGATATGTATGGTATTCCTATCCCGGAGTCGGAATCGGAAAACTCTGATGAAGATGATGATGACGAAGAGGATGATGATGAGGATGAAAATGGGGAAGAGAAAGGAAGTGGTGTGTAGTTTATTTAACAGACCTGATATCTGCTATCTGCTGTTATGGCCTTTTGGCCTTTAATTAGAATGACAAAGCTATAAAAAATTTTGACACAGATTCAATTTTTTGCTAAGACTCATGATTGAAATAAGGAAAAGTAGGTTGGATTTTGGACTAGTAAAATCCATACAAACCTCATTGTCATGGATGTGCAATCTGACTGTGTGGCGTTGTTTAAAATTTTAACTGAAATACAGCTTGGTGATGAATCTATGGAAAGGGTTTACCTTTGTGAATAGTGATCTAATGATGCTACATTGAAATATGTGGTATATAACAACAGAATGATGACATGATTTTTGACAGCAAATAAAATCAATTATTTATGTTTAGTAGAAAACTATTGTAAATATTTTTTGTCCTGAAACAAAAAAGATGAGGAGGAGGAAGAAGAAAATGAGGAAGAGGAAGATGATACACCACCTCCAAGACGTTCATACAATCTTCGAGAATACAAACCACGAACACAACTGTTTGAGGTACCAATTGGTAAGTCACTGTCATCGATGTTAATACACTAATAAAAAATATTAAATAATACCATATTTTGGTGTTTTAGATATATTTAGGCAATTTCTGAACTTAAAAAAATGGATATATCTTAAAGTTTTTTTCTTTAAGTGTTAGTCCTTTAAAACCCAAGACAATTAAATAGTGTTGGTTTGTAAAGTTCGGAGTAGAAATCATCTTGTGACTGGTGTGACTGTGCTAAGTATTTGAAATATTTTATCAATTTGATGATTTTAGAATGTATCTATTAATAGGTTTGTCCAAATTATTCTGAATTTTTATCAACACTTTTTTGTATGCCAACCCAGGCATGAGTCAGTTATTTCCCTTACTTTATGTAGGGCCAGGCATTAGACATTCATTAACTCCAGAAAATATAAAAAATGTTGATAGAACTTGGGAATAATTTTGATAAGTAATAGGTTTGATTATTATAGTAGTCTCAATTTTGTTTGTTGTGACCTCAGTATCTTGGTCAGTTATTATAATATACTTAATATTTTTTGTCTTGAAAATAGAATGTCATAATATGCAGATTCCAAAATGATTTTTAGTCACATTTTTTCTTTGTAGAAAAGAGAAAAACCAGAGTTAGCATATTCAGAGAAGCTTCACCACCTTCTCCAATATCAAAGCCAAGGAGAAATGAAGTGTACCGATCTCCAGCTCATCGAACAAAGCCTGTTGGGTATATATAAAAGTTTCACAATTTTGCTTAAGTAGCATGTTTCACAAATAGCAGGATATTTTTTAAAACTTTTCTGATAATTTCTTGATGTTTCTTATTCCTACTGCTGCATTTCAGCCAAATTTTGCTTTTTCAGAATTGAATGTGTAGTGGTGGGATGGGGGCTGGGGAGGTGTTGGGAGGCACTTACTTTTTACTCCAACCTACCATACATTGAAATGTATTCAATACCCAAGCATGAATACAATAGAGTTTTTTTTCCAAATCCAGTAACCCACACAATTTAATTCGATACTTTAAACAACCCCCATAGAATTTTGCTATATGCTGGGAACCAGTATCTATAGGGAAGACTCTAACATGTCAATCAGACTTTTTCCTGAAAAAAACCTCAACCTCTTGTCGTAAACTGCCTTCTGATATGTGTTGTTGAAATTAGGTGAAATTTTAAAATGATTTTCAAATGTTTCTTGTGGTAAGTCCTTAATGAAAAAACGAATGTGTGAAGTCCATTTTAGAGGCAATGCAACCTTTCAACTATTTCCGTTTTGTTGTTATATTGTCCTTATCTTGAAATCCATGGATAGGGATTTATGTAAGCTGCACTAGTTTAGAACCTCCACTTACAGCCTTCAGTGACAGTTGATTACTTGTACCCTCACTGATTTGTGAATGCATTATTACAGATAGTGGAACATATTTAACGATCAAGTTTGAACTTGCAAATTCTTGAGAAGATCTGAATTGTTTGAAATTCTTACATTCCAGATGATTGTCCCTGGTTGTGCATTATGTATTTTGAGACTGATTAAAACATTTTGATGTGGAGTGTACTTGTCTATAAATACTGGCTAACAGTGGACTTTTGACAGTTTTAATTTGTTTTATTCCTTTAAATATCTTGCATTAAGAATTACTGGATATATTATTCTCAAGTTTCCGTTTATATTATGTATGTTTCCATTTGTCCCTAGATGTGTGCACATTGAACCCAAGATGTGTATATTTGATTTTGAAACCAATTTTAATGGAAAGAAAAATCACACAATTATGTTGCAAATATGATATCTCTCTAGTATATATTTGTGAGCCCACCTGGCATTGGCATAACACATAATTTGTTTGTAAACTTGTTCAACTTGACATACTCTAGTCACTGTTCATTTTAATGATAGACTAAATTAACCAACTTTTCAATATTTAAATTCCATATATGTTCATTTAGAACTTCCTACTGTAGACAAGCAAGTGTTATATTCTAATAACCACTTGCTTTATTTCTTTATTTTGAAACATCATGCACTTGCACTTTGATTTTCCATGCTAACATAACACCTAAAAATTTCATTCTGTTGCTTTTTTTGTATAACCAAATACATATTGCTTCCCTGAGCAAAAATATCGTTTTCCCAAAAAACTTGTCCCAACCACCCATAAAAAAATACTTCATCTGCCACCCAACGGCCCCACACATTTAAATCGGGAACTGTGCTAAATTGGAAATACAGTTGAAACTTGTTGTCTTGAAATCACTGGGGTCGAGATTCCGTTTGAGTCAAAAAAAATTCAAGTCCCAGTTTTATTCCTTCTATGTCTTTGTAATTTCAGTTTGGATGACTCAAATTTCATTGAGTCGGAGCTTCGGTTGTGTCACAGCAATTTTATAGTCCCTTCAACTGTAAAGCAAGGGAAAAGTCATTCGTTGTCTCAAAATTAATTTTTGTCAAAATGTCACCATGTCTTCTGAAGAAATCAGTCAATACATACTCAGTGTAGAATGTCATCTGTGTGTAACACATGGCTTATTAATGGCATATTAGTCCATCATACATGCAACACTTGGTAACTGACAATTAATTGCCAATTTAATTATCCAGTCAAATGTTACTTTCTTAATTATTGTCACGATCCTGTGGCAGTTACTTGTGCATCTCCTGGAAGGATAAAAAACGAAACTGTCAATCAAGTATAAACTTTTTGACGAAATCTGATCCCCACATTTCCGAGAGAAACTAGAGAGCTTGTTTACTAACGGACTGTTATAGTCACTTTGTCAGATTTAGTGTTTGGATAATGAAGTGCTGAGAGTATTTTTCATAGATAGAGTCTATATATGTATGGTTTGTTAAGTCTAGAACTTGTACAGTGTTTTCTGTAACAGGTAAAACCTTTCATATGTTTATTTATTCACAATAAAGCCATTGATATGTTGTGTAGCTTCATACTTCATTGCTTGTAGGTTATCAAAAACAAATTTTAATTTCATTTTATTGCCATTCCGTGAAATATATGATGTATCTGTGCTTGGTCAGTAAGGGTATTGTACATGTGTGCGGGACAGAACAACCTGGGTACAAATGTAGTTGATTGTAGTTGTTATTACATGTTTTTTTTGTTTGGCCTTAACTCAATGTCAGGAAACTGATATCGTCAACCTTAAATTATACAGTTTGCTTCAGTCGAAATTTGGATAAGTGGAAATATTTTCCACAGTCCCTTGAATTTCGAGATAACTAGTTACAGTTGTAATGCAGTTGAGAATTTTTTTTTTTACATAAGATACAGTTCGCTGGATTCAATTTAAATGTTAGCTGTGATGTGTTTCAGTCGAAGAAAGGCAGCTTACCATGGTAACTCTAGTACCTCTTCATCCTCATCCTCATCCTCATCGGATGACTCAAGTGATGAAGAACGCTTCAAAAGGAGAAAGGCAAAAAGCATGGCAAAAGCAAGAAACCAATGTTTGCCTATGAACATGTCTGCTGAAGATGTTAACACATCAGGAGTACTCCGAGATCGTGTCAAAATTGGGTCAAGTCTCGCTGATGTGGACCCAATGAGTGTTGACAGAAGTGTATGTTGGTTTTCTTTTAGCTTTGCCTTCTTGGCACACTATTTTACAATAAAATTTATCATGCTTTTCATTGATATTTGATTTCTATTGTGTTATGAGTGTACAAAGAACTAGATATCCAAAGTGGGGGATAGTGTAAAATTTATTATGTCAAGGTATAAAACCCAAGTGTCACTATTGAAAATTGTAACAAAACCTCAAATTTCACTGTTTTTGTTACCTTCTTAGACAACATTTGATAGTGTCGGAGGTCTGGGAAAGCATGTGAGAGCCTTAAAGGAAATGGTTGTATTTCCCTTAATGTATCCAGAAGTGTTTGAGAAATTCAAGATCAGTCCGCCAAGAGGCTGCCTTTTTTATGGACCTCCAGGTAAGACTTCCTGATAGCTTGATTGTATGTTTTGTAGGGTGGCTACAGATATCAAGAATAAGATATTTGTATCATATGTACCATTTTTCTTTTCATTTTTATCCCTTACTTTGAACTTCCATTTTTGGCTTTTTAGGATATTTTAAGACATGATTGATTTAATACTACATCTGTCCTCAGCATTGTATGCTGATCTATACATTATGCATTTTAGGAACAGGAAAAACCCTGGTGGCTAGAGCACTAGCAAATGAATGTAGCACAGGAGACAAAAGAGTAGCCTTCTTCATGAGGAAGGGAGCTGATTGTCTGTCCAAATGGGTTGGCGAATCAGAGAGACAACTTAGGCTTCTGTTTGACCAGGTATGTCTATATCTGAGAACTTTTTCGTAAGATGATTATTACTATTGTTGTTCACACCAAATACTTTGTCTTAAATTTTATAAGTTAACAAGAAAAATTCTATAAGGATATACTTTTGAAGAAATTCATATCTTGATATGATCAAATATAATTTAAACGAAAAGAAGACTCTCTATTTTGTCTTGAAATTGTATTTCTTTAAGGTTTTGAAATTAAATAATCTTGTATGAGTCTGAACTGCTAAAAATCTTATATTATTATATCATATTCTTGATAAATTATCTTATATTAGTCTGAACTGCTAAAAATCATATATTATTATATCATATTCTTGATAAATTATCTTACATTAGAGTTTTAAACAGCTGCCATTTCTTCCCTTAATTCAAGGCTTACCAGATGAGGCCCTCCATTATCTTCTTTGATGAAATCGATGGTTTGGCTCCTGTTCGGTCTAGTCGACAGGACCAGATCCACAGCTCCATAGTGTCCACCCTTTTAGCCTTGATGGATGGACTGGACAGCCGTGGCGAGATTGTAGTTATTGGGGCTACTAACCGCATTGACTCCATTGATCCTGCCTTAAGGAGACCAGGAAGATTTGACAGAGAATTTCTCTTTCCACTGCCTTCACAAGAGGTTGGTATACACTATACGACCTTTTATTGTCTTACATTTACCTGTTAATTAAGAAGTTTTGTTTTCTTAATTATTTCACACTTATGATATAAACATATGATAAATGTTTTTAGAAATGTCATTGTTGGTCACAAATAGTTCTATCATCATACTCCTTACTTTTTAAAGACATTGTATGGGGAGAAGGCAGGTTGGATGCAAAAAAACCTATGTTATAGATTTATGTGTTAGTAATGAATGGTTTTATTTTACTATAGGCGAGAAGGCAAATCTTACATATTCACACAAAAGCATGGAATCCTAAATTGTTGGACATGTTTGTAAAAGAAGTTGCAGAAAGGACAGTTGGTAAATATGATTATTCAAAGTAATTTTAGGATGAAATGCATATTCATGGTGTATGTAAGGATTTGTTTAAATATTTTGATTTTTCATATATTAACAGAAATCAGAGAGACTTAACCACAACATACTAAATCAGAAACAACTTAATATATCAGTGTCTGTCACAACATACTAAATCAGGAACTCTCAATACATACTAAATCTGAGTCTGTCACAATATGAACAGAAAGTCTGTCACTACATACTAAATCAGAAATTCTGTCACAACAAACTACCTGGTAAAACAAAAATTCTGTTACAAAATAAAACAGAAAGTCTGTCACTACATACTAAATCAGATACAATCTACTAAATTAAAAAGTCTTTTACAACAAACTAAATCAGAATCACATCATAATAAATCAGAATCTGTAACAATATAATAAATAAGAGTCTGTCACAGCATGCTAAATCAGAAAGTCTGTCACAACATGCTAAATCAGAAAGTCTGTCACAACATGCTAAATCAATGTCTGTCACAGCATACTAAATCAATGTCTGTCACAGCATACTAAATCAATGTCTGTCACAGCATGCTAAATCAATGTCTGTCACAGCATGCTAAATCAATGTCTGTCACAGCATACTAAATCAATGTCTGTCACAGCATGCTAAATCAATGTCTGTCACAGCATACTAAATCAATGTCTGTCACAGCATGCTAAATCAAAGTCTGTCACAGCATGCTAAATCAAAGTCTGTCACAGCATGCTAAATCAAAGTCTGTCACAGCATGCTAAATCAGAAAGTCTGTCACAACATAATAAATCAAAGTCTGTCACAGCATGCTAAATCAAAGTCTGTCACAGCATGCTAAATCAGAAAGTCTGTCACATCATAATAAATAAGAGTCTGTCACAGCATGCTAAATCAAAGTCTGTCACAGCATACTAAATCAAAGTCTGTCACAGCATGCTAAATCAGAAAGTCTGTCACAGCATGCTAAATCAGAAAGTCTGTCACAGCATGCTAAATCAATGTCTGTCACAGCATGCTAAATCAATGTCTGTACAGCATGCTAAATCAGAAAGTCTGTCACAGCATGCTAAATCAGAAAGTCTGTCACAACATACTAAATCAAAGTCTGTCACAGCATGCTAAATCAGAAAGTCTGTCACAGCATACTAAATCAATGTCTGTCACAGCATGCTAAATCAATGTCTGTCACAGCATGCTAAATCAATGTCTGTACAGCATGCTAAATCAGAAAGTCTGTCACAGCATGCTAAATCAGAAAGTCTGTCACAGCATGCTAAATCAATGTCTGTCACAGCATGCTAAATCAATGTCTGTACAGCATGCTAAATCAGAAAGTCTGTCACAGCATGCTAAATCAGAAAGTCTGTCACAACATACTAAATCAAAGTCTGTCACAGCATGCTAAATCATAAATCATATAACTTTATATGAAAATCATTACATGATTGTATGAGTCAGCAAATTTGCATAAAATAATCAGATGTACAGAAAATTGAATAGAAATTTGTAAGACACATCTGTTAGAAGAGCGCAGTCAGAGAACATGATGATTTACCAAAGGTTTACAACAGAGATTCTGTATCTGTGTAGGTTACTGTGGAGCTGATCTGAAGGCACTGTGTACAGAATCTGCCTTGATTGCACTGCGGCGTCGATACCCACAGATCTATACAACATCAGAAAAGCTCCAGCTGGATGTCTCCTCAATCAGTGTCAGTGCCAAAGACTTTTTCTATGCAATGAAAACAATTATACCTGCTTCTCAAAGGTCTGTTAGCTCGCCTGCCAGATCTCTTGCCAACTACCTTCAACCAGTGCTCAAGAAATTGTTTACAGAAACACTCCAAACTTTACAGAATGTCTTTCCAATTGTTCTAGCTCAACTTTCGAGCCTAGATGCTCCAGGTAAGATTAAATGGTATAATTCTGATAATACATATGCATAATTTGAGTAACAGGAGAACGGCATCAGAAAATTGTGTCCATTTTAGTTTTGTTTTCTGCTTCACTTCCATTACTTTACATTAAGCTCCATTTAGCTCAATCTCAACAATGCAGTATAAAATGTTTTACACTTATATTGCTAAGAGGAGGTCTGTATCTTTTAAAATTAACATTATGATTGTAAGTGTTGGGAATCACTCCAAAATTCATGGTAGATCTCTTTTATATTTACTAATATACTCCCCAAAATAGAGAAAAATTGATGGATTTTCCTTTTGAATATCAAGCTTTCTACAAAATATCATTTAAATATAATTTATGTTAAGATTTATTTGTGACATTGTTTACTTTTCATATACATTGTAAATTTTTCATGTTCCAATAAAACCTTGATTGATTTGCCTCCTTTAGAGGATCAACAACCATGCATCAATTATAGATTAATCAGAAAATTTATCAATTATCATATCTGATTTATATTGTAGCCACAAGTTCTCAGGGAGATGGCAGCACTGCTATTGGTGATAATGATTTATTAAGTGACGATGATGACAACATGCCTAGTATATTTGAGCATCGTGGTCCTGGTCGGCGTAAAAGTCATACAGAAGGGACAACAAAGCAACAGTTCATTAGTTTTACTAGGTAGTGTTTGAACCATGAGAGTCTTATTTATGGGTTTTTTTTTTTCATTTTTCATAATTTTAGAAAGATTGTGTTTTAATACATGAAGAATAATTCTTGTCTGATGATTCTTCAGATGATTTAGGTTAAGATGAGAAATAACGTAAAGTGTTAAGGTGAAGCAAATATGTGGAAAATGTGAAGACCAGTTGATTTTCTAGTTCTAACAGAATTTTTTTTTGAGTGAAGGGGAATTTTTTCTTCACAGAAAACTATGCATGTCAAAACAATGTTTTAACCTAACAATATTAAATTTGTAACAACAGTTAGGAATTATGTTGCAAAGAAAAACAGGTTTGATTATCTAAACATGGACTTTTTAAATGAAGCTCCATTGATCATCAGAAGTTTCTAATATAACCTGATTAAATTATGCTTCCATCATTTTCATAAATTCCTATCTTGTTTGAGCAGTTACGCATACAAAGAACCGTCCACACACCGACCTCGACTTTTACTGGCTGGCACCCAAGGGCAGGGTCAGTCATCCCATCTAGCTCCTGCCCTTCTCCACTACATGGAACAGCTACCTGTGCATGTCATTGACCTCCCCTCCCTGTTTGCTGTTAGTGCAAAAACACCAGAAGAGTCCTGTGCACAGGTCAGTTGTGCTGTAATTTTTGTGCTGTGTATTCTTGTAGTTTTAAAGTCTTGATACTGATTTTAATATTCAGTTGATGCATGTACACAGGTTTAAACAATACCTGGTACAAGTGATAAAAATTGTTTCTTTGAAATAAAGGTCAGTAAAATGACTCTTCAATGAAGCCTGGTATACCAAGAACAATTTGTTCAGAGGTTTTCAGAGGGAAAAATGTTATAAAGTTTGATGTTGTCTCATATATCTTTACTGTGGGATTAAAAGTGCAATAAAGAAGTTACATTCTGAGAGTAAACATATTTCACTGTATTTCATAATTCCATTATAGTTCCTGAAGGGAGAACATATAAGTCACTGCTTTGTCTGTCTGTCCATCATAATTTTGTCCACAGTATAACAAATAAAACTATATAAGGAATCAACATCAAACTTAATAGGAAGATAGATCTCAATGAGAATAAGGGCAGTGCATAAGAACCATTACTTGCTTATTGCGCTTTGTTATTATTCATACTTAAATTTTGTCCCATTCAAGGTGCATAACCTGTCTGTGATGGCCCTTGTTTTGGAAATGTATACAAAATTTAACTTTATCAAGCTTATATACAGAGCATCATGAGAATGAGAATGGGTCTTATTAAGATAGGTTTATATCAAACCAAATGGTATGAATTACACTTCATAATGTCAATTTTTTTTAGATATTTTATATGAAAATACAAAAATTTTGAGATATATTATATGAAAATACGAAATTTACGTATATCTTTTTTTTTTCCCCAGATATTTCGAGAAGCAATGCGAAGTTCTCCAAGTATTGTGTACATGCCACATATCAATCACTGGTGGGGTGTTCTGGGTGACACACTTAAGGCAACCCTTCAGATGCTTCTACAGGACCTGGTGCCCACCACCCCAGTCCTTATTCTGGCTACCAGTGAACAGCCCTACAATGACCTTGACTTTCAGGTACTTTTGCTAGAGAAATCTTATTTTATTCCATAGAAAATAGAAACATCTCAGGAAAGAATGTTTGGAGCGAAATATTATTATATTGCTTTAGCTTAGACTTGCACTGCTTCATTTTGCAGCTTCAGCTCATGTTCAGTGTATATGCTGGAGAAGTGGTAACAATGACCAACCCAAGTGAGGCCGAAAGAAAAGCCTTTTTCTCTGATCTCATTCTCAATCAGACAAGACAACCACCTAGCCAGAAAACACAAGCTGGTAAGTTTATGACAGTGTCTGCATGTCAGTTCTTCAATTCTATCTTCTTATTGTATTCTTTGTTACTTTAAGTAAAAACAAGTTTTTTTTCTATCCTAGATGATTCCAGAACAGTTAAAAAGTTACAAAGTTGATATAAAATCACTTGAGTAAACAAGTCAAGTGTAGCTTATTTGGAAAGATGAATTCATTATTCTTACATTTACATTTGTGTATCACCTTTTAATTTACAATGTGTTAAAAAAATCATGTGAAGCATGCTGTCAATGTTGAAAGTGTTGTGCTTTACAGAAACTAAAACTAAGAAAGGGAAGAATCCACAGAAAAGCATTAATAAAAAACAAGGAGGTACAAAATCAGATGGTTGTTTAAAAATACACATTATAATCAGTGTTCTTTTTCTACCTGATATTTGCAGCAGAATGTGCCTGTATTAATCAGGGAAATATGAAAATAAGAAATATTTTCTAAGAAATTGGACAAGAACTTTAATTTAGTGAAAATGATACTTCTTAGAAGGGGAAAACAGCTTGTTTTGGCTGGGAAAACAGGGCGAGAAATATCACTGATAATACTATTGTTCTTTGTGTTTTGTTATTTGTAAAGTTCTAGAGTTTGGTTTCTTTGTATTGAATTTCATTTAGGCATGGACCTGTACACTTATTTTCTTCAAGTGTGTAACATGGTACGTGTGCTTGATTCAAGTTACTCTGATCTGAATTCTGTGTAGCACTGAATTAACACTATCAAAATGAGAATTACTGAATATGAGCTGGTATTAAAAATTGTTTCAAGTAAAAACGAAAGTTTTAGGCTCCAAGCAGATCACTTATCCCATGCTTTGTCTGTATAATGTTCCTGATTGGCTGATAATGAGTAGGAATTAGAGATTTCTGTGTATTCTTAAATTAGATTTGTTTGGAAAATAACAGAATTTTTCTGTTTGAAAGAATTGGCATATTGTGATTTTGACAGTAAACAAAATCACTAAGAATTACTCTGGAAATATGATATTCTGTTTCGATATTAGAAAATACCCAAAAAAATTTTCAAAAGTTTCTGTCGACTTTTTTTTAAAAAATCATTTGTTTTGCAAATTTGAAAGCAGTGGTAGTTTTTTGGGATTTTTTCTCATGCATTTTCAGCAAGGCGACTTTTAGAGGTCCTACCCAAAGCCCCCGCCCCAGAACCAAGGAAACTGACAGAAAAAGAACTTGCAGCTCTGTACAATCAGGAGGAAGCTACACTGAGAGAATTGCGTCTCTTTCTCAGGGATGTCATCAACAAACTGGGACGTGACAGGAAGTTTCAAATTTTTGCCAAACCTGTTGACTTAGAAGATGTAAGTTATTATTTTTATACTTCTGCAGCATAGTTACGTAATGATAAAAGATTAAAGTTGGCCCTTTCATTAACTTGCTAACCTTCATTCAAGACTGTTCAAGTGTCATTGCAATATTGGTATTAATTAAACCCACACAATTATAATGGAGGCCTGTCTTTTGGACCTATATTTTCCTCTTCACTGACATTTTTCAGACTAAAAGCATCTACATATATTACCAAGAAGGTTTTACACATGCACAGTTAGTTTTCTGGTTATAATATCAAATATTCAATATCTAATATAAAACTTGATACAATTCCCAAGATGGAGGTTGTTGGCAAGCATTTGAATCAAATGTTGATGTACTGATGCATATTATAACATCAAGCTTTAGTTTGACTCATGCTGACAATTACAATTACTAACTCAGAAAGGGGTCTTACTGTTATCTTATGAAGCTATTTCTGAATCAGTGGTAGCCATACTATTAGTTAAATTAAGATGCTGGTTTGACTACAATTTCATGGAAAAATGGAGAACATTTGTTGCAAAGGTATATAAATTTAAAAGTCAAATTTTAAGTCAAATACATCAAGGAAACCTCTTCATATTTTGTAGACTAATGCATTCCTAATTTTTATTCACTAATTGCAACGAAACTTGTTTCATTTTAGGTGCCTGATTATACTGAGATCATCACAAATCCAATGGATCTATCTTCCATGATGTCTAAAATAGACAGCCACAGCTACCAGACTGCTAAGGAATTCATGAGTGATGTAAATCTTATTTGTAGGAATGCCTTGGAGTACAATCCTGCCACAGACCCTGCTGGTATGTATATTTGAATATATATAAGGACTTTATGTAAAAAGGGCTTCCGTTGTTACTAAAGTGTCCTCCATGATGAAACATACCAATGGTGTCAAGATCACTATATACAGAATTGCTGCTATGAAATGTTGTGATAAAGACTGCAGGCATTAAACTATGTGGTATTGAAATGAAAAGTTATGGTCAGATACATTTAGATCAGGAAAAAAGGTGAGGAGTTGGGGATATACTTATGCGAGCCCCTGTTCACTGTGCTCTCTTCTTTTTCTAACAGGATGTTTCTGCAGATAACACTTTCATCTAACAGTAATGGTATTATTGTAGGCAATAACAATTGAAATTTGCTCCCAATCATGACAGTAATACATATTCATAGTGTTACTAGCGATTCATATGTATGCTCCATTCAGTAAAAACACTACAGAGTTTTGACATCAGTAGGAGGCAAGTTTATCAGAAATCTTCAAGAAATCATGAGATGATATCTGCACATTTCAGGACGAGCCATTAGACACCGAGCCTGTGCTCTGAAGGACACAGCTAATGCCATCCTCAATGCTGAATTAGATCCAGAGTTTGAGAAATCCTGTCAGGAGATTGTAGCCTCCAGAAAGCGAAGAGGTATATTGTATAGTCCTCTCTCTCTCTCTCTCTCTCTCTCTCTCTCTCTCTCTCTCTCTCTCTCTCTCTCTCTCTCTCTCTCTCTCTCTCTCTCTCTCTCTCTCTCTCTCTCTCTCTCACACAGAGAGTGTATAAATACTTCTAGCTCTGGTACAACTTGTACTTAAACTTTGTTATTTACACCATCATTTGTTGGTCATTGATCAGTGTTAACAACATAACAGGATGATATTTCAGAGTATTTACATGTGTAAAGAATCTCTTGGTAATGTAAAGAATGATCCAATGGCACAACAAACTTGGGCTCTTTGCTTGTATTTGGAAATTGGATATACCTTTTTCCTCATATGTATTGGTTTTTTAACTGCTTGGTGTAAAAAAGTCTTGAGTGTGAAGATTGCTCAGTTGTTTGAGCATAGAAGCAAAACCCAACTCTGGTGTTTTTCCACAAGAGAATGTAAAGAGCTGAAATTGGTTCTAATCACATGGTTTTTGACGTATTGAAAATTTGATTGTTGTTTTAGGTATAAATCCATCAGATTCAGCACCACAGTTCTGCCACACATTACCAAAGAATTCCCATACACCTACCTCCTCTAGTCAACATACGCCTGTAGCAAGGGCTGACGATGGTCATCGCACAAGTCGCCGGGCACGTGGTCTTAATGCTGAAACATCATTGGATCTAGAAATGGTTGAGGCTCAGTGGAGATTAGAAAAGAGAAAATCTTCTCCAGTTAAGAAAGAGAATGAGAACTCTAAAGTGTTATCAAAAAAGCAGCTTTCATCTTCAAAGAAAGCCATTCATTTTACAACTCCGTCTTCACATAAAAGTCGTCCAAAGAAAAAAATAGTGTGGAGTTACACAAAACGTCGCAGGAGAAAAAGGAGATTCAATTTTGAAAATGAAACAAATACAGAAGGAGAGGAGGAGGAGGAAGAGGAGGAGGAGGAGGAAGAAGAAGATGCAGGAGAGGAAAAGGACCACAGTATTTCTGTTGATCTGACTCAAGAACTTCACATAACACCAGTGTCTCACAGAGACTTGTCACCTAGAAGTAATAATGAAACTTCACCAAGGTGTGATTTATCACCAAAAGGACAAGTGTCACCTGTAGGTAGGAGGCGGACCCACTCTCCCCGCACAAAGGACATTGATCAGCACAAGCACTCGCCTGGCATACCTAAGGCAAATTCTTGTTTGATATCAGATGATGAATCCAAAATGGATGTCTCTCACGGAGATGTGAAAAACTCTCCAGTGTTTAGGAAAAGAGTTGGAACACGGAGATGTAGTGAAGGACATGACGAAGTAGAACAATCAAGTAGTTTACAAAGCCCAAGTGCTAGTGTAACATGTGAGCAAGAATCTCAGGATGAAAATACAACCACCAAAGACAAAATAAATACCTCAAAAAAAAAAGAAGCTGCTTTAGAAGAACATGTAACAGCAGGCAAGGACACACTATCTAAAGACAGCATATTGTGTGTTAATGGGGAAGTAGACAGTGGAGTTGGTAGCTCAGTGGATAGTAATGGTGACTCCTTGGATGGTGTTGACCAGGCCAAACAGCTGAGGGGAAAGGTTAGTTTCTGTATGTAAACCTTTTTTTAGCTCACCTGGCTTTCAGGGCCAAGTGAGCTGTAGGGATAGCTCAGCGTCCATCTGTTAACTTTTTCTACATATCGCTACTAGTAATCATCAAAGAATTAGATTTTAACGAAATTTTATCAGAATCATTGTTAGGGGAAGGGGAATTAATATTGTATAAGCAACGAGTCTTGGCCCCCTGGGGCCTAAGGGGCAGGCTCAAAAGTTCTTTAAAATCAGCCAACTTTCAAAACAGTATCATGTTTGCATACTATTGTTATGAGGCAGTCAAGTGTTATATTAAAAATCTAGTAGAATTGACAGACAACTTGTGCATAAAAATACTCAAGATTTGTGTCAATTACGAATTATCATTGCTCTGGTTTGCAAAGGATTCTCCAAGGTGGTACAATATGGCTGAATGCAAAAATTATGTGGTCATTGAGTCTATCTACAAGTTGGCAACAGTGATAATCAGTGACAGTAAGAGTGATAAAGGCACATCAGAAAATATATTTTGAAATAATTGATATAGTTAGTGACATTATAGATATGACTACAATGCACCTTTTTACTTAGATTGAGTAATGGAGAGTTTAATTTTCCTTGATCAGTGGAGGCACTTTACACTGTGTATCACACTCAAGGATAGCACCTTTTATTATATATCTTCAAATTCCTAATAAAGTCATTGGCATCAAAAGACATGTATTATGATTATAAAACATTAATACAAGAAGTTTCAGTTTCATATATGAAATGACAATTTTACTCTATCAAGAATGCTAGCTTGACACACATGTGTATGTTTCATGCCAAATACCTTGGGTTATTGTGATGTATCTTCAGAAACTATTGCCTAAAATATTGAAACAAGTTAGTGACATCATCAGAGGTATTGTTAAAATGATTATAATACATCCTTGTACTGATTTTAATGTTAATGTTTGTAAAATTGGTTGAGTTGCGGAAGGATCAATTTTCCCGATCACCAATGGTACAAGTGTGTATGTATATCACACTTGAGAGCTGCGTCATCTTGTTATATGTTGATTAAATAGGGAATAAAATCAATTACAAGAAAGAATTCAATGCATAATTGTTTTAGGACTTTAATCAGAGTCATATATTTAACAAGTAAGCGTCTCTGATTTTATATTCCTTGTCAACACAGTTAGCAATAACCAGGTAATTATGATCTTTGACGGTGAAATTTTCTTTCATGTCTTGCTGACACATGGTCCGTGTGCCAGCTGACTGGAACTGAGGCCTCAACTCTGTATTGCAAGCGATCGGTATGCAGAGCATGAAATGTAGGCAACTGTACTTTGTCAAAGAGCAATGGCTTTTCAATAAACATTTTGATAAGATTATTGCTCAAAGACTACCATTTCGCAAGCAGGCAAGCACACATCTTCTCTAGTGATATTCATTGTGAAATTTTATATGACGTTAACTTGGATAGTTTGTATTGATATATACAGTAATAATTTTGTTTATTTTTAGCTCACCTGACCCAAAGTGTACTATCAAATGTTTTAGTATTTTGAGAAAAAGTTTTTTTGTTGTACTTATAGACAGCAACTGAGGCAACTGTCCATGGAAAGGAGAAGGAAAATGAAGATCAGACAAAAAATCTGAAGACTGTAGAACAGGAAGATAGAGGTACAAGTGTATTACTGCTTTTATGAAAGTATACATAAGGAAAATTTCCTGCAGTTTCACTTTCATATGTTTTGCCCTTGCATTTGGTTAAAATATATATGTTTTTCAGTTAAAGCAAATGATATAGGACATTTTGTATTTAAGGGCAAATTTAACACTGCAAGATTTCTATAAAAGGGCTAAAAAGACCTGGGTAAATATTAAACTGTTTTCTCAAGTGTTTTGATAAAAGAAAAAAAAACATGTGAAGCTGGAAATTTGTGGCACATTGCATACTGCAAAAATTGCCAAAACTGAAATTTTGATAGAATTGGATTCATAGTCAATGTGAAACAAACGTTGGTTCAATAAGCGGCACTCTGAATTATTATGTAGTAGAGCTGAAACAAATGTTTGAATGTTTGCAAATGAACACTTATTTTCAGAACATTCAAAGTAAGAAAAGGTAATCAAATATTCGCAACAGTTTACCTCCCCTTATCACAAACATGGAAAAGGTTTAGGTTTGGTCTGGGAATATTTCACAATTCCAGAGTGAGCTAAAGCTGAATGTAAGCTATGCCCAGTAATGTCAGCTATGCTCGGTGGTTATATAAATATAGTTTGCAATCTATGAAATTATAAACGACAGATTGATGGAGACGCTTAAATGAAACATAGCTGGTTTAAACGCCCAACTGACTGATGAAAATTCACCATGTGAGCAGTTTGTACTGTTGCTTTTTTCAGCATGGGTGCATGTTGTAGTGTCAATAAGTAAATTTATGGCTTTTGTACAATTCATTGATCAATTAATTTTCTACTTGCTCTTGATAATTCAGATGTTTTAATACTTTTCCCAGTTTTAATTGAAGGTATGTTCTATTGAAATTAAACCTGAAACTTCTGACATATTTTCCCCTTTTCATAAGTTAAATGAAATCAATATTGATTAGTAAGATAAAGTGATACCTAGGTGAGTATGTGTTCATGTACATGATTGTTGGCATTACCGTCTGAATATTCAAATACCTCTCAAATACATTAAACGAATATTTAAATGGCAAAATCAGCTATTTGTTCAGTGCAATTTTAAAGGTTTGTATTTAATTACAGAACTATCACCAGGAATACGGATGACAAGATCACGACTCCAGACCAAGGAACAGGAGCGAGCAATGGCCATTCTGGAGGCTCCCTCTCAACCTGTGGTCATTGATGAGGATAAATTGGCCTGTTTATTGGAAACCTTGGTCAGAATCACAGAGAGCTTTGATGTAGAGAAACTGGAGAAATTGTACAGTATGCTTAGTCAGTGTATCTACCACCACAGAGAGGAGTTTGACAAAACTTTGCTGACAGAGGTTTGTATAATAGTGTCATTTTTAGCTTACCTGATCCAATTGGGGGTGGGGGGATCACATTTTGGGGCCTGATGGATGGGGCCATATAGGAGAAATAGAGCAAAGTCCTTCTCCTGTAGAAATGATTTGAGCCAGATTTGGTCTGAAGCATTCTTTGGTGAAAGGGAATCAATCTGTATAGACCAAGGGTCTTGTCCACCTGGAGCTATTTTGCCTAAATTTGGTCTGAAGCATTCTTTGATGAAGGAGAATCTTAGGTTTGGCCAGAGTGGGGAAATTGAATGAACTCTTTAAAATCCTTCTCTTCCTGCAGGAATGATTGGATTTTGCCCAAATTTGGTCCAAAGAATTGTATGGTGAAATCAATGCTGGCATTTAGAACTCCTTTTCCTTTAGTTTTGATGAAGTGATTTCAGCCAAGCAAAGTCAGGTCAGCGATACAGGCCCTATGAGCCTCTTGTTATTAGATAGTAAAACTTCTATAATAATGATAATGCTAAGATCGCCACTACATTAGGAACTGCTCAACCTTTATGGTGGAAGCAGACTCATCAGTAGATGTAGTACCTGTGGCTGTTTATGTTTTTCGGGAAGCTGAGAAACAGACTGATCTGAGATGAGATAGTAATGTCCTTTGGCATCTTACCATTATTGTACTGGTTGGCATGCCACAGGCCTCCTTATGTTGTTTAGTGAGAAAGCCTCCAGCTAGTGTAAGGAGACCCCACTTCATATTAACACTGGCTGTTCATAGAGCATTAAACTCATGAAACAAATAATGTCTACACTTGACTATTGACATCAGTGAAGAATTAGGAAAGTGTGGTACTAGTGGTAGTTAATGAATTGTAACATATTTATTGCCTGCATTTTTTATGTTCATATGTACAATTTTTGTCACCACAAATTGTTTTTGGAAAGAAATCCCTTCAATGACTACATCTCTTTAGGAAAAACATTCTAAATTTTTTTTCTTTTTTTCAGAATCTTGAAGACTGTGTAAAACGCTTCAGCCACTATGTGAGCAATTGCACTGGATCTGTGTAACCAATCAATACTGCAGGGAATTACTCAATTAACAGTCTTTCATTTTAAAGATCACAGGAATTTGGGCAAAATAAACCTTCGCCCAGGAGCTTTTTGCTGTGTTGTTGGAACAGTGGTAATATTATATCTCTTTAATTGAAAGAAATCAAGTGTTTAACATCCAGAATAGTTGAATCAGTATTGTAAGTGAAGTAAGAGATTATCAACTGGCCGGGCCTAGTCCATGCTAGAGTCCTAGATCATCTGATTTCTTGTCATATTAAAAATCCCAAATACTGATCGCTGTGAGTTACATTCATTCCAACAACATAGCAAAGAAAGACTCTAGCAATCTAGCTATCACACTGCCAATGAGTGGATTTTTTTTTTTGAGAAGTATTATAATGTTGAATGATGTGAACATGTTGATTTTGATATAGATTATATTTTTCAAAGTAAGATGATTTGAGGTTATGCATGAAATTGATTATGTATCTGATCACTCATAACAGTTTAAATTTGTATGACAAGTTTAAAATGCATGTTGTAAGGAATAGTTTGACCATCTTTGGACACGTTGAAAATAGTATTAAAGGCAACCTAAATGAATGGTGAAGGTGACAGAAAATACATGTTTGAAAAATAAATGCCAAAATATATTTATTAAATGTAGAATTGAGGGCGAAAACTTTTTTATCTAAAAAATAATTGAGAGTAGTAGTGACTCAATGTTGTCTTTGGGACACAGCAAATGGCATCAACTTTTTTCCCTCACACTTATATAAAAAATTTTGAACATCAATGATATATTTAAATTTAGTGCCTTTTATATGAGATTTTTTTTTTTTTTGAGGTCACTGTACTGTAATGATTAACTTACCTCTCCATAGAAAATTCAGTAGACTTGAAAGTTGGTCGTTCAATTGACCTTAGATAGGAATCTACTTAACATCCTGTGAAAAGTGTAAACATCTTGGGGTCCATTGGAGCATAGGATTAAAACAAACAAGTCAATGAAACTTAGAATTTGGCTTGATTTCAGTATTAAATGTTTAAGAACAATTCCGGACAATTTATAATTCTTTAATAAGTGTGTATTGATATTATTCACTTCTTTCATACACATGTCTACTCTAGTATATGCACATCATACATTTTGTGTGGAAATTTTGAGTGAGAAGGGTTTGTTTGTTTGTTTGTTTGCACATTGATTTGGATGAGAAAGATATCAAAATATCTGAAAGAAAATTAGAGACAGATATAGAGACAAAAGACAATTGATTTAACTTTTAAACATACTGCCTTATTTTGTAAATGTGCTATCATATTGTTTGCCCCATTTTCTGTTGTATTTTTATATTGCTAAAAGATTTTTACAAACTTTCTGTCGTATGTGGACATATGTATGATGTGTGTTTTGGTAGTTGTGTTTTTTTCTTCTGAAGAAACTTGCCTCTGAATAAAGCAGGGACCAGCAGCTTCATCTGTATTTACTGATTTCTGGGGACCTATGTATAGCCTGTATATATATTTACTGAAAAAAATATCAATGTGATGTATATAATAGTAATTTATTTCTTGTTTAAAACCTGTAATCAGCATGTTTGGTTGGGGTTGTTTTTTTTTTGGTACAATATAAAAGATAATCTGTCTGTAGAATTCCACTTAGAGGGAAATGGGGTTATCAATAAAATGTGCACTAAACTATAAACAGTTTTATGCCTTCTTATATCAGATACACAAATTCATTTTGAAAATTATGAATGACACTAATAAAAAATTTAAAAAATACAAATGACGTGCAGTAATTAGAAATCTGTTGTGTTTATTAGATCAGTTTTACACATAAGTGGGTTTTATTTTCAAAATTGAGAAGTGGAAAAACATGTTTGACAATATTTCAATTCAATTGAAGTTAACAAGATCTCATAAGTAGATACAAATGTTGAGTGAGGCTCAGCGAGATAAACGAGTGATAAAGATTGATTTTATGCATCAGTAACTTTGTAAATGAATTGCCCTGTAGAAGGTTCAGCATGAAATACGATCAGACGATTGTCTATTTTAGTGCAATAAGTATCTATTTTTCTAACATATGTAATGCGTCATTTACATATTAAGTAATCTGCAAATGTTTGTGTAATACAAGTGCTACCTATTTGGCAGTAAAACAGCAAAGGGTAAAACATTGATTTGACCCATGAATTCCGAAATAGATCTCTTCCCTTCAAGGTGCAGTTTCCAAAGTAGAAACTTTATTCTACCTCTTGTCTGTTGTTGAGATCTCCCTATCTGAAGCCTAAATGGGTGAAAGATTCTATTAATCATTCAATTTTAGTGCTCTGACAGTTTATTATGAAATGAAACTGGGGGAAAAAAAGAATGCTTTTTCTATGGATATGTTTTATTCAGAAAGGGATTGGTGGGGTGGGGTGGGGGGGATGGGGGACACACACTTACATAAAGGTTTGTGGTAACTCTTTTGGGATATTTGTATATTTTTTATTCTAATGCTACCTCCGATACTATACCAGGTAATATTAACTGTTTTCTGTTGGTAAAGGAACTTTTCTCTTGTGAATATTTTTTCTCTAACAAAATAATTGGACAATAACCTCTTGTAATTTGTATTAGAAGTTTCTTTTCTAAATATAAGAGGAAAAAACCTGAAAAAAATAATGCTGTATATAAAATCTGTAATGTTATGTACCATTAATGAAATTCCTTTTAACATTGGATAATGATACTCTAATATGTTAATTTATTGGTTCTGTTGGTTTTACCCAGTTGTTATTATCACAGTTTATAGATTTATTCAGCAGGTATGGTACTATTTATTTTTATTGATGTTGTTGCTCAAAAGGGAATTTATTCTGGTTTCTGGCAGTAAAATGACTTGTCATTTTCTACTGTATAGCTATATATCGATGCCTAGAAGAAAAAAAAACACAGTGTATGAAATCAGGTACTGATTGTTCTATTTTTAAATGTGATCTCAGGTAAGGATTCTTTGCCTTCCATGGAGTTTGAAGTCAGTAGCTGTAGCAGTGTTTCCAAATCATTCTCCGATCTCATCAAATTATGCCACCAGTCTGTTTTATTTATACTGCATTAACCAGTTTTGTCCAGCTGTGTAATGATGTATGGACGATACTCCTGTATATTTATCGAGTGTTTTATATTAAAATCTGACCACATGTGTTAATCTGTATTTAAATGTCTACGTTGCTGTTTTATTTTTGCTTGTGAATTTGATTGTGAATTAACAACAACAGAAACGTTGGTGCTGTGAAGGTTATATTGAATTCCACAGTGTAACATCTGCTGGCATTGGGCCTTTGATGCTTGTAATCAATGAAAGCTTTCACCGGAAATAAATTTTGTGAAGCATGCAAGCAATTATCTGAAAAGATCTTCAAAGAATAAGATAAATAAAATCCTGTTACTGAGTATCATCATTTAAGGAAATGTACCAGTGTGGTGATAGTATATTTAAAAAAAAAAACAAAAACAAAAAAAAGCTGTTTCATTAAGAGGGTTAGTTATATGATACTTTACCTATGAAAATTGAAAATTTTAGAGGACATAAACTTTTTAGGGTTAGAAAGTCCTTTGGAATTGATGATTTTCAAGAATGCTAAAATGTGTGCACTTGGAAAGTTTTCAAATGAAATTTTGTTTTCCTCCTATGCAGTTCTCAACTTTTTTTAATTTTTGGGCATATTCATAATCATCATTCCTTCACTGACATAATAGAATTGACATGATTGGTGTGATCATTCTATACTCTCATATTGTGTACAAGGTATACCTGATGGATAAGTGATGTGTGTATGACATTTCAGCTGTCATTTGTATATATTAAATACTAGTATGTACATTAATATTGGTTGTGTTTATTTCATTGTCATAGTAAAACTATATCCCTGCTAAGTGCCTTAGGTAGCCACTATTCAAATCAGCTTCAGCTATGGAACAATGAACTTCACTAAGAGTAATGGATATGCTGAAATATGTTGTCATCTGTTGTCATAATTTGGGCTAATCCTTAACTGAACTTTCCGATCAATTTTAAATCAAAATTTGATTTGTAAAAGGAACTGCCTACTGAAAAAGGTAAAATTATAAGCGAAAAGGTTAACAAAAAAATTGCATATCAATGGACTGGATATTCATTACCAAAGTAAGAGGTATTTGTAACCTGAGACTTGTAACCTGAGTTAATTGTGGTGAATACCAGGCACATGGTAGATTGATGACAGTTGAAAATGAAGTCTGAGGCAATAAAGATGGGACTTACGTATATGATTTTAGCAAGCATTGCATCACCCAAATTGAAACTAAATTCAAGGCATAGTCAGTGAGTCAGAATTAATAGGTCATATGTCTTATGATGCATGTATTGATGTAAATGGACATTGCACAATTAAATAACTGGAGAGACTAGGGTCCTCTAGCAAACGGAAATCAGGTTGTCAATACTTTTATCAGCGGACCTGTCCAAACAACTTCTGAGGTCAAATACTGTTGGAATACTCAAAAACTTTTCAGAACTCAAAACAACAGGCCAAAAAGGTCTGCATCACCTCTTGTTATTTATATTTTCCAGAAGTAGTAGGTATTACCATCTCACAGCATTGAGTGTAATCAAATGAATTATCTTTACCTATTCCAAGGTCATGGTAGTCAAAGTTTTTAAAATGTTTTAGACTTCTTTGTGAACACACACATCAGGGGCATAGACCAGTGGCCACTGGAAGGAAAGACAATCACGTATCTTCAAACAGATGTTTTTGACTCATTTTAAAGGTCACAGGGGCAAAATGTGTTAATGGCTTTGTACAACTTTTTACAAATTTATACACCCCAAACACTTCTACAAATGTCCCCTTCAACTAAGAAACTAAAGAACTATCGATACCTTTCCTCCAGCCACAGGGATAATATTATGCCTGCATATTAGGCGTCCAATAACTTGATCCATGTCTACAAACATTATTACATTTCCTGTTTATAAAAAAAAAAGGACCATGCTCGCTTGACAATGAAGAAAACCACACCTTCATTTCATGCTATCTTTCCAAAGAAGAAATACTGGCTAATTATGCTTAGATATTATGGTACAATCATCTAGATGCCTATTAATGATAAGGATATGGACCTGCCTCATTTATACTGGATACTTTACTTCACAAGAATCCATATAAGCAATGTTTTATTGCTGGCTTGTCTAGCTGTAAGCCTTTTTCAAAACTACTAATCACCATTCTTAGTACTGTCAATCTTGGTTAGTCTGATTGTGTTACTATTGAATTCCACTCTTGAGTAGACAGTAAGTGGATTTTAAAGAACTCCAATGAACTTTTTCTAACAAAAAAGAACTATACACCACCATACCCCATTCTCAACTGAAAAAAGCTTTCCTTCTCTTGTTGTAAGAGCTTTCTTTTCCAACAAAGGTAAACAGTGGTAAATATATAGTTGTGAACTACACTGAAGCATATTTTAAAAAAAAAAAAAAAAAAAGAGATAATATATTCAAATCAAAGAAGGAAAACATGGAAAATGAAATCATAAAAATGTTTCTGGTTGATAACATTTTCGTCAATTTTGGTGGTATATAGGCATACCTATGGGAACTAACGGTGCCCTTCCCTTAACTGACTTTTTGTTTTCATAGGAGCCTGAATTTATTGAACAGTTTATCAAAACAGGTCACAAAGACCTTACTAAGTAGTAGATAACAAGAAATTTATTTATCTTCATTGTATATATGCCCACCAGAATTGGAAATCAAAGATATAACACTCTTCTACATCAACCGCTTACCTGGAATTTTTCCTACAGCAAAACCAACATGGACAGCTTTCCACAAAACTGTATGGTAAGCATGATGATTTTGATGCCCCTGATGTGTTGAGGAAGTTTCACGTTTCATCAGTGATGAGAGATATTCTATTTCTTTGTGCAATATGAAGCTAGATATGTTTGATGAATTTTGTTTGCCTTTTGATTCCCTTGTTGTATAGCTTGTTCTCATTTGAGAACATGACATTAATTACTTTGATTTAACAAGGTTTACTTTTTAGGTGTTGTTTATGAAGCAGAAGATGCTTACTCTTGCAGAACACCTGGTCATATTCTCCTTGTATTTTTTCTGGATTCCCTGTTTAAAACTTTCTTTTGTTTATATTTTGCCCTAGTTTTATTGAATTTGAGTTTGGATTATGATTTTGTTGACATGTTGGTATTTTATCTTTGTTTTATGGCCCAGTACCTAAGGCCATGGGCCAGGAGCCTAAACAATCAACTAATTTCAATAACATCAGGGTCTTGTACGTTATGATTAATCAGTCCCATTGATAAACTCCGAGATTTAACCATTTTCCATCAAAATATGCAATATCCAGTCTAATTACCATGACCATAGGTTATACCATAAGAGGAATTGTACACTCCTGCTGATGTATGATGGAATTCATTATACTTGGTACATAATTTGACATGTCATTCATGTAACCTATATTCAGACTTATTTTGACAATGATGACATGTTTTCACTACAAAGACAACCAAAATGTGACTATGACATCAAAATGTTATTACATGTGTCTAACAATATTTGCCTTGATAACAGGTCAGTTATATGACAAATATAGATAGAAGTGTATTCCAAGTTTCATTATGACAGCTTATAGCAATTAAATGCAAATCTTAAAGATGGCCAAGTCCAATAAATTGTCAACTACATGAATATGTAAAATCTTAATTGAAAATATGTACCAACATCTTCTCCTTCCTTCCCCTAAAGGTGTTTTTATCAAAATTTGAAAAAAAAAATTGTCATTCCTACAAAAGATTTAAGGTTTTACTTTCCCAAGGATGCTGCTGACCAAATATGGTCAAAATTCCCTCTGTTCTTCAATGATGGATAGATGCAGCCCAAAGACATAAGCATCAGCATGAGCCAAAACAAACAATCCAAATATTCTAGTTCATATTCTCACAATTTTAATATAAATAATTATATACAAATGTGATGTATCACAGTTAATATGAAAAAATGAGATTTTAACATGAATTTCACTTGTGTAATCATATTACAAAAGTGAAATGCAGTGTAGCAATGACAATGTCAACATCAATTAGTATATTGTTCGTAACCTCCATATCACTGATTTGTCCCACTGAGTAATTCTCCACAAAATCACAACAACAAAATTTAATTGACTTGGATGACAGTCTATATCATTTTACATCCAACTCAGCAGACCACTTAGCACTTCAAACCGGACATTAAGTATCTTTGATGACACTCCATCCTAGTCTTTAATGATGTCAAAAGGGAAATCAATCCAGATGTTCTTTATATACATGGCTCACTGAATGGACAGATCTAATTTGATTCCCATCACGATGACGGATATCTTTCCACAATCATAGCATGGCCCTTAAAAAAGAATTAAAAACAATGATTCAAATATACAAGATTGTTACATACTATATGAATAATGAAACAGTTCAGCAACACTTGTCAGATTCTACAAAACTATACGTTATCGTGTAGGTGTTCATTTGTAAATTTCTACAGAAAAGAAATGCTTCCTCCTCCAATTTTTCTATTTCATAAGAAAATGCATTGAAAAGAACACGTTTGAAATGGATTTATGATCAATCAAAATGCACATGGTTGTAGCAATTTTGTTCAAGAGCGACCAAATTTTATGTTTAGTTTTTTCAAAAGACAAAACAATGCAGTTTAAACTTACAATGCCTCCAGCTGCACACGCTGCCACAAGTCCAAACTGTCCATCTTCTTTAGCGAGACGATGAGCTGCTGTGGTTACTAGCCGGACTCCTGTTGCACCAAATGGGTGGCCGAGAGACAGTGATCCACCCCACAGGTTAAACTTGTCCATGGGGATGGCGCCAAACTGTTAGAAATGACAACAAAACATAACGCCATTCATTTATAGTTTGCAGAGGTCATACTTTTATTTGAAAAGAAAAAAAAAAGATTGGAATGATATTAAACATGTATATATCAAGAAGGGGATTGCTGTGTCTTCAAAGTCAAACGGAGGTTCTCAATACAGTTATTTCACATTATAGTTGATGAAAATTACTCCTTACTCCTACTTACAAGAGCATTTAAAGTTCTTTTGGTTGTAGTGATTCATATTTTTACATTTTAAGCTGCTACACCTATACATTATTATACAATGTATGTTAGAATAAACAGGACTAACCCTCCCAAACCCCCATCTGGTTGTTCTTTCCAACATTTGACAAAGACCATACCTTTCCACTTCTCTTCATATAGTTTTGTGCAAACCAATCTGAATCCAAGGCTTTCAAGTTGGCCAGGATCTGACCCTGAAAAGATTGTAAAAATATTTATCAATACTGTAGACCTTATTGCAGTAAATATTGATTTTAACCTTCAATAAACAATCTTCACATTAGTATGAAGTATATGTTGATAATGTATTTGATTTCTCTTTGGAAGTCTTATCTACAGTCTTGTTAAAATTCCACTCACCAATGGTTCCCTGTTATTTTAATATTTGTATTTATTCATAATTTGACATGTAATTACTTTCTGTAGATTTGTTTTCATATCTGTTGATTCTATTTCCAATTAAATGACAAGACACTTACAGCAAAAGCTTCATGGTATTCAAAAACATCTATGTCTGACATGGTGAGTCCAGCTTTCTCCAGGATCTTTGGTGTTGCATATGCTGGTCTGTGAAAAAGTAAAGAATTTGATGAAAATGCTCTAAATATGTACCAAAGCTTTCATGACAGTACAATATGCAGCATCACTTAAATGGAGCTAAAAGCAAGATTTGGAATACTGATGAGGATAATTACAAACTTTTACAGTTTTTATTCAGCATTCGGACCATGTCTGGTAATAAGCTCACCCATATATTTTGTTATTAAGAAAATCACAAACCATTGTTACATCATTGTTCTGTAATAACACTGTCCCTTGTTTTTGTGGAAGAAGTAACATATTGACTCCCTGAGTCTATTGCTAGACAAATAAAATAGGTAGGATTTAAAAAGAATTAATTCTGTCTAAACTCCAAAAACAGAATGACTGATCATAATTTCAAATTATATCTCAATGAAATATAACCTGATTACAATAGCTAAACTCTTCACCCAGTTACAATACCCCAAATGTGTCCACATTGACATTATTATACATAAACAGTAGGTACTGTATAGAAATCACAATGGTTGTCCTCTATGAGAAAGGCCTCAAACCAAATAGAGACAGTTGTCTGGTCACAAGCAACTCACCCCAGCAGTAATTGGTCCTTGGGATCCTGAGAAACATACAAGAAGTCCCTCAGGTAAGCTTTAGGTTTAAATCCTAAAGCCAAGGCTTTCTCTTCCTCCATAATCAGACATGCTGAGGCACCGTCAGTCTAAATGAACATAAAACTCACTTATATACAAATAATCAAGATCAGAGCTGCAAAATGTTTTGTAAGTTTCCAAATAAGTAAAAAATCTTTGCAAATACTGTCCTATGCTGAAGTCTAAAATGTCAAATTAATGAAAATCAAATGGATGAGAGCTGTGCATTCAATGTAATATTTATGTAAAATTATGATCATAATTCTGATTACAAAGCACGGTTCTATAAAACTATTTCATATGTTAATACAGGTACAATCATTGATTCAGTTCCTTCTGGTTTCCTTCACAATTACAAATCTCAACAGCATTCAAAATATGCATGAACTCTGTGTGTATGTTTTAATTGCAATCTCACCAGAAATGATGCGTTTGCTGCTGTGCTTGTGCCATGTGGTTTGATGAAGGCTGGCTTCAGACTAGACAATTTTTCCATCGATGATGGCCTGACGCCATTGTCTCTAGTCACTGGTTCTTTTACGCCTGGTACTTTGTAAGAGATGACATCAGAGAGAAGTCCCTTCTCTGTTGCCTCATGAGCAAACGTGTGGGATCTCAGAGCAAACTCATCCTTTAACAAAATAATTTTACCAAAGTAAGAAAATGTATACTTCTAAATAAAGCAAATATTTCAGTTGTCATTTGCTTTTTTATTTTACCATTATGATTAAAATGTCAAATTTACATTCACAAGTTTAAGTTATTAGATCCTTCACATTTGCTAAATCATTCCAAAAATGATCAAGTCTTTTCTAAAACAAAATTTTTTTACTTGTTCTCTTCGGCTAATTTTGAAAGCGGCGCACAATCTGTCAGCAGAGTGGCCCATCGTCTCATTTGTAGAAAACTCAGCAACAGCAGGTAACTGGAAATCAAAATTTATACAATACTTTTTATAATGTAAAAAAAATCATACAATACTTTTCATTGTCAATTTTATAGTTACTAACTCTCTTTTAAGTTATCTACATACACATAATGTTTTGCTCAAACTTATATTCTTTGAAAGATTGACAAAATATAATGACAATTATATAAATATATCAACAGATCATCTAAGAGTTATATTTATTTAATTTCATAAACACATGCAGATGAGGTATCTGATTCAATAAAATGTTTGAAAAGGTTATATTCCCCCAATGTCTATTATTTTCACTATACAAATATTGATAAATTTTCAAGGTCAGTTGTGTAACGCCTATTTTTCCTTACCTCGGGTGTGAGAGCTGATGGTGACAACATCTTCATGATGACGCCTGCCTTATTTTTGGACTTGTTAAGCTGTAGCATCAATTTTCTCATTTTACGACTGTGTCTGATTGGAACATCAGACATAAACTCCACTCCGCCAGCTACCACAGCATCACAAGATCCCGAAGCAATCAACCCCATCCCTGTAAAGTAACAAGATATTCCCCTAAAAAGAACAGTTTATATATTTTCTTCATACGAAAGGTCAAGCAGTGTTCTCTTTATTACATGAAAAGACAATTAACAAATTTATTCCTTTGGAAATATATACAGACTCTATACCTATAGCTAGGAAAGGACAATTTGTTAAAAATATTGAGAAATCTTTCTATATCTGTGAAAACATCGCTCACAATATCTTTGAATTTGTGGTAAGACTATTGATACATTAGGCTTTTCAGTTACTCAGTTTTGTTAGGAAAAATGAAAAGAAATATTGAGTGGTGTGAATAACACTGTATCTTACCAGTGGTAATGGCTTGATTGGAGGAGATGCATGCCTGGGTGACAGTGTGTGCTGGAATATTATCAGGGAATCCAGCTCCAAGGGCGGCCTGAAATATATACCTCTTCATCAGACTATATCTGGTATCATTTATGATCACCCATTATTTCTAAATCTTTCATGATAACCTCTGGGAGATGTTGCCAAATCTTATTCCATTTTTACAAGTAAGAAGTTACCTACTCGTATTTTAACACCAAAATCTGGCAGACAACCAAAACATATTAGAGGATAGTCCAAGAGATCAAAAATATTAATGCTGTTTTGTAAAAACCTTTGGTTTCACAAAATTGTTGTTACAATGTCCAGAGTAAAGCTTATATCATCCAGACTAGACAAGCTTCAAACTTGTCCAAAACATTGTGTAACTATCTAATTACTGTAAAACACTTGTATTTTGCGTGTGATTTTGTCCGCATTAATACACCAGGAGAGTCAACTGTGAATTCAGTACCCATGTGATTAACAATTCTGGATGGCATCCCTTTTTACTCAATCACTGATATGGGAGATTCTTGGAGTCCAGGTCTCTGAAAGCTCATCATTTGCGAATTTTAAGTCATTTATAGATCAGCTTTCGTGAAAAACCATGTTTTCACATATATGACTGAAGAGGTAAGTTCGTGAAATAAAGTTTCTCCAAAATCTAAGTGATTTATAGTATGATCTGATTTTCAATATTCAAGATTTCCAACTTACAGTGATATTCAATATCTATAACTAATAATAAAACTATTATATATAAGTAAAATATAAGTTAAATAGCTTGAACAGTTTGACACCAGTATCACATGTGTCCTTCATTATCTGAGACTTACTTCTCTGGCAACATTGCTGGTCTTCACTTCCTGAATGACAGTTCCATACAATATGTAGTCTACAATACCTATAAAGGTAGAGATACATTCATCATTATATATCCAAACAATAGTATCATTTACATGTACCTTTCTATATAAGTAGCTGAACAAAGGCCGAAAATTATTACAGTATTAGAACTACACCCACCCTTGTATAAATGTTCTTTGAGTAGCAGAATGCTTTCATTAGGATTCCAATCTAATAATATAATATTCCCTCTAAAAATGAAATAATCAGTAGCGCCTTTTCATATCTTATCATTTTTTTAAGGGCTTTATCCTTCATGTGTGTTTACTGACCATTGTCTGCCTTCATCAATGTAGTAGGATAAAGCTGGTTATTTTCATGGGGATGATACTTTCGCTGTTTTGTTGTACATTAAACTTTTAAAGTGATCGTGAAAAAAATTTCTCTTAGACCATGACTGATTGTGATACATTTTACCTCACCACAGTGATGAGGATTTCTGATGGTGAACATAACCTTCTATCCATTTATACCAAGGATTTTACTAACAACGTGGTAATGGTAAACATCTATCACATTGTTAGTGAGCTACAATGACAGTGTATGTGTCACGCTGGTATATACTAGCAGCAACATACATTTCTCTAGCTCAAATATAAAACTTGTAAGCCATAGGTCCCACGTTTGATTCCTAGTAAGGCTGTGAAAAAACAAGAATGATTCTATCTAATCAAATTTGATCCGACACATGGCACAACCAATGATTATGACGGGTAATGGATGTAAATATATTGAGATCAAATCTATATCTAAAACTAACGGCACGGTATTGAGAATTCAAGATGACCAGACACTAAACATTGGTGTTTAGTGCCAATAGCCACTCCAATAGGATATAACAGGGAACTTACTTTTGTCCATGTTTGTCTTCCGTATCAACCCTCTGAAACATAAATCAATCATCATTTGAAAAAAAACCAAAATGCTGTATTAATTTACGATCCGAGTTGGTAAAGAGTCCACTTGAGGCTCTGTAATTTGTTTTCAATCTTTTCCTGTACCTTAATTACAATTCTTTATGTAGTTATTATCGTATCTATCATCAATAAGCCTAGGGGATCTGAACATACAAATTCTGACACAAAATCAGGGGGTAGACTTATTGCAGGACAGTGAAATAGCAATTGCTTATTTCTATTGAATAGAAAAAGATATGGGTAGACTTATTACTGGATGAATAGACAACTGAATTTCTTCTGTACTATCAATCTTGCTGCTGAAAATACACAATCAAGTGATTTTTTTTCTTTTTAAAATCAAATATTTCAAATTTCTTGCATGGAAAATACTCCAGCAATATTTCTGAAATATTCTTAGCAATATTAATAGAATACTATATATTGACTTACGACAAAGCAGCTCTAGCCAAATCATGAGGCATCAGATCCTGATAGGACGTCATAGATATGAGAAATGGTGTCCTCACACCTTCCACCAGAACAATGTTCCGGCCTTGCTTCCCACCCAAGGATTTCTCTTTAAAAAAGAAAAAACAAAAACAAAAATTACAAAAGTCAAGAGTCAGAATTGATACTAGAAAACGTCTCAAAGATAACAAAAATTACAAAAGTCAAGAGTCAGAATTGATACTAGAAAACGTCTCAAAGATAACAAAAATTACAAAAGTCAAGAGTAAGTAATTCATATCACCATTCATGTCAGATATATTCCTTTCAATATCTGGATATTCCTCCATAAAAAACTATCATTCAATAAATGGCAGAAAGTTCAGTTTCATGGAAATCATAAACATAATGACAGTGATAGTAGTGACACAGTAAGTGAAATCGTTAATCAACCTCATTATGTACATATTTTAGTGAAAAACCAACTGTCATTGTTCACAAGGTGAAACACTTGATATATATATATATATGCAATAATAACATCATTTTTAAAAATGTTGTTACTGTGATGTTGCTTTAATACACCTGCTGAATTTTACTGAATAATTGGAAAAAAATTCATCTTACAAATCATTAATTCATCATATATTTGGCAATAAAACATGACCAATAAGCAAAGAATCTCATTCAGCCCACAAACAATATTGATATTTACTAGGAATTTATTGTTCGATGGACTTACTTTTGTTTGCTGGAGCATACTGAGCAACTGATGTGCTGATACATCGCAGACCATCTGGAGTGAAAAAAGAAATACAAAAAATTACCATGAGTATCGAATATTTATTACAGATCACTACCAGGTATGGTTGGTGGAATTATGGATTTTAGAATGTGTAGCAATACTTCAAACAATACCTGTATTCACTACCTCTAACAAATATTTTTAATGTCATTAAATGAGAATGACTGTCCATTACTGATGACAAAAGAGGCAAAAAAGGCCCACACAGTCCTGAGTACATATAGTTAATATCATGCATTACTCATATGGCTTAACGAAAATGGTTGTATTGTATTATGCTGCAGCCCATATCATGATGCCATGAGCCTAAATCCATAGACAGTAATAGCACTTCAACCCCTAGTCCAGATTATTCCTCAAATCCAAGTCAATATATAAGAAGTTGTTTGAAAGTAAAAATAATTTGTAATATTCACTACCCACATCATATATGTAAACATCGTTCCTTTCACATTTATATTGTTCACAAGAGGCCCATGGGTCTTAATGGCTATCTGACTATGAAGTACTAAATATGAAAGAGGCAAAATAGGCCGATAATAAATTGCTCAATTTACAGCTTACATTGAAGACATTGTTGGTTCATCAAGATATTTTCTGCAAACTTGAAATCATATTCTTTATACATGCACTACACAATCGCCAAATTCAGTTGAAATCCATTCAAGCATTAAAAAGGAGTAGTGTTTTTGGAAGCAAAATATTGCTTTATTTTCCCTTTTGGGGCCCCGCCCTGAAGTCCCTTGAGATTGAAACAAATTTCTGAATTAAGAAATAATTGCCAACCTCTGATGAATCACAACAAAACTTGTTGAAATCCACTCAGGCAAAAAGGAGTAGGGTTTTCAATCTTATTTCAGCATCTTTCCCTTTGGGACCCCGTCCCTCGACCCCTGGGGCTGAATCACAATTTGAGAAATGATTACCCTCACCAAATGATACATCAGACCAAATTGGTTTAAATCCATCCAGGTATGAAAGAGGAGTATGTTTTTAAAGATTTTAAAGAAAAAGTTTACATATGACGCACGACAACGGATAAAGCACAATGGCTATTTGGTCAGATGACCTAAAATTGTGAATGAAGGCAAAAAAAAAGCAGCAGATAATTATTAAGAATATAAACTTGCAAAATTTCATATTTGTACACTCGTACATTTCACCTTTAGTTCACTTAAAGGTTTTATTTTGGATAAAATTTCTGAGTCTTGTGTTTAAACATCTTGTGAAATGCTTCCACTGTGTATTACCTAGATACCTAATAACTATAAATGACAGATGAGTCTGGACAAGTTTAGCTCATAATGTCATATACAACCGTAATTGGTGGAAAAGATTTAAAATGGCCATCAATTATAGCCTTAGGCCATTCCCTGAGGTGACAGTCATTGTTAAAACTTTGGGATCCAAATTGAAGCTTACTATTGTACAAATGTATTAGTAGTACATATACTTGATGGCCATTAAGACAAAAAGCCATTTATAAGACAGTGATAGATAAAATATATAACTGATATAGGTACTAATAACAATTACTGTAGAGCAACATTTTATGTTAACAGGCTGATAAATTCTTGATATAGATATAGATAAGAGACGTCAGGTAAGTGCATTGGCTCTGTATCTAGAATGTGCACTATGAACTTTAACTTCAATGTGTAAAATCTATAAACCTAGAAACTGTACATGTTTAAACTTTATAGGAGATGATGTTAAACAGCTCCAGTGATAACCAAAGTAAGTGTAGATATGAATGCATAGAGGATATTTATCATTTTTACAAGTATGAAGCACAAGTGAAAAATATGATGATTCATCTTACCAGTGAGATATACATGATATAATAGATATGTACTTTTCATTTTTTTGTTTTATTTTTTTTTTGTAAAAACAAATGAAAAAAAATTTCAAATATTAAATAAAGCATGTTCAAAAAAACTTCATGAAATATTAGTGCATCAAGGTAGTTTCATTACATTTGACAGCATGACATCATATTGAATAGGCTGCTTTATGTTGTATTTCATCATTGTTTGCTGTTATCTGGTTAGACTTGCTTGTTAAACCATATAAATCAAATTTGAGAAAACCAGAAATGTACCTGAGAATTGTCTTATGGAATCTAATTTATTCGTCATTTGCTTATCTGTGTCTAAACAGGAAAACTGGCATATTTCAATGCAGTGAATACAAAGCATTGCTCTAGTTGATCAAAACTATGAGTTATATCAGCACTGAATAGCTCTATCATCACTGTGATGATATAAAGATTTCTGATATCATCAATGCAGTTATGACATCAACTTTTAAAAAATTGATGATGATAATGTTGTTTTTTGCACAACGAGAGTGAGCGTGGGTGAAAGGTGTATCTTTGTGTATATCTACTTGTGTGTCACTTTTACCTATGATGTAAAAGGATTGATAGAAACTGTCCACAAAAGTTACAAGAGAGTGCATAATCCAAATAAATAATTGGCAATACTAGTTATGATGTATTCAATTACATTGTAATTTTTTATGTGTACCATATCAAAACTAGGTACTATTTGAAAGACTTAAATGTTATTTTTCATTGTCTGATTATTATAGAAAAATGTTAAATGGATACTGTGGTGGAGTATATGCCTTAATCAATTACTTATTCTGTTGTAGTCAACTTATTTGTAAATGTCTTAAAATTGGCACGAATTCAAAATTTCTTAACTCCTCGAAGATTATGTTCTTTCATTACTTGAAAATGTTTTTAAAATGTAAGTTTCTGAACAAATGCGGGGTTGAACCTACCCTGTAAAACTCATAAATCATATGCATAACAAACCCATAACATGACAATTAGTTGTAGAATCAATTGCTAGTTGGTTAAGAAACATTGGAGTTGGAGAAATTGTATGCTATGACAGCTTCTAAAAATCAACCGACACTGAGTTTTGTTAGTTTACCGACTTCAGTGAGGAATGAAAATTACCATGGACGATGCAATAACAACATTCAGATGCGAACAATATATTTTACGAGGCATTATATGGAAACGCTTCTTATGCGTTAGATATGCATGTTAAATATTTGATAAGACGAAGTACACACTCAAACTCGCTTGCGAATTCCAGACACCGGCTCCTAACTTCCACATAGCCGCCATGATGGATTCTGTAACCTTTGGACATCACGTGATCAAACGTATTGAAATGTACTGTTCACATACGTTTTCATGTAAAATGCTACGATATCAATTTAAAAAAAACATTTGTAGACAAAAAAGTCTATACGTTATTCCAGCCATTCTATTCTTATGTCAAATGTTATTCCGAATTTCATGAAAATAACAATCGCGATTTTGTTACTTAACGAAGTTTTACGAGAATTTCACGAGAGTACAAAGTGCAACCGGCACCGGCAACATGTCTGCTATGCGAATCCTTGGAGCGTTCAGAAATATTGCAAATCATACGTCACGTAATTACATTATTTTATTTTTTTTATTCTTAAGAAGTCTATGCATCATTATGTCGCTTTTTACTTTGACAATTTATAACGAAATACTACCTGTAAACCTTTTTTACACTTCAAATCTAGAACTGTACTGAAAGGGTTTCTCTAAGTCTGTAACATTCTGAAGCACGAAGGCAGGTAGCGGTACAAGGTCAAGTCCTAGGTTACAAATTGATATGTAGCTATAGTTGAAAATAAACCCGTGCGTACAAATGAATGCAGTAAGAGGTAATTGCAATTTTCGTTACTCGCCAAAATTGCATTGTATCGCCTATTGGACTTGGGCCGTATACTGCCAGTGACTGATACTGTATCACAGTAGAGTAACTATCAGAATTAATAAAGTAGAATGCCACCTTCTAAAGTTCTGTTGCCATTGTATACGTGCCACCTAGAAAGTCAACGGAATGATTTACACTCAAAAGCAATATACAAAAGTTTAGGTAATGTTCAAACAGACTGCTGAGTGCTGGGAATGAGTCGCATGCAAAAACTAAACCAACTGAAAATGCTGTTAGATTCCTTTAGAATGTTTAACATATGATAATTTATCCTCATGATGGTGTCAACTGCTGCTCAGTGTTGCAATGTGTGATGTGACTTACCATGGAAAAATTTCAACTAAAAAGGAGTAGGGGTCCTCTGGACTTAATTTCTTGGTTATATGTTTGAAACAGTTGAGATCCCCACCCTATAACCATATGTAACATTGCTTGGCATTACGAGATGAACTCAATAATAATGTCAAAACTGATCCTGGAATGTCCCCCACCCCTCAGAACTTTACCATATAAAGCATTGATGAGCATCAAGAGGGATACAAATTCATTATGTAAGAACTGGCCATTGAGTGTAGCTCCACCACTGCGCTGGGTTATATCTTGAAAATGGTTGAGATCCCCACCTCTTAACCATTTGTAGAATTGCTTTCCATCAAGAAATATACACATTCATGATGTAAGAATTAACCCTTGGGTGTAACGCACCTCGTGGGACTGAATTTCTGGTTCATATTGATATAACAGTTGAAATCCAAACCTGTTAACTATATAAACTCTTATTGGGCACCAAAAAGCGTTGCATGCATTGTTCTGTTGAAAACCTACTGGGTAGGATTATTTAATTCAAAATATTCTACATATTTTCTCAATGCAGATAACCAATGCCGTTGGCTGTCAACGTCGGGGGTGCTGGGTGGTAAGTAATGATTAAATACAAGTATATTATGATAAATTATTAAAATAACCAGATTTGAAGATATATATTTAGAAAGAAGTTGGTAAGACCTTAAGCATTTTTGGATTGGGAGATATAAGATCTTTGAGATCTTTGGATTTGGAGATATGAGATCTTTAATAATCTTTCAGCTTGAAAGAGATCTTCATTTAATGAGACACATATTATTAAATGTGTAATAATTGTGGTTTTTAACAAGTAGAACTTTGTGATTTAAATAAAATCTTCTACCAGAAATTTGTATTGGATGTTTAAACATTTAATGATATTTTTTTTTTTTTTTTCATTTCAGCAAGAACACATTTGAAATATGAAGTCAAAGATGATGTAGCTGTAGTGAAATTTGATTCTCCGAATTCCAAGGTTTGCATTGTGTCGTGTGTGGAGTTAGTTACTGATTGATTAGATCTATATGTGTATGTCTGTAAATATGTGATGTCTGATTTACCGGAGTTTCTTTCTGAAGTGAAAGAACTCTTGAGATTCCTAATCTATTGCAAAACATTACCCTTCCAATAGTAAAAGAGGTTATACAGGTGTTACATTATTAGCCATTAACTATATAGTAAAAAAAAAAGAAGAAAAAAAGGAAAGAGAGCTACTGCATGTATTTCATATACTACTTTCATCTTGGGATAGATTTATGATAAATAATGAGTGACCCAACATGTCAAACTTTAGTAAGTACTTTTGTAAGTAATACTTCTGTAAGTAGATTCTATGGAGTTCCTTGGTAATTATGATAGGAAAAAATAAAGTAATTTTGGTAAATAACACTAAACCACCTTGTGGTATTGAGATTCTTTTATTACCTGTATGATAGATTAGTATGAAAGATCTTCTGCAATTTTTCACATTTTTTGTGCTGGAGATAACTTCATTTTCAAAACTAACGAATCCAAATCCTTTAGTAGTGGCTGTACACAACTGAAGTTAAATCCACTTTATTTCATTTGAAATTTGTGCATAATGAGTTAAGTGTGAATTTATTTCATTTGAAATTTGTGAATAATGAGTTTTGTGAGTCAGAACATTCCCTACTTGTACTTTTTCGAAAGTGGTTATTTTCCAGAATAATCATATTTTTCTGAAAACAGAAAAAGAAAAAAAATACATAATTTAAAACCTTTTTAGCTAACCTGGCCTGAAGGTCACAAAGCGAGGCGTTCACGCCTGTTTGTCATCAGGTGTCAACTTTTTCCTTTAAACAACTTCTCAATAACCAATGGACCAGATGTGTTGATATTTGGCTGGTATGTTCCTATGATGAAGCCCGATGGTGTTTGCGAAAGAAATAATCTTGAATTATATTCAAGGTCACAGGGTCAGATTTAACAACTTCTTGTCAGAGACATCGTATGTTCCTAGTATGAAGCACGACAAAGTTTGTGAAAAGACATGACCTTGACCTATATTTGAGGTCACAGGGCTCAAATTTGTTAAAACCTTTCAATTACTTTTTCTAAATGGCCTAGATGCATAATATTTGGGTGGTATATATATACACAGTACTGTACCAGGTGAGCACTACAGGCCCATTGTGCCTCTTTTTTTTAATTTGTCCTAAGGTAAGAGAAAATGTGATAATATTTATTATTCTTATTTATTTGTTTAGGTAAACACACTATCCAGAGATGTACAGGCAGAGTTTACAGAAGTATTTAAGGAGGTCAGTGAAAATCCAGATGTCAAAAGCATTGTTGTGATGTCGGGCAAACCAGGCTGCTTCATTGCTGGGGCTGACATAGGGTATGTCTTTTTTTTTGTTTGGTGTCAATATTTGAGATGTTTTTGAGACTTGTTAAAAAAATATTCCAGTAATGTTAAATAAAAGCTGATGACTTGATTAAAGTCATTATTATCATATTTGTTCTTTTAATGCAGAAATATTCATGTACATTTTATTCTTTAGGGAGTTGGGGATTGGGGTAGGGGAGGGGAGGATGGCAGTATTTTATGTGGATGGTGCAAAAATCTTGTCTGCTGAATAAACAAGAGGAGTTTCTCATTCAAACAATAGTATGAATGTGTGAAAACTATGTTGATATCTCTAATATAGATTTGTTATGTAAATCACGTATTGTTATTGGATAATTTGCACAATTACAAGAGAAATTTTTCCGTGTCATAAGACATCAGTTTTTTTATCCACAGGATGATAGAAGCATGCAAGACAAAAGAAGAAATTGTAGACCTGTCCTCCAGAGGAAAACAATTGTTTGATGAGTTGGAGAACAGTCCCAAGCCAGTCGTAGCTGCCATAAAAGGTTCTTGCCTGGGAGGAGGACTAGAGGTAAATGATTTTACTAGGTGAAAACTTGTACGTTTATTAATGTTGAAGGTTTAAGCCCCTTAATATCAAAGAAGTCCCATTCTGTCTTAAGTGTTTATCACTTTTTGCTTCATTTAAAAAAACATATGAATAAGTAATCTTGCCTGGTGCCAATGTAAGATTGTGACAGTATGATTTGTTATTGATGTACTATTGTCAGTTTAAGAAAATATCTTCTGTGGTGACAGGTCACTATGCATCTAATAACTACGTAAAGTCTTTTGTTATCTTTTTATCTTTATGTTATGTGGTAAATATGTATGACAGCTGAGTTGGTGTTTGATTTACAGGTTGCCCTGGCCTGCCACTATCGTATTGTGGTGAAGGATAGCAAGACTAATCTTGGTGTACCTGAGGTTAAGCTTGGCCTCCTTCCTGGTGCTGGTGGTACACAGAGGCTGCCAAAAACAGTATGTAGTTATCCATTAGGTCTTCTAAGCTAGAATGACCTATAGTCATCATGTTTTGTGTCTTTTTAAACTTCTACAAATGTTCTACAAATGGGATTAAGTTGAAACTTGTTTGAAATGATGCAGAGGTGGTCTTAACCAAGTATTGTTACTTTTAGATTGGAGAATACAGTAGGAGACATGATGGTAGTTGTGCTTAAACTATTCATCTGAAACAATCTCTTAGTGGCTGCTATTGAAGCCAACTGAAAACTACTTGAAAGAATTATCTTAAGCAATAAAAGATAATGTTGTCTTTGCAGTGTAAAACTATTTTAGTTTGTTGTATCATGTTTATAGCATGAGAGATAGTTCATGAGTTGACACAAGGGTTGTGATCATTTGCCTGATAAACCTGATATGCACTTCTTAAAGTTTGGCTATATTTCCTAAGAACAATACTTTGGAGCAGTGTGTAATAAATGATAAGGATACAAATATTCAGCAGCACATGATATCTATAGTCTATAGAGATACATGGGGGATAGGAGATTGGCATAAAGATAACAAATAAACTATGTTGCCAACACAAAGCAAATTGACGAAACTTTCATTGTTGACAAGAAAATAATGATTTGAACACCTTGATATTGACATTTCCTGTTTTTGATATATTTAGATCACATGGCCAAAATCTTCCCATTTAACTTGTCAATAGATCATGAAAATTTGAAAATTCTGAAACTCATGTCAGATGCTTTATAAGTATACCAGTATATGATATAAATTTTGTAGACAAATTGATTTCTCAATCCTTTTAACAGAGAAATAAGTTAAGCTTACTTTACCCTTATTAAGGTTGGTGTCCAAGCAGCACTAGACATGATGTTGACAGGCAAAAACATCAAAGCAGATAAAGGCAAAAAGATGGGACTGGTGGACCAAGTTGTTGATGCTCTTGGTAATTTATGACAGTCTATCTTAGCTCTTACATCAATAAGTGATAAAGGCTTCTATAATTTGTATGTTTATTTGTCTGTAGCTTTATGTGATAGTACCTTTGATAATCTGTACCTTTTTGTGTGTCAGGTGACAGTACCTTTGATTATCTGTACAATCACATGTATGTTAAGCAAAAGCACATTCAATAATCTGTACCTTTGACTTGCCAGGTGATGTGTTTGTAGTACCTTCAGATATTTGTACCTTCGAATGTATCAGATGATAGTAATTTCAAATATCTCTTCCATTGTATGTCTTAGGGCCTGGATTGACAGACTCAGAATCAGCAACGCTAGAGTATTTAGAAGGTGTTGCTATACAGGCAGCCAAAGGTTTGGCAAACAACACATTAAAGAAGAAAGTCTATTCTTCCAAAATGAATTGTGAGTATATCAGGATGCTGTAACTCTGTTAACTATTAATGGTTTGATACATTTGTTCCCAGCTTATTAAAGGGTTTCGATGGTGTGCAGTACAAGAAAAATCCTATGATCTAGTGGTCCACTGCCTGAATATTTATTAATCTTAAGACTTTCATTTCTTTTTTCAGCTCTCCTGTCTACTTCTTGGGGGATGTCCTTTGTTAAATCTCAAGCCACAAAAACAGTGATGAAAATGACAGCTGGAAACTACCCAGCACCTTTGGAAATTCTAGAGGTAAATTTCAGAATTTACGTAGTAGATAATGGAAGTATATGGCTTTGTGAAGACTTCTTTGTGCTTGCTACCAATGTCATTCATGTGAAGTCCATTGATGCTATCATTGTGGTCTGAAACTATGAACCTGTGGTTTTTTTTTTATTTTACAACAATTTTAATCGAGTAATGTCAGTTTGATTAATCACTGTTATAAGCAGATTAGAAGACAACCTATTTGTCAACATACATCTATTGTTTTACAGAAAAAAGCTGGGAGTACACCAAGTCATTGAGATAGATAGCTTTTTATGTTGAATAATGCTATTATTAACAGGTAATTTGTTCTGCAAATCTGGACATGAATTGATTAACTGATATGCGTACAGTTTTGCATGTAAGGAATCAGAAGTTAGGGTTATTTGAAAAGTGTAAACAACTTAATGCAAATAATGTGTGTTAACAGGTTGTGAGCAAGCAAGTGACAGAAGGGAAAGAAAAAGGGGACGCTGCAGAATCCGAGGTAGGTAAAATATATCATAAAAATCTTTTTATTTGTGTTATAAATATTTACAGATTTATTATGGTTTGACATCTGTCCATCCTAAACTAACTGTAGTAAGTGAATGCAGGCTTGTTATTCTGCAGAGTTCTTGTTTTCAGGATTTTTGCAATGATGTTTCCTGCCTCAGAAAACCGAGACTGTCTTCTCAACGCAACACTCAATATTTTCATTTGCATTAAAATCATGTTCTCCTACATGGAGACAAGTGATACTTTATTTTCTATACTGTGATTAGGCAATTGCTTTTTTTCTCCTGCTTTGAGACAATTTTAATGCTTGAGTATTTTCAAACATTTGTTTTTCTGTTCCTACAAAGTGTGTTTGCAGATGTATTTTTACTGGCATGATGATACCAGGTTGTATTGTTATTAATTCATTATGTATTAGTTATACCTCTGTAACTATTTATCATGGTGTGAATTTGGCTGCAGGCATTTGGAAAGCTAGGCATGACCTCAGAGTCTAAAGCTCTGATTGGACTATACCATGGAGATACTGCTTGTAGGAAAAACAAGTTCGGAAAACCAGAGAAAAAAGTCCAGTAAGTTTGGGACCTGACCTGAAGAAAAAATGCATGTAGGATTGTGTGATCTCATCACATCAACAGGAACAAAGTTATCTTCATGTTCATAAATATTAAGATAGCTAAAGTTTATTTCCTACATTAAACTGTAATTTGATATACTTACTGCTAAATCAATTCTCTCAATCATTGTGGATGTATATGTAAAATTTTGAACAACAATCTATTTTGGTTTACATGTCACATAGTGCTTATGAAATGAAGAGATGCTGTTTCTGATGACTTGTCTGTTGAGATGTTGCATACTATAGCTTGGCATCACATATCATTTTAAATCATTGTCATATCTTTAGAACCTCTAAATAGAAAAATTTACCCCATAATAACAAGACATCAAGTTCTGCACTTGATCAGATTCTGGTTTGCATCTGAGCAAGGGCATTCATGTCTCGTTGACATTTTCTGGTTTTTGTTCCTTGTAAAATATTAGTTGTGCATTTAATTTCTTGCAATCCTTAATGACTATCAATATTATGAAATCATTGCCCTGCAGATCAACTTGACAGTATTGTTGTCTTTAGTAGGTCAATATGTCTCCATTTATAGAACTGACAAGAAAACAAATGAGGCTTAGAAGTGCAGTACATGCTGTAAAGCGACTTATTTTGTTAGGTGCTTTATTTTTCGAATTTAATGGTCTTAAGATATGACTTGAGCCATTGACATCCAAATTTAAAATGTTTGATTGTATACCTTATTCTTGATCCACGATATCAGGATGCATACTCTCTGCTGTAGGAACATCGGAGTGCTCGGCGCAGGTTTGATGGGCGCTGGAATAGTAGAAGTGTCCTTAAACAAAGTAGATCGGGTACTGATGAAGGATGTCAACTCGGCAGGACTTGCCCGTGGAGAGGACCAGATTGTGAAGGGAATGCAAACACAAGTCAAAAAAAAGAAATTATCAAGGTGCTGTTACAGAAATTTTATTTTCAAACTCTGCATTCTTGAAATAGCGGATGTGTTTCCTCTATATTCTCTCTCATGACTAAATTGAACATGTTCCACACTTGCTTAGATAATGGGGTACCCATGGGAGGTAGAGTACATTACATATTTCCATTGTGCAATCAATGGATAATGCAATAATTCTTTGAAAATCATATTTTGAAATATAAAGCAGTCTTGCTGTGATACAGACCAGCATGGAACACAAGATTATATCTCGCTGATGGTTGATTAGTCCTGAATGGGTACTACTGTCTGGTACCATAGATTTACGTGCTTTAACCTTTATCATAGTCATATCAAACTTTTCAGAATAGTTAAGCAGAGTGTTCTCACTGTTAAACCTGTGTTTTAGTCTTTTGTAAGAATTACTGACATGTATATGTGTTAATTTAAGCTCCCAAAATTTAAATGCTATTTTAACACAAAAATCTTACACAATCTTGAAGAATGTTGGAATTGATTGTCTGGGGCATAACTTCTATATTGCAAACCTATGATCAAAACATGTAATAAAGGGACTTTATTAAACTTACCATGCTTGTAGTAGGGGACCAATTCCTACTACAGTGCAATTTCCCCAAACCGATCCTTCTCAAAACACCACTTCTTAAAACTGAATGAAGTGGCTATGTGTAGAATGATATCCTCTTTATTATAGTATTAAAAACCTTCCCAATACTGATCCCCCTCAGTTTTGAATACCAAACTGATTTTGTGCCTGAAATGATTGAAATACACTATTGAAAATCACATCTGAATTGTCCTTATCTGAACAATGAAGACCAGAGTTTAGCCTAGCGGACCATGAAATCAACACTTGTATAGACAATTGTAAACTTTCCCCTCTGCACAAATGCCTGAATAGGAGGATTTGATTAAACATAATGTATAACTATCTCAAATGACAAATCACACAGTCAATTGTTTCACGGTAGTAAGAAATGGCTACAGATAACGTGAAAATAAGTATTGGTTTAGAGTTAGAAAGCCACAGTTTTGCATCTAAATTGTGGGTAATTGAATATTTTAACACATACAGAATGGAAATCAATTGTTGTTTTAGAAGATAAGTTTTTAAACGAAAATGCACATTCATCAAATATATTACAGTACTGTACAGTTGGTTACACTTTCAGACAAGCCAACCATCCGACATTTTTTCTGTCATCAGTTGGGCTTGTGCAGTGTAAATGCTGAAAGTGAATGGAATGGTTAACATAATGTACAGAATAGAATCGGTTTGATTTGATATAATTTAGGACTGGTCAACTTGCTTCACTTCTACAAACTAAACCTCTGAACTGGTCAAATATTCATGTCCAATGCATAGTCTGTTTTAACAGAGAAGTTCCACTCTATGTCCATTCTTCCTTATAATTTATCATATTTCATGAGAAAAAAAGCTTCAATACTCATGTTTAGTACATAGAATAAGAAAACTAAATGGGAAGTGACATTAACCAATGTGACATAACGTGGTTCCACTGTATTCTAAAAATGTTTAGTTTTCTTACAACACCAAGTTTGCATGACAATATGTTCATAATGTACTTATTTATATGTTAGGGGAAATATTGAAGAGTGACAAGTGTCTAAATGCTTTTTCTAATTATTTCCTGGAATCATACCAACTGGCTACAATTGTTGATTCTAAAATATGTCCGCATCATACCACAAATTACAATTTAACAGTTCCCAGTGTACAAAGAGTTCTTGAAGCCCTTTTTGTAGATTTCAATAACATATGATCTGTTTTGAAATTTAATTTCAGTGCTGAGAAGGACAAGATATTGTCTACAATGGAACCAACATTAACATACAAGGATTTCAAAAACTGTGATATGGTGGTAGAAGCTGTGTTTGAGGATATCAACATCAAACATGCTGTCATCAGAGAGGTGGAACAGGTAATGGTTCTCTCACTTACTTTGTATGTCATTTCTAGGGGGTCTACATTGGAAAGTGGAGAAAGTAATATTGTTCTCTTACTAAACCTAGTTATTATATGTCAAGCCCATCAGAGAAGTGGAGTAGGTGAAAAGATTCTCAAACTTACTTGCATGTCATTTCTGGGGGGTCTACATTGGGGAGGTGGAACAAGTAAAATTGTTCTCTTGCTTAACATGTTTGTTATTTCGAGGGGGTCTACATCAGAGAGGTGGAACAGGTGAAAAGGATCTCTTACTTAACCTAGTTATTGTATGTTAAGCCAATCAGGGAGGTGGAGCTGGTAAAATGGTTTTCTTACCTACCCTAGTTATTGTATGTTAAGCCAATCAGGGAGGTGGAGCTGGTAAAATGGTTTTCTTACCTACCCTATTTATTGTATGTTAAGCCAATCAGGGAGGTGGAGCTGGTAAAATGGTTTTCTTACCTACCCTAGTTATTGTATGTTAAGCCAATCAGGGAGGTGGAGCTGGTAAAATGGTTTTCTTACCTACCCTAGTTATTGTATGTTAAGCCAATCAGGGAGGTGGAGCTGGTAAAATGGTTTTCTTACCTACCCTAGTTATTGTATGTTAAGCCAATCAGGGAGGTGGAGCTGGTAAAATGGTTTTCTTACCTACCCTAGTTATTGTATGTTAAGCCAATCAGGGAGGTGGAGCTGGTAAAATGGGCCAATCAGGGAGGTGGAGCTGGTAAAATGGTTTTCTTACCTACCCTAGTTATTGTATGTTAAGCCAATCAGGGAGGTGGAGCTGGTAAAATGGTTTTCTTACCTACCCTATTTATTGTATGCTAAGCCAATCAGGGAGGTGGAGCTGGTAAAATGGTTTTCTTACCTACCCTATTTATTGTATGTTAAGCCAATCAGGGAGGTGGAGCTGGTAAAATGGTTTTCTTACCTACCCTATTTATTGTATGTTAAGCCAATCAGGGAGGTGGAGCTGGTAAAATGGTTTTCTTACCTACCCTAGTTATTGTATGTTAAGCCAATCAGGGAGGTGGAGCTGGTAAAATGGTTTTCTTACCTACCCTAGTTATTGTATGTTAAGCCAATCAGGGAGGTGGAGCTGGTAAAATGGTTTTCTTACCTACCCTAGTAATTGTATGTTAAGCCAATCAGGGAGGTGGAGCTAGTAAAATGGTTTTCTTACCTACCCTAGTTATTGTATGTTAAGCCAATCAGGGAGGTGGAGCTGGTAAAATGGTTTTCTTACCTACCCTAGTTATTGTATGTTAAGCCAATCAGGGAGAAAAATGGTTCTATTACTTTACTTAGTTAACTGAATGTTAAACCAGAGAAGTCTAAAACTAGCCAAATGTATAATATTTATTTTTCTATCTATTCCTTTTGATTGGATTTTCCAGCATATACCGGAACACTGTATATTTGCCACCAACACTTCAGCTTTACCTATCACCCAAATAGCTGCAGCCAGTAAGAGGCCAGAAAAGGTTTGCATACACATTACATACTTTTCAATTGTTTAAATTGATGTTCTTGTGTGATAATTTGACTTTCCTAGAGCCTTTTAAAGTCCACATTCTTCCCTTAATGAAAGTCCTTGCCTGTGATTGCTTTAGATATAAATTGGGTTTGGTTTGTATAACTTTATGAAGATAGATGTTATACTTGATACATGTAATTTCCTCTCTGAAAAAGGTGTTTTCTGTTCATTAGTGCTATTAAGAGGTATGCTTTTATTTTCATTCCACAAGATATTTGGGTATAAGTGAAATAACTGATTGGTTCCGACTTTAAGTAAAGCCTGAAATTAATTATAACTTCAAGTGAGTATTTCTTCGATTTTGAAATACATAAATCTATCTAAACAATTGAAACTGAACAAGAAGACAAATCTCATCAAAGCCAGCATCTGTAATGCCACAAGGTAAGTGTCACATTACAGAGAGATGACAGGCAGATTACAGATCTAATTTTACTTTTTTGGTTTACAGGTGATTGGAATGCATTACTTCTCACCTGTAGATAAAATGCCACTGTTAGAAATCATAACAACAGACAAAACCTCAAATGACACAACAGGTAATAAGCAATTTCCTCTTCAAAATGTTTACATAATGCTAACTAGGGCCTTTTCTAGAGCAAAGGATCATGACTCTTGCCTTAAAAATGTTCACATAATGACAACTAGAAACTTTTCCAAAGCAAGAGGTCATGACATTTAGAAAGGAGGCCTATTGTTGTTTCCAAGACCCACTGCAAGTTACCATTAAAGTCAACTGTCATGCGTGCCCCTGTAGAGTCAAACATTTTCCTCTGTGTTTTAATCTGAGGGGACAGAAAAAATACTTACAATCTCTAAATCTTCTTGATCTTGCGTGCCAGACGCTTTACAAGAATTTGATTGGTGTTAAATGAGATTTTTCAAACTTATGGTTGCTTCCAAATGTTATTAATGTAACATTCCTACTTGTAGCCTCTGCTGTAGACGTTGGACTAAGACAAGGCAAGGTTGTAATTGTCGTTGGAGATGGTCCAGGGTTTTACACTACCAGGATCTTGGCTTCCATGTTGGCTGAAGCAATCAGACTGCTACAGGTTTGATTTTCCTAGACACCTTTTAGTTTTAAAGAGTTAGCTGTCATACATTTTTCTGTAAAGTTTTTTGCTTTTTAATTTTCATTTTCTGGGTTTATGACCCTTCAACAGTTATCTTGCTATTGATTTGGGTCTAGGAGTCATAATTAAACCATTGGTTAAACAAGTATTTTTGTTTCTTGAGGTTGTCTGAGAGTCTTTAAGTGACTTTAATGTGAAATAGGGATTCTGAAAAAGTTTCTTTGGTAAAGGTCATGGCCACTTCCTAAAAATATACCATCAAGTAAGGAAGATATTAATAGTCCGATTTATAATGGGAATCCTTGCTGATCTGTCATTTTTCATATAGGACTTAAGTGATTTTAATACCAATTCTATATTGAAGACACTACTTCTCATTAGCATCGTTGGAAATAAATGCTATGATAAAATTGTTTGGCAATTATAAATCATTGCAATTGACATGGTCAAGTATTAGATGTGGTTGGTGATTGAATTTTAGTGTACTTGTAAGTGCAGAATTACCAAATTCAGGCATTGTCATCATGCTGCATCTCTTACTAGTCTTTAGATAGTTTACAATGTCAGATTTTTTCAGAAAGTGTTTTGTTTTGTATTCAAAATATAAATGAAAGAAATTGCAAAACACTTGTTTCATTCCTTCAAAAGAAACAGGTAAATAATGAAGAAAATCTTTTTGAAACAGGAGGGTGTGACCCCAACACAACTGGACAAGTTAACCAAGAAGTTTGGCTGGCCTGTAGGAGCCGCTACCCTGGCTGATGAAGTTGGTGTAGATGTAGCAGCACATGTAGCAGAAGATCTCACCAAAGCTTTCGGCTCTAGATTTGCTGGTGGAGACCCCAATGTTCTAGGTGACATGGTGAAAGCTGGATACTTAGGTATGGTGTTTACTTTCATAATGATACAATGTCTCTTTTATGTGTTTTATCAAGATTTTAGTTCTCAAGGACCAGTGTGTCAAGTATTTGCGTCAGTTTAAAACAATTACGGTCAAGTTAATGAACTTTGTCAATTTGTCAAGGATTAATTATTAATTATCAATTTTGATTCATTGATATTTGATATCAGTGGTTTTAATAGAAGCCAATGAAAAAAAAATAGAGTATAAATGGGTGTTTCTGGTTATTTTATCATTTTAGGAAGTAAATGTGTTACCTAGCTGAAACAGTAGGTTTCCAATTATAAAATTGTGCAACAAAAATCATTGAGTGTGTAATGTTCAAATTAGTCAGCCGTTACAGTTCATCACATAAACATGTAACTTCCCTTTTCCATTATCTTCATGATAGAAACATTTTGACTTCAACATATTTATTAAAGATACTGAAAATTTGTTCCTGTTACAATCTTGAATTCGTATACTGCACTGTAACTTAAGCAAGTCAACTTTAGAAATTGCCAAGTAACAATTATTAAGTGTGCTTTGTTGTTGCTTGCAGGCTTTGTTTCATGTTTGTTAAACATGGGTTAAAAGGTGATTTTTTTTTAACTGCAGGACGTAAATCCGGGAAAGGATGCTTCGTATATGAAAAGGGATCCAAATCCCGTCCAGAGAATGCAGGAGCAGCTGAGATTTTACAGAAATACAAACTTCAACCTCCTGTTGCGTAAGTGTCAAGTTATGTCACTTTGGTTGTATAAGGATCACCACCTGGAGAATCAACAGATCTGATCAAATCTTTACTGTTAGCTGTAGTTTTGAGTTGACTTACAGTAGAATGAAAATATTTTGTCAAAGATTTTATCACATGTCAGAGTGAGATGTATTTGTTACTCAACAGTCTATCAACTTTTTGAAAACTTGTTTGTGATCATGTTACAGCTGGAGTTAATTGTATATATGATATCAAAATGTTTACTATGGTATGGAGAAGTTCTCTGATACCAATAAATTGTTGTGACTTGTATCTTCTGGTATACAACATCATCTTGTGAAAGTTAGGTTGTTGTGACCTGTATTTTCCACTCAGCAAAGTATGTGTTTAACTCCATTTTCTGCAAAGCGAAGTTGAGGCATTTGGACATTCAGTAAGCATCTTCAAGTCCTCATAAATTTTACCGTCATATTCGGAATTAAAATTTCAGAATAACAGATGAAGATATTCAATATCGCCTGTTCTCAAGATTTGTGAATGAATCTGTGATGTGCCTACAGGAGGGAATTCTGAAAACGCCGGTAAGTTTAATCAATGGAACAGGTAGATATCGTCATATACAAACAATTGAGTTGCCAAGAGTTAAAATTTTAAAATACTTCCATATTCTTTCTATAATGAAGAATTCATTTCAATGCTTTGAAAATACTATTGATCTTTTTCACAATAATGTAGTTTTCATTGAAGCCACCATGAACTCCTTGGATGTCAAGATTAAAAATAAAAACAAAACACATTTCCTTGAACTCTGATTCAGAAAGCTAATGATGTTTATTTTTTATGCCCCTTTTTCCAGTTGGAAGGAGATATTGGTGCAGTGTTTGGTCTCGGTTTCCCACCATTCCTTGGAGGTAAGAATTAAAATGGTCACCTGGTTAGCCTCCCTCCCCTCTATATGGATAAGTCCTCAGTACCAATTACTCTCAACTCTATGTGAATTACCCCTCAGTATCAATTACCCTCCACTCAATGTGGTTTACACCTCGGTATCAATTACCCTCCACGCAATGTGGTTTACACCTCGGTATCAATTAACCTCCACTCTATATGGTTTACCCCTCAGTATCAATTACCCTCCACTCTATGTGGTTTACACCTCACTATCAATTACCCTCCACTCTATATGGTTTACCCCTCAGTATCAATAACCCTCCACTCTATATGGTTTACCTCTCAGTATCAATTACCCTCCACTCTATGTGGTTTACACCTCACTATCAATTACCCTCCACTCTATATGGTTTACCCCTCAGTATCAATAACCCTCCACTCTATATGGTTTACCTCTCAGTATCAATTACCCTCCACTCTATGTGGATTACACCTGGGTATCAATTACCCTCCACTCTATATGGTTTACCCTGCAGTATCAATTACCCTCCACTCTATATGGTTTACCCTGCAGTATCAATTACCCTCCACTCTATGTGGTTTACCCCTCACTATCAATTACCCTCCACTCTATGTGGTTTACCCCTCACTATCAATTACCCTCCACTCTATGTGGTTTACCCCTCACTATCAATTACCCTCCACTCTATGTGGTTTACCCCTCAGTATCAATTACCCTCCACTCTATGTGGTTTACCCCTCACTATCAGTTACCCTCCACTCAATGTGGTTTACACCTGGGTATCAATTACCCTCCACTCTATGTGGTTTACCCCTCACTATCAATTACCCTCCACTCTATGTGGTTTACCCCTCACTATCAATTACCCTCCACTCTATGTGGTTAACCCCTCAGTATCAATTACCCTCCACTCTATGTGGTTTACCCCTCACTATCAATTACCCTCCACTCTATGTGGTTTACCCCTCAGTATCAATTACCCTCCACTCTATGTGGTTTACCCCTCACTATCAATTACCCTCCACCCTATGTGGTTTACCCCTCAGTATCAATTACCCTACACTCAATGTTTGGAATGATTATTGAGGGTCCACTGTACATCAGCTGTTGGTATCAATCTCCCTCCCTTCCCTGGAGATTAGCAACCCTCCCTTTTGTCTATACAAAAAAGCCCTCATTACCTCCATTCTTTCCATCTATTTGGATTGGTCCTTAGGAATCGCCTTCCTTCCTTCATTGTGGATTATCACCTCCATTTTTTTTATGTGAAAAACCCTCTGAACTCTCTCTGAACAAAAATGACAGATATTGCTCATCTCTAAATGATTAATTAAATGATATTTTGTGATTTCCTTTCAGGTCCTTTCCGGTATCTTGACCTGCATGGAGCTAAACAGTTGGTTGAGAAAATGGAGCGATACAGGAATAGTTATGGAGAACCATTTGCACCTTGCCAACTGCTGCTTGACCATGCTAAAGATCCATCAAAGCGTTTCCATTAGAACCTGGGGGCATTGTGATATTCTTGAATCTTGATGAACAAATGTGACAAAGGATGAACTGTGTGACATGACAATGAAGTGCTTGAATTGATCAAATATTATCTATGTTACATGTAATGTAACTGAAGTGTGATAAATGTGACTAATCTTGTACAGTTTTCAGATACATAACAATCTACAAACATCCTTATTTGGTGCATCATAACAAACAAAACTTGTCTAAAACAGAGTTGTGTTTGTTCTACTGGATCAGCTGATTGATGAGGTTATGATTGTGAGATTTTGATTTGAGGACCTGCTGATATTTCATGACTTTAGTAGGCTGTCTTACATTCTTTCTCAATTTCTAGCTAAATGGTTTTGTCTATGGAATCCTTTGTTTTGTGATTAATTGGTTGGACTTTCACTTTCAACTTAACATGATGGATTTGTTGAGATTTCTTCTTGTTGTTTCATCAATTAATTCTTCTGTGGAAAGTACTTCTAAAGTGCTTTCCACACAACGCAACCCCTTTATCATGACTGAAGTCCAGCTCAGGTAATCTCAGATCATTTTATATTATATTTGTATGATATATTTACCATTTTCAGTTTAGATTATCAACTATTTATTACTGGTAAATCTTGAGGAGTATAGTGGATATTCATATCATTTAAAAATTGATCTTTGTAATAAATGCTGTTGTGATTTACTAGAAATTTTGTGTTGGATTTGTTTTGTTTTTCAACAAGAAACAGAAATTCTGTATCCTTCATGTAAAATTGTACCTTGGAAAACATTCATGAAAGTGTATGGCAGGTTACAGAGAATACAAAATTGTTAGGCTTGTTTGATTTTGAAAATCACAACATGCACACAAGAATGAATGATCAAATCTTCCACTTCCTTTATGATGAGATGGGCAATGCATTATGCAGAATTTCCCTTTACAGATCTTCGATTGTGTCAGCAGCTGGTAAAAACTTCTGCCTTCACAAAGTCATCCTTGAGACTCCAGTGGTTAGATCACTTTCGAACTGTGCACCACTGGAACATGCCATGACAAAATTGAAGGTGCCATGTGCGACACCTTGTGGACAAGACAAAAAGACTAGTTTGATCCTTTGATGTACATCAAACGGATCTTAAGGTCACATAAGGGTAAATTGCAATAGCTTTGAAGTTGGGTGTGAATGATCAGTTTTTTTTCTCCTGGAGCATTCAAATTACTTCGGGTGTACTTTCGATTTTGCCATAACATGTTCCATGGGTGCAGAAAGCAATAAGAGAGTATTGAAGATGCATTCAACTGAATCATACCCTAATTATTTGTATATTAGTTTGGTCAAAATCTACACCATGACTACAATAACGTTTTTTTTGTATATACGTTTGCATGACAATGAAACTATATAAACCAACCCTACAGAAGTGTGATATATTGAATGATAAATGACATTCAACCCAGGATTTCTGGTCTATATTTGTGTCGATATGATATCGATCATAGAAAATTACGGCAAAAATTTGGCTGCACTTGAACACTTAACCTCACGAAGAGTTTTTGTTCATGGCCATTTAGGAAAAGAGACACTAAAGCATTTCATCCTGACAGTGCTAAACACATATCAAATGCTGATAAACTTCACTTCGACAAAACAAGTTAAAATTTTATGGATATAGCATAAATGTGTGAACATTTGTTAATTGTGTGTGACATTGAAAGCCAAAAGGACTGTTGGTAATACGAACGATGTTGTAACACATATCATATAATTTATATTTTGATATATAATTTTGTATACCCTTGTATCTCTTAATAAGAGGAATAGAAGAATTGAAGTGATTGGTTGATTGAATGCATTGATGATAAATTAATTCTAACAATTGAAAATTTCACTCAAATTCAGTAGTCAGATGTAATCATACTCGTTCCTACGACTTAATCAAAATCAAATAAGGACATCTTTTTTGCGAGATCAGAATTCAAATCGCTAGCTTTCTGGTATGGTTCCAAATAGACTCATCCCACCTAAACAATTGTTGGGAAGCCAAAGATTATACAAAGAAAGCATTGGATATGAATATAATACATGGGGTAATTTGACAGCCATACCAGCAGCATTTAGCGATTGCGTAGTCAGCAGATCGTTAGTCTACCCAATCTCAAGTTTGTAATTCACTGTATTCCTAATCGGGATGGTTTGTGTTTCTCATCAACATGAGATCACGGACATCCTTTTGCTGGAAGTGATTTTCTCCCTGAGCAGGACACTTTACCAGAATTGTTCTGGGTTGCACGCGACAGACCTCCCGTATGTTGTTCAGTGAACTAGCCACCAGCTACTTTGTAAAATCCACCTGAAAAGCTGCCTCTTGGCGGAGCGATAAATCAGATGACAAACCGATTTCTAGCGTAGATTACAGTATGCTTCAACGTTTCTTGTTCAATGTTAAGATTAGATACCCTTTCCATTTAACATGATCAATTTCCCATACATTCACTGCATTTTTCTTGATTTCCGGCCGAGTTACGTGTACTTCACGTGATTCTTTAACATTTTCAAAATTTTGTGTCGATGTTATGCTATTTGACGTAAATTTCAACGCCAATTTCATCATCGTTGACATGCAACACCGCTAACACACAGTATCCAATCAACGCTCTTCAATGTTTTTCAGCATGCCCCGAATAGATATTTCCTGTCAATAAAAACGGCATGATATTGTTTCATGAGCTAGCAGCCGATCATCATTAGAGATTCTAATTGCCATTGAGCATGCACGGAATTTTAAAGTGTTTCATTTCCAAAGAGTTTCTTTGCAGGTAATCCATAATTTCTTCTGAATCATACTGTGGTGCTGTTGAGCATGCGTTTTTATCCCACATTGCCAATGAACATAATTAATATGAAAAAAATCTGCTTCTATTTTATATTTTCTGTCTCAGTGGTGTCCGTAACGTGAAAGTCGTTTTTCATTTTCAGAATATCCCCGGCCGTAATACATTTCACGGCCAATGTCATCGTCTGGATACTTAGCACCAGTAGACATCCATTCAAGTGGCACACAAGAATTTAAGTGTCGTTGAGCAGGCGCGAAATGATAAAAGTTTTAATTTTCAATTACACTGTAGTAGTGTCATCTGCATAAAAGTGCAACCACATTTGAAAGTTTTGTATAATCCAAGTTTCAAGGATAAAGCAAGTTGTGGAATTAAAATACCAGACAACAACGGTGTACATGTAGGTAAGGAAGGAATATGTCATGTCTTTTTTTAAATAAAGGTGTTGAAAATGGAAACACGTTCGAGCAAATCCCTATCACGCCCCCCCCCCCCCCCCCCCCAAAAAAAAAAAAAAAAGAAGAATACTTAGCCTTGTAGAACTGAATCTAGCAGGAGTGATACCATCAGATTTCAAATTAGTTTGTTCCACTAAGTTGTATACCGCCCACTGTGTGCGAACTCGTCCGTACGGTTTCCGGATGTTGCGAGTGTTGAAGCGAGACGTCGATCACGCCATTGAGTGGGAGGTAAGTTGAAAGCGCGTTTAATACAGTTTTATTCAGTATTCTTTCTTATTCCTTATTCCTTTATTATAGTTAGTCTTGTATGAATGCTGATAGGATCTCAACTTCTGAGTGGTGCAGTTTTGGTGGTAAAAAGACAAAAAATCACCTGTCGTACAGAATCAAAACATGTATTTTTCACGAATAACTGATTAATCTGCTCTTAAACAGCTAGTCTGAATAGTCAAGCTGAAAATGTAGTGTCAAAGACACAACTACCACCTGCTGTCATTATTTTGCATGTTTTACTTTTTTTGCAATTGATCCATAAAGTAATGCTTGACTGTACGGGTTGTTGCACTGGCCAAGTTTTGATACTGTACGGGTTGTTGATATTAATTGGTCGGGTTGTTGCGATTTTCTGCTGTATTAGATTGTCTATAACATGCGACTTTTCATCTGAACGGGAGCAAATACTCAGAAGTTTGGTTTGGGTTTTTAAAACATGACTACCACTTTTAGAGGTCGTTGTGTTTATTATATGAAGGTCATCTAATCTATGCATCTTGCCCCTATTTCTTTTTTCTTTTCTTAACTATTCTCTTCCATAACTGTTGAATGGTTTTATCCCCGTTTCTTTCATTTTTATACGCCCGTCGAAAGACGAGACGTATTATGTTTTTACGCGGGCGGGCGAGCGGGCGGCGGTCGGTAGGCGGCGGGCAGACAATAACAGTTTCACAGCCTTTATTTCAAAAGTTTTCAACGGATTCACTTCAAACTTGGTACAAATGTCAATTACTATAAAAGCTTGAATGATCGGAAAACCGGAATTATTCGTCGGTAATTTACGGAGTTATTGCCCTTTGAAAATCACGAAAAACTGTGTCTGCCTTTATTTCAAAAGTTTTCAACGGATTCACTTCAAACTTGGTACAAAGGCCAATTACTATAAAAGCTTGGACGAGTTTGAAAACCGGAATTATTGGCCCGTAATTTACAGAGTTATTGCCCTTTGAAAATCACGAAAAACTGTGTCTGCTCATTTATTTCAAAAGTTTTCAACGGGTTCACTTCAAACTTGGTACACATGTCAATTACTATAAAAGCTTGGACGAGTTTGAAAACCGGAATTATTGGCCCGTAATTTACAGAGTTATTGCCCTTTGAAAATCACGAAAAACTGTGTCTGCTCATTTATTTCAAAAGTTTTCAACGGGTTCACTTCAAACTTGGTACACATGTCAATTACTATAAAAGCTTGGACGCGTTTGAAAAAATATTCCTTCATTTCAGTCTCCTTAGTATTATTGCTTCATTCCAAAAACTATAAAAGCCTAAACACTTTCTAACAAACCGTTCACTCGGTTTTGCTGACAGGCGTATCATGTACCGCTTCGCGGTAGCCTTGGTTCTTATCTTTTCTCTTCCATTGCTGTTGATCGGAAGTAAAACCCTTGTGCTGATCTGCACGGTAACTGCAGCAACAATAATGACACAATAATGTTATGGAACATTTGTACATCTTGTTAGTCTTGGACAACCTATGCGATCGTAAATCCGTGTTGTCTTTTACCGATATAGTGCACTGCCATATTTTTTTAAAAATATTGTTAATATGTTTTGAACATGGACTTTATTATGATGAGGACTTAATATGCAACATTTTTTCCCCTCACTGCATCTTTCCATATTCAAAATCTTTTATGGTATTTCATTAAGGTTTACTCTTCTTTGAAAAAGTTAAAACAATATAAAGAGGTACTTTATATTTACTTTGGTATAATTGTATTGTTGACAATCTTTTTCTGATTTCCTCTAGATATGGATAGCTCATTTGAGGTGGTTAACCCTTTGGATGAAAGTGTTCACTTGGAGGAGGCTTGTTCTTGTAGTGAGCCTGATTGCAATTATACTACGAAGTATCAATACAACCTAAAACGCCACAAAAGATCAAAGCATAGCTCAAAAGACTCGCAGCAAGATGAAAGACCGTTGCAGACCTATCTTTGCGACCAATGTGGGAGAAGTGGATTTAAGTCCAAATATGGCCTTACTCTCCATGTCAAGTCTAAGCACCAGGGAGTTTTTCGTTTCCATTGTGATGTTTGTGGCGCTAGGTTTACTCAGAAAACTCACTTCCGCGGCCATTTAGCTTCTCACCACAGAGTACTGAGAGTAAAGTGCACACAGTGTAGCGTAACATTTCGTTATGAAAAGAATTTAAAAGACCACCAAAAGATCCATCACTCAAAAGAGAGGTATATCTGTTCGGTAACAGGATGTGGAAAGGAGTTTTGCACACAAAAAGGGCTGTACGAGCATTCATCCGTCATCCACGAAGGATAAAAAATTTGCCCTTGAATAATTTCATTCCAATTCTCCAGAACTGCTTAACTTCTGTTGAATATCTCATAGAATGTGTGTTACCAAGCGAATACCACTCTACTACATCAGAGAAAAGCAAAAATGCGATGTTTTTCATTGGCAATGCTTTCCGATTCAAGAGGTCGTTGAATTTTAAATACATATCTGTCATATTGCTGTCCTCTAAAGTTTGAATAACACCTGGCAGTAAGTGTGTGATTTCTTGGTACAATTCATCCTTTTCAAAAGCATCTGTTTCTGTTTGTGTTGAAATATCTTTGGACTGTTCCTGGTCCAGTAAAGAGATTTCCTGGAAGTAAGAGCTTAAGTTGTGTTCGTCGCGAAAGGAAGAACTTTGGTTGTGTGTGTCATTTTCTACATCCGATATGTTACCATCTGGAAATGACAACCGTTTACTTGTTTTGAATGGTGTAGAGGATGTACATTGGAATATGCAATATGGCGAAGATACTTGGTCAGCATGTTTCTTTATTTTAATTGTGCAAGTTTCATCATCCGCCTCTATATATTTTCTCTGTTTTTGTATTTCGTCTGGTATAATCTGAAAGTTTTTGGTTTGAACCACGTATCCTGTTGATACATGCTGAGCTGTTTTCAATTTCAATATTTCCTCTCCGTATGAAGAACAAAGGTGCTCTATCAATTCAGCAAATACCGGTGACTCTCTGTCACAATAGTAGCAACGGTATTCCATTATCTGAAATGAAACAAGGAATGACATTAAATATTTGCCAAAAAAAAAAAAAAATGAAATAAATAGCCACAATTCATTATGCAATATGAACACCTGTATTGTTAGTAATCAATCATGACGTCCTGTTGAAATACACTAAAGACAAACGCTTAATTTTAGACACATTAGGTCTTCCGACAACAGTTTCAATCGCAACAATTCGTACAGTTGAATTTTCTAAAATTTAACAACCCGTACAGTAGTTTTACAACAACCCGTCCAAATGCTATCTTTGACCATGCTTTGATTTTGGGTATAAAATATTATTTATTGCCATATGTCATTGTAAATAAATGAATATTTCATGTCATTAGATAATAAACTTTCTTTTAAAAGACAAATACAGTCGACACTGCCTGCAATAGGGTGCCAAAAGCAGAATGATCATAACGTTTTCGTTGGATCCAGTGATATTTCCAGGTGATTTTTGTTTAGTTAAGCAGTTTATGAATGATTAACATAACGTTATACATGATGTTAGACAAGACTGATATCTTACCGTGAAAGCCACATTCACCCCAGATTTCGATTCTTACGCAATCTCTTCAATAAGGCGATTTGCTTCAGCAGCGTCATGTTTACGTTCAAGTCTCATCGCTTCAAACCTCACAACATTCGTAAACCGTACAGTTGAGTCCGTACACAGTGCCGCCAATATCTAATATGTTGACACCATTGGGTCTGGTATCCAATGACGATGTCGCTTTACAATAGAGATGCAGGTCCTGTGGCTCGAACTCCACTTTAGTAATGTAACTGTCGCTGACTTTAAGATAGAATATACAACAAGGCTTTGAAATCTGATTAGAGTTCCAAACTCTAAACATAATATGTGCGCTAGTAATTGGTCTGCTTTATATCGTTTAGAATCAAAACAATATTTGACAGGAACCCGCTTGGTTTGCTTTGGGTCGTGTCGTTGCAAAGATTATACTTTAAACTTCAGATTTGTTGTATAATATGTTTTCATGGCGTGTTAATCATATCAGATGGTCAATTTCTCGTGAATTGGGTGCTGTCGGACGTGCCTTTTATCTCTCTTGAAATCTTGAACATCAATATGTATGCGAATATGTCTTTGCAGAAAGGTACAAGCGAGCTTTAAAATTTATGTACATAATTGTGTTATTAATCCAAAGGTGATCGAAACTGAAAATTTTACGTAAGAAGGATGTAAGAATAATTCATTTCCCTTACAAATTTTGATGACAACACCATCGATTTACGACTGGATCAGCCAATGAAAAACGTCCCATGGTAAAACTTAACAAATAGTCAAGTGTCTCACAAGACTATTATCCCTCCAATGTATGCTATACGCACAAAAACGCTAATACTTCGGGAGTTATGTCATACACAAGCGTGTTGAATTAGTGTTTATTTCAAATACTCGGTTTGTCCTATTATTAAAAAAAGGTTGTATATCATATGTATATTAAAGTCTATTGTATTTTTATCTGATTTTGCTGTATAAACAAAGTATAGTAAATCCGATATGCAAATATACATATGAAACCTGTACAGTTTTACAGTGCACTTAATACTTGCCAAACAGATGTGGAAGTTCGGAATTAAATTACATTAATATTTAGCACAATAATTCAAAACCATGACCGATCCAATAAAGGACTATACTGTAAAGAAATAACCAAGAGGTAAATGTAAACTTCTATCAGATTTTCAAACTGTGAATTCAAATGATTTCATATTGTAAAGCGAAAAATAAGCTTATTTAAAATCAAAAGACACAACCAAGGAAAAGATGATAACAGATAGAACCTTAACATGTCATGTCTAAACAGTCAAGTCAGATTTTTTCTGAGAAAAACTTGTTTATTTAAACTACGTGTACACACGTTTTTCACCACTAAAAATGGTTAAGGGTAGGTAACTCCCGAACAACAAATATGACGTCACGACTAAATCCTGTAATGGCGCACTGCATGGAAAACTATTTCCTGTTTGCAGGTTTTTGCTGTTTATGAAGCAGGTCATCCACAGGTAATATTAGTATCGCTTTAAGTGCACGCATATAAGTTACTGACGTTACTGACACCGGAAACCTCTCACTCTTCTCTACACTTTTAAGTGCAGTAAGTACTAGGGATATAATTACATGTTATCTTGTTCGGAAACGGGAAGTAAGGACCAGGAATATATGCATGCTGATGGGACATTCGCACAGGATATCACAGTCGTTACTTACAGTTGTCAGTCACTTACATATCACCTTTTTGTGTATGATTGAGTGTCGAGCCACTCATAAGTGTTTCACGTCACCATTCACCATGATAGTTTTAACAGCACTGTAAAAACAACCTACATAAACACTTTCAATCAACGTTATTTTATTTTCATTTGTTCTGGAGTTGCAAAGGCTTCAACACTACAGTTTGTCGTAATGTAGATAACTAACTATATAGTAGCAGGATGATATTAATGTAAAAGGAGTGGGTTGGTTTGGCTTGTACGTAGTGTTAGTTAAGTTCTCTGTCACTTTACTGACAGACCATGCATCTATGGCTCAGTTGGTTGAGGCGGTTGATAATCATGTCAGAGACACCAAACAGATTCCTGGTCGGGGCAATTGACATGAATATGTATTTTACTTGTTCTTTCTCGTTGCCACTAGCTGAGGCTAGTAAGGTGACCTGTACTTTCAACTTCTACTCGATCTACTCCCCCCTTCGCAAAGTCTTTGACCCCGTAGACATCAACATTTTAGGGTCATTTCTCCAAGGAAGTATATCAATCTGCTATATTTTTAACCTTTGACTGGTCTATAAAGGGATCAGTAATGAAAACTGCCGTGCCACTGCTGGGGTTCGAACTAACAACCCTCCGGTCTCTAGCCGTACATTCTGGCACTTGACTTAAGGGAAATTATCACTAGTTAAGGCAACCTGTACTCTTAACATCTACACTATTGTTGTCTTTTCAGCGGAAAAGCTGAAAGACTGTAATACTAGATGTAAAACCCGTTACAAAAAATAAATCAATATTGTGGTGATCACTTTTGTTAAACCTTGGCTTTTTGGCCTGAGATGTTGATAGTTTAAAGTGAGTGAATTTCAAGTGTCTGCATTATTCTGCTGTGAATAAACACCTGAAATCAAAGAGAATACATGTTATCACATATAACATTTAAAGGATTCATTCAATTAAGTTTGCATTCAAAATTTTCTGACAAGCTGTCAATACATACTAATTAATTTAGATCACTGTAGAATAAAGTGAAACGAGGTGTAAGATGTAAGTATTATAACTGTAAATTATCGGTTAAACATATGTATATTATAGACCAGACGTACAAATATATGTGGTTTTGGAATGGACTTGGAGGATCAAGTAAATGATGTAGTAAGTCTCTCATTTTGATTGAAGGTCTAGTTTGTTTATAGAGGACATCATGGGGAATACAGGCAAATGCCTTTTTCACATACATTTTTTGAAGTGATTTTTTTTTTTTGTTAAAGGTATGGTTTTGAATTCTGATATATTAAAAAGTGTGGTCTGACCTTTATACATTCTTAAATGGTATTAAAATCTATATAATGCTTTCTGCTTGGGGGTGGAACATTATATATATATACTGTAATCCATACATTAAAACAGAATTATGGCTTCTCTTCATGTTTGAAAGCAAAAATTGTGGAAAATGATTTTCTGCCAAGATACTATTGACTTTCGACATGAAATGTCTTTATAGAATTAAAACTATTAATTAATGGTTTATATGTTGCCATCTTGGATCACCTGATCTATGATATGTTTGTAATATAATATGTTTGTTCATAAACTTGTCTTCCAAACTGTGTTCTGGCTTGCTTAGCCAATGTCCATAAGTTAAGAGAAAATCCTTTGAAAGTAAAGCTTAAAGATGACCAGAAGCATTTGTACATTAAAACAATTTTAATTGTGATTCTCTTCAAGGATTTTTATAAAGCCATACTTATATTTAAGAATTTAGTCCAGATCTTAATTAGAAAAAAAAACAAAAATTATTCAGGATTATGAACATCATTAAATTGCTACATGTGTAATGCATGTCTATGGAAGTAATCATTACATCACAAAGATGATATTCAAATTCAGAAACAATATCTCTTCTATGTTTGCAGTGTTGTTTTAATTATCAACTAGAATCAATAACAAAAGCTTCTAATTAATAGATTATCATTTATCATAATTGGATGTTTTTTTATTGTCATAATTTTTCCTGTTTAAAATATTACTACTTTAAACAATGACAGTGGCATGTTTTCTTTAAAAATAGTTTAATAGTTTAATTATAGTTATAATTGTATCTAAAAGTGAACAAAGTATATATACATGTAATAGGTAAATCTAGGTAAAGCTAAAGCCAAAATGATATATTTGTGTTAGTATTGCCACTAATTCTCCCAAATTTTTGGTACTCACTCTGACCTCTTTCATGTATTTTTATGCCCTGCCATACATGGCCAGAGGCATATAGTGGTGCACCTTTTGGTTGTTCCGGTCATCCCATCATTTCCGTCATTCCATCCATCCCCGTTTAATTTGTCTTTGTAACTCCTCCCAAACGTTTTAGAGGATTTTAATGAAACTTGGTACAAAGAAAGACCACAATATGTAGATGTGCATGTTGCAAGGGAAATTATGTTGAAATTTCTTTACAGGAGTTATGACCCTTGGACTTAGATTTTTCTATGGAAAATAGTTTGTCTTTCCAATTCCTCCTTAACCCTTAGGAGGATTTTAATGAAACTTGTTACAAAGTAATGAAGTAATCTTCCAAAGAATTAATATTTTAAAATCGTTCATTAATCTCAACAAATTAATCAAGCAGACGCTGTTTATGATGCCAAACTAGATCTTGCGTTTGTCTATTCAGCCATCCCTGTAGATGTATGTATGTCTGTAATGTCCATTTAGAAATAAATATTTGAAAAGCTTTGTTCCCAGTGATGGCATTCGTGGTGCAGCAACACAACTAGTTTTAAGAGAAATATTGTCAAAATGAAAGTATTTGTGCCATTTATGACAAAGATTGAGGGACTTCCTATTGACATTATGTTTTTAGCAGATCATTGAAAAAACATCAAGAAAATACCGACATGGCAACATTATCATAATTCAAACTCAAATTCCATAAAACTGAAACAAAAGAAAGATTTACATGAAGACTTCTGAAAGAAGTACAAGGAAAATTAGAGCAGGTATTCTGGAAAAGTAAGCATCTTCTGCTTCATCAACGACACCTGCCATGTAAACCTTGGTCAATCCAAGTAAATAATGCCACGTTGTCTAATGAGAACCAGGTATGTAACCACGGAACCAACAGGCAAACTAATGAGCATCAAATACGTCCAGCTTCATGTCGCATAAAGAAATTTAATTTTTCTCAATAAGACCACTATGGCGACCATAAACTTCCCTCTAATTTTCATCAACCTGGATCTTTTGAACCCTTGTGTTATGTCAGTTGATGACTTCTTGCACGCAAATCGGGATGATAGGAAGAGGCCCAGGAATATCAAATCAACTGTGACTTGTTGGAGATGCATTTATATTTCTATCCAGATATGGAAAATGCACAATGGAGAAATTGTAATAATTCGTGTTTATCATATAACTTGATGGAAAGCTATTCATAGTGGTTTTGTTGTAGAGAAAGATTGAGATAAGCAGCTGATGTAGAAAAGTCTGTCATATCTTTGTTTTCCAGGTCTGGTGGATATATACGATGGAAATAGTCAATAAATTTGTTCGTTATTTAAAGACAAAACGTCATCAATATATTTGAAGGTGAAATATAACAACTTTGCAAGGTGATGTTTTTTGATAAGCTCTTTAATAAATTCAGCCTCGTATGAAAACAAAAATAAGTCAGCCAACAGAGGGGTGCAGTTGGTTCCCATAGGTATGTTAATAGTATGTTGGAAGATCTTAATACCAAACTTGCCGGTAATGTTTTCGACCAAAAGCTCAGTCATACTTGGGCAGAGTTTCCAAAATAAATTTCCTGCTTAGAAAATTTGTTCCTTTTCCAAAGTTGAAAGTTCATGTTCACAATATCTCAGTTCTATTGAGTCATCATGCAGTCATTTGGAAAAACAATCTATTTTACTTAGTATTGGGTATGAATGCTTACCATTGATGTCAGCATAACTTCATTCTCACATTTACACATGTCAACAGCAGTATGGTGTTATAAGTATGGCTCAGAAACACTTTGTAATTGTCTGTTTTTATCTATGTTACAGGTGTTAGCAATAAAGCTAAGACATCATCTATTGAATCTTCATAGCCATTTAGTAGGACCACTAGACTTGACGACAGGGTAGGATGGATGGGGAAGTCCACCTCTATTTGGCTCTGTTTGCCCACACCCCAGAGAAAACAGGAAATGAGGGGGACGAGCCAGAATATATAAGTATTGAGGTAGGAGACATCCTCGAGGTGAAGGGTCCACTTCCAGCTACCACTGACACCTGGATGAAAGGACATAACAAAAATAAAGGCACCACTGGATTCTTCCCTGGAAACTTTGTGGAATATGTAGGTCCTGCACCGAAAGTAGAACCACCTGCATTACCAGGTAAGTCAACATTCTGTTTTGATTGTTCACATGTGTATTTTCAGACTAATGTTTGACCAAGAATGTCACTGGTTGTTGATAAAGTGATGTTTTCTAAATTGAATTTAAATTTTGAATATCACTTGTCTCAAATTTGACCATTTTAGGTCACCTGATGAAAGCCAAAAGGCCCCAAATAATTTGTCGCTCATCTTGCAGTTAAACATAGCTTAAGGTGATCCTGTCACTCTGTTCAAACCATAATTCACAGTGCTGTAGCAAATTATTTTTAGGTCTGATAAACCTCCATACTAGCAAAATATTACAAAAGTATTCACAAATGGTCAACCAGCAACAGATGATAATCAACATTCAAGTATTTGTACTTCTGTGATTAGAATAGAAACTTTAAAAATAAAAAAAACATTGTATGAGGAACATCCGTTTGTTTGATAATCATATTGTGTCCAAAGTTTTAAGGACATATTGGGGTATTTTAATATAATAATATATAATTCAGATATTGTATGTAACAATGCATTGTATTTTATATGAATTTACAAGTACATGTAACATGTGGGTTTCTCCTCAAAAATGGGGTCAGTGTGTGCCAATTGGTTAAGGCATCTGACTGTCTTTATCAACAGCCCTCCACCTCTGGGTCTTGGGTTGGAGGCCTGTGTGGGGCACTGGGGTAGTCGCCAGTACCTGGCGACAGGTTAGTAAATTTTCTGGAGTAAATCTGGCTTTCCTCCACCATCCAAACCTGGCACATCCTGAAATGACCCTGGTTGTTAATAAGATGTAAAACAACAAGTGTACTAATCTACTCTAGAGCTCATAAATCTTTCATCAGGAAGTTAACTTAGGTTGACAGTGTATAGAAACAATGTTGATTTATTCTCATCAAGGGATATTGCATCCTTGTACTCTAGGGCTTAGGATAACTTTCACTCCCTTGAACGTTGGTGAAGGTTCCACGTGCAACACTTTGTTGATAAGACAGGAAGACTTGTTTTATCCTTTGATATACATCAAACGAATCTAGAGGTTACATAACATTATGTTGTAAAGCTTTCAAGTTGGGTGTTGCTCCTTTGTAATCTTCAAACGAGTATATCAGTCTGTGGTTGTTTTTTAATTTTCTTAACAAACTGGCTCTAGACCAATCAGATGACTTTGATTATGCCTTCAATTTTGCCATGAAATGATCGAGGGGCATAGAGAATAAAATTGATTGTATCGCTGTGAGTATCAAGGATAAAGATATTGTATTATATTGTCCTCCAAAAGACTTCAAAATTACTTTGTTAGAAACAAACGTTTGTCATAAATGAATTGGTTATAAACACTACATAATAATACATGTTGTTATGCATTTTTCTAGGAACTAGCCCAAATTCAGGTCTTAAATCTCTACTGGAATATCCATGTTCTGTAATGGTAGTTTACTATATTCTTTTTGAGGAAGGAAAGATTTTATTTGTTTTTGGGTATGACCCTTGTTTTTGTATATGTTGTTGTACATCCCATGTGATTCTTTAGGCTTTTGATCTCTTACTGAGACTACCTGTTGAGATGGAAATGATATTCCAGCAAGAAATCATCTTTATTCTATAGCTGTGTATTGTTTAATTCAATATACAATACAGGAAGATTGTGGATAGGAAAAAATATACATGAGTGTCTACTGCAGGGTTTGCTTGTTACCAAAGGAAATTGGCTAATGAAATAACTTTTTACCTGTCAATTGTAAAATTCTGGATTAAGGTCTTCCTTTTAAACTGAAATTAGTCTTTTGTTTCGGAGATGTTTAGGTATTTTGCCTTTTATTTCAAATGGAAGGAAGAATTACCAGGTACACAAAAAATATTGTTAGCACCAGGAAGTCTTAATCCTTTGAATTTCTCATTCATGATTCAACACTGCGAAACACTTCCTGGTGCTTATATATTATAATCAAGCATTTCAGTTGTAAAGAATTTTTTTTTTCAGGTGTATGCCAAAAAAAAAAAAAAAATGATTTCTGTAATAATTGTGCATGTACCCAGGTGAAGCACTTCAGATTTGTAAATGGATACTTGGTTTGATTTTAATCTTGCATTAAGCCCAGGGTGCCAAATAAAATATTCTGGCTTTTAGTTACTGTTGGAGTTAGGCTTATGGCACGATTGTAGGACAATAAAATAACATCTGTTTGTAATGCTACAGACCATCACTATATAAATATATATGGGCTTATTTTCAAAATTGCTGAAAGAGCAGTGATTCAATATTTGCATAAGAAAGGTCTAGCACTTATGGATATCCATACTGATATGGAAGGAATAGTAGGGAAGGATGCCCCTTTATATTCTACAGTGAAAAGTTGAATGGCAGAATTTAAGTAAAGCAGGATGATGCCCCTTTATATTCTACAGTGAAAAGTTGAATGGCAGAATTTAAGTATGGCAGGATGATGCCTATTCTGGAAGACCTGTCACTGCTGTAACCCCAGAAATGGTCAAATGAGTCTGTGATATTGTTATGGCTGAGTTACAGAGAGATATACAGCAAGTACAGTGGGGTTTTCACAGGAAAGAGTATGGTCCATTCTTACAGAAGATCTTTCATTGAGACAGCTCTCAGTCCATTGGGTACCAAGACTTCTGACAGTTGATCAGAAGCACACCAGGCAGACTTTTTTACATGCCAATCTGAACCTTTTAGAAGCAGATCATGCTAATTGTCTGCACTGGTTTGTGACTATGGATGAAACCTGAATCCATCATTTCACCCCAGAGGCCAAGCAACAGTCTAAACAATGGAAGGTCCTTGGGTCACGCCCATCAAAAAGGCAAAGACTGTTCCTTCAGCTGAAAAGGTTATGGCCTTGGTTTTCTGGGATGCTGATGGTATTCTGATGGTAGATTATCTGCACAAGTGACAAGCAATCAATGGCACATGTATGTATCACTTCTTAAGAAGTTAAGTCTGTGATTGATTGAGGATCTGCCTTATTCACCTAATCTCACTCCATCAGATTGAATCTATTTCAAAAATGAAAAAGGCCTTTTCTGGTACCCACTTTTGGTCAGATGATGACGTCATACTTGCAGTGGAGGACTTTCTAAATGGTCAAGAAAAGGACTTCTTTAAAAGTGGCATTGAGGCCTTTAAACATCACTGGCAAAAGTGTATAGATACTGAAGGAGAATATGTTGAAAAATTACACAGTATGTCCTCCAAAACCCCTACCCTTAAACATGAGGATCACAAGCTCACTCAGTCCATGTAATCCAACGTTACAATTGTTGTCATTCAAAAATTGTTTTGTTCACATAGTCCAGTTTAGAGGATTTTACTCATTTGCTTAAAACATTTTACTCTATTAACCAACTTACTCAGTCATCAATGATCAACTCTACTGTTGATCAATATATTTACCAACGTACACGTCTATTAATGGTCAACTTAACCCAATGATTTATCAGGTATAAGAAATATGACAATGAACTGAAAAAATATTTGGTACCAAATTCCTTCAGTAAATGAAATATGTTATATTCTGAAACATACTTTTATTTGTCGAATGTCGGTATTATACTTACATAATAAAAATCTTTCTCAGAAAAACTTTACATAGAAAATGACATTCTATTTATCATTTGAGACCAAAAACAGAAATAGCAATATAAAATTAACAAATACTGTTTCTTTTTTTTATTTAGTTTAATTAACAGGTCACTTGGCGAAGGAATAGCAGGGCATAGTTGAGGAGGATTATAGTTGTCAATGCTAATTGTGAGTTGATAGGGTCAAAGCAATAATTAACTTCTGCTACTGAGGTAAATGTTTAGAAAGAGTTATTTCCCTTCCACCATTATTTCTAGTATTGTGCGGTACAATAACCAAATCAAATATAGGTAGGAAATTTGTGTAAAATGCACTTTCTTTCTTGAAACTGCTTTAAAGATTTCAGTTGGGGCATTAAATGGTGGAAAATATTACATGTTCATGCTCTCTTCGATTACTTTATTTACCCTACGAAATGAGTCTCAATACCACTGAATGATGTATCTTAGGATCCCATATTGAGAAAATTTATCAACAATGCATACAGATTTTGTTATTAACATTAAAAAAAAAGCAAAGTTTTGGGATGAAAATTGGAAAATGCTGAAATGATATTGCTGTATCTCGAAAGACTTCTACTCCAAATTGGATTCCCCAAAAAACTCTAAAAATTCTATCTTTTCTTGTCTTCTTTTGTTGGAACTGTATCTACACAATTATTTGATGACCTGTGTAGACATCCACCAGTGTTGGAAGTGAGACCAGCATGCCTGGATTCAAATACGTTGTCGACTTTGTGGCTGACCCAGGCTCATATCATAGGGATTTAATCATCTAAGCTTTATTGCAATTCAGAAAAAAAATGTATTTTTATGAAACCAGTGGAACCAAAGAAATGAAATTCTTCTTTAAAAAAAATATGCACATATTCCAGAATATTCATGCTATTAAGAAAAAATCCACTCTTTTTGCGATGAGTAATTCTAGCTTTCCCAGGATGAGTAACTCAGCTGTGAGTAATAGTTAGGGAAAAGAAATAAAAAGGTATGAAATTGTATTGATGGGTGGTGTGTGTTTTTGCTTCTCTTTTGTTGCTGTAGATGCTGTAACTCTGGACATTATTTATATCCGTAATTATATTACATTTTTTGTGCAAGTGGAGAAAATAATTTGAGCTTTAATGAATTTTATAACATAGCTTAATGAAGAATTATGTAAAGTAAAAATTGAAAAAAAAATAATATAATAAAAATGTGATAACTAAAAGCCACAATTGCATTTTACTAGAAACAATGATGGATTTTGTGTTGTGAAGAATATACATGTCTTTGCCTGCAGATATTTTTCACATTCATAAATATTTCATGACAGTAGAATCAAGATTGTCTGAAGATATGTGCTTTGAGTTTAAATCCCATGTGATGATTAAATGTTCCAGTCAGATTCACATGATAAATTATATATCT